AGGAGGATAGCCTTTTGACTCCAAAACAGACATGATTTACATGGTTTTCAATGGGAGCAAAACTGAGTTGTCCCACCTCTGCTCATTCGCCTCCTACTGGCCAGTTTAATGAAACCCAAGAATAGAGGGACTGTAGCTGACTTGCTTTTTTGTGACATGCACCAAATTTGGCACTAGCCTACAGCATGATAGAAAGAGTGAAGCTCAGCTAATATGTAAATGAGTGTAGATAATTACTTGATTCCAGCTAATGGCTTGGCTGTTTTTTCGGGCAGGAATGCAGGACACATATTTTCCCACGCTGTTGGTTTTCCTCTGTTCGTTGCGTTTGAGACAAGGCACTGGACAGGCCGGGCTTCGCTAATGCAGCAGGCGCGCAGACAAATTGAAAGTGACACTTGTGTGTGTGTAGAATGGTATTTGTGGTGACGCTTTGACTACAGATAATAAAGTGTTCGCCCTGAGGTGAATTCACCCAGCATCACCTCGGATGAAACTCTTATTCCGACAGAGGGGATAGTGAACAGACTGAGGGGATAGTGAACAGTGAGGAAAAGTAGATTTGGTCAAAAGACATTAGAAGGAGACTCATTCTTTTTATTCAGATTGATTGGCTCTAGTTTTAGTGTGCTCCTGTACACGCCATGTGCACAGAGGAGTCCTTCAGGATCAATCAATCTTCAGTAATTTGCCCCCAGCTCATAAAAGGCAGGTCTGTCTGAGGAGCGGAGCATTGCCACATCAAACCGGCTAATTAATTTTCACGACTGATCCTGTAGCATCTGGCATTATAGGAATGATTTAAACACAACAATATCTCCTGAATTTTCATTTGCTTCCACATTTGTGGAACAGTTATTGTGAATTGTAAATACATACTACAATACAAGAGGCTCCACATTTGTTTTTTTAAGGACCTTTTTCTTGACCTTACCCTGTCAGTCACTATCCGGTGCTTTTGGCTGAGAGCTGAAGGGTCTCCTCTTTTTTTACTTTATTGTCAAAAAAGATAATCTTCTAATACAACAACATGACTGATCTTTATGCATTTTTTTCCCTACTTTGAAAAATCCCTTCACAATTAGAGCGCCTTATTATTTTTAAGTAGACCTACATGCTTTGTTGTTTTCCTGTGTTTGGACGTATAATCAACTTTGAGAAGAGTGAGAGTGCTCCCATAAATGATTTTTCTGATATCAAGCTAGCATCAGGGTTCTCTTCCCCTCACATGCACTTGAATTGATTATTACTCTGATGGAGAGAATATTCAACATGTCGCCCCCTGCCAAGCTGCTCTACCCTGTTGATCAGAGCTCATGCCTCCCGAGGAAGCTCCGGAGGGGTGCAGGCTTTGATTGACTGGCAGCCTGGTCGGCGGGACACCTCTATTATTATCAATCGTAGCTCAGAGAAGGATGGGGTTGCATGCAGGGGGTCCTGCCCGCAGCCCTGTTTTGTGGGCCTAGAGTCAATTAGAGGCAGCGCGCTGTCGGGGACGAGTGGGATGCAGGGTTAATTGCAGAGGACCAAACAGCTGGCTCCATCAGGGTCCATTGTGTTTGCAGCAGTTGTCACCGCAATTGAGGCCTGGTTGTAATCGCTGACTAATCAGGCCTGTGCCAGATGACACCTCCATTAGTGCAGGGCAGGTATTGTTCAGACACAGGGCTGCCTCTAGCTTAGCCGTGCCCGCCTATCAGTTTTATACAACTGAAAGAAGAGGATGTCATGTGCTTTGATCCTATCTGCAAAGATCTTAACCATTGCCTGTGGATTCTGTTTTGGAAAACGCCCCTTAACTGCTCCAGTAAGCACACTCAGGGTCAAATGATTTCTTAAGTTAGAGATTCTTCTCTGCTCTTTCTGAAGTCAATGAATCATACATTTTAAAAATTAAAAACTTCACTTAAGAAGAGGTGAAGGTGATGTGTCCTCGACTTGAATACATTCTTTTAAATATATCGTCATAAAAATTGAACCACCCTGACAGTGGTTAGTGTCCTTTGTGCTGCATTGATAGCTCACTCAGGTTGAACAGGCTTTGTTCCCAGGGGAACAGTTCATGCTGGACCGCAGCTGACCCTATGTTTGCTTTCATGTTTCTGGTGAGCTCTCCTCCAGATGTTCACTATAGATATTGGCATTATGTCAACGGACCTCAATAATTTGCAATGTATATGATAATCTATAGAGGTCTTCCCTTACTTCTAAATACATAACACATCAAACAGTCAGCCATCTTTGATGTGGCCTTTTCTCTGTTTATTGGAAGAAACTAGCTCACAATTTCAGAACACTTGAAAGAGTTTTAATTAGAGCAAGGGCATTTCAGGGTACTCTGTGTGTTTTGGTCTGGTTAATCATTTAAAACTCTAATTAAAATGCAAAGTATTCTCATGGTCTTGTGGATTTGGTGCAGTGCTCCCTGACTGCCTATCTCGCCTCCGCCCCGTTTTCCACCTCAGCTTACTCCCTCTGCTTCTTGTGATCAACACATTTTGACCCCTCACTTGAAAGTAGTGTGCACAATTTAATGGATTTTTTACAGTCTAATCTGCAGTTCTCTCTTTATTGCTGTTTAGTTCCCCATGGACCTCATCTTTACTTTCCCCACACCCCCTCCAACAATTTTCTCCACCTCACACCAAGAAAATTAGCTAATCAGAATTCAAAATGTACTGCTGGCTAATTAAAGGAGTGTTAATTGAGTGTTCAGATTTGGGCACCCCCTTCGCACAGAAATACACACAGGGGCGTTGACGCTCAGCAATCACAGTGACAACGTCGGGTGCACCAAGGACGTTGCGCTTGGGGAGTTTTGTGCCAATCAAAACGGGTAAGAAACTTGCCCATCCTCCAAGTGAAATGGGATTTCTAGATCATATCATGGCCCGGTGCAGCTCTGACCGGCTCTGTGGTGCCACGTTATCCTCTATCACGCCTGAGCACTGGAGTGAACAGTGCACAGATAGGCTGCTCACTGCACCGCCTCCTGCTAATGAGGGGTGGCATTTAGAGATGTGCAGCACTGACACATGGGCATTGTGTGCCAGGCTCTGGGTGATTAAGGACGAAGGTCAGCCCATTAATTGCCTCCCTGCCATCTCATCTGCCTGGCTCGTGATCTCTGAGCCCATGCATGTGTTTGCCTCTGCTTTTATCTTACCTCCTCTAAAGTCACATTTAGATGAGTAAATCTGTTTTTCAAGTTCCTAGTTTTGTTGTTTCTATGAGAGTGCCCATGGCCTCCTCTTTCAGGAAGAAGAAAAGTATTCTTTCTTCCTCTGGGGAAATAATTAATCCTTACAAGGCTGTCTCATGTTGAAATGTAGCAAGTGTGAAGCATTTAGCCCAGGAGGCATAGCAGGCTGTCGCCTGCACAGGCACCTGTTGTTGTCCCTGGCCTATATTTCAGCAGAGGATAACAACATGCTTCACTGATGCTAAATGACACATCCAGCTGCATCTGTATGTGTTTATGTAGAGATTTTAATGTATGTTTTCAAATTAATGTGTACATCTGTCATCTCCCTTCTAGACAGGTGAAGGTTTCAATGGTCAGCTGCCTGTTGAACACCTCGAACTCACAGCTATTGTAGACCTCGGGTCTAAGCTTCCAAGTTTAGCTACAGTAAAGTACCATGTTGCTTAGCATGCAGTGGCAAACTAATTTAATCAACTTTTCTTCAAATATGAAGTTGTGAAACTTTTTAAGAGGAAGCTGGAATCTGAGACATCCAGATGCTAATTTGCCTCCGCCTGGATCTTCTTCTTTTATTCTTGTAAGTTCTAATAACGGAAACCTTTGTGCAGCTGAGATGGGTTTTGTAGACCTGAAAGGCCTCTAATCCCTGTGGCCTCTGAAGTGTGAAACTCTTTGATGCCAGGTTGGTGTGCCAAAGGCTCTGCTTATTGACAAATAAGGGCCTGGCTTAAAAAATGTTTTTTTTCCCATCTCACAGAGTTAAAGCAAGTTTGGGCATGGAAAATCTGGACTGAAGAAGGAATGAAATTAGCCCTCCTTAATGAATTATGTTTTCATGGGATTTTTCCTCTTCATGTGGCAGTAATTAGGGAGAATGATAGGCATGTTTCAGCTGGGGGCTTGAAGAGGCGGCAGGGCCAAGGCCCTTGATATGCCTGAAAGCCAAGCATCTCCCTTCATTTAGTCCATGTGATGATCAAAGATGTTTTTTAGCCTCATGTAAAAAAGATCAGAAAAAATACTCCCATTCCATTTGCATGTGGACCAGCAATATGCTTTGAAATAAGCATGTTTTTTTTCGTCCTAGCAAATGAAATAAGTCTTCTGTCATTTCCTCTGCGAGTCGAAACATCAAAGAAAATGGGAAGAGCTATTGGCCTAAAGAATGGCACAGAGCCAAAGTCAAGACTTTGACTTTGGAAGTAGTGTCCAACACTGTTCGGGACACACCTGTTTTGCTCTGTTTTGTAAATGTGTCCCTTTTATTTTGTTTATTTTTTTTATTTCACCTTTATTTAACCAGGAAAGTCCCATTGAGATTAAGAACCTCTTTTTCAAGGGAGTCCTGGACAAAAGTTACACTTAGTTAGGACAATAGTTTGTTTGATTTAGAATAGAAATATTATTGTTTTATGCTTTGTGTTTTACAGCTTGTTTGACCAGTGACCATAGTAATCCAACCTGCTGGAGAAAAATGCATGGATAAAATTCTCAAAGTCTGCTTTAGACACTTAAAAATATATAATCATTACATAATAATAATAATAATATGGCAAACATCCAGGACTAACCCTGTCTAGCGCTTTGGAGATCACAGAGCACTGATTTGGCCCAAGGTTCCAGAGTTTGTCAGAATGAGTTTCAAAATCACATACAACTAAATTGTGATGGTATGGAGGTACAGAGGTAACCATCTGAACCATTTAAAAAAAAATGTTTTTTAGCATTTGACCTCATAGATAGCTCTTCAATATTTGGAACATCAATGAACATATGTTCCTTTTTTGTCTTACAGGTGAGCTGGTGCCCACACAATCCCCTCGCTATCCATCTGCTGCAGAACTTGATGCGTACGCCCAGAAGACAGCCAATAGCCCTCTCTCCATCAAAATCTTCCCGACCAACATCAGGGTACCCCAGCACAAGCACCTTAACAGGACTGTGAATGGTTATGACACCACAGGCCAACGTTATAATCCCTACCCACATCTCCATATAGGCGGATCCCAGGGCCTGCTGGCCATCATAAAACCCTCCTCATCTTCCTCATCTACTTCTTTATTTGTTCCCTCAAAAGGAGTTCTTAAGAACTCTGATGGAAGACGGACTAAGCACTCACCCGGCCACATAGCGGTGGCTCCATACCCACCTCCAAGTAGTAGCACTTTAGCCACAGGCCATGGCCAAATGGTCTACCCTCTTGGGCCCACTAAGCCTCAAGAAGGATCTGGACTCTCAGTTCCCCCTAACGTAACTGTTGCAGGATCTGTAATTCCTGTAACTGGAGGGCGAGGCCTCACTCTGCCCCCACAGTCAAATCTCCCATCAATTCAGAGCATCATCTATCAGATCAACCAGCAATGCCAGGCACAGGCCATGCAGCAGGCATGTCAGGGAGCAGCCACTGCATCATCAAACGCCAGCCCCTCCAAACAAGGGTCCACAATGATAGGCTCTTCAGGATCCTCAGGGGGAGGGTATGGGGTGGCTATGGGCCCCCAGGGTAACATGGTATACACTGGGCCTGTTCCAACTCAGAACTCAGAGGCAATAAAAAATGGAGTTTACCCTGACAGCATGGACTACATCCTTTGGCAAAAGCAGCAGCAGCAGGCTGTGCTCCGCATGTACAGTGGGGGCAGTGGGGGAGGAGGCGCTGTGAGCAAGTCCCCTGAATCAAGTGTTCCTGGAGGGATCATGGGCGCACAGGTTTCCTCCTCATCCTCCAGACCTTATCTGACTGCAAGTGGAGGAGGCGGGCTGGACAAAGTGAGCTCCTCTCCTTTGAACTGTGCTGGGATGCATGGGAACTTTTCAGTGGGGCAATACTTTGCCCCTCCATGGAACAGTGTGTTAGTTACTCCAGACAGTGACTGCTACAACCCGCAGGAGTTTTTGGGCACCTCTACTGGAGGTCCTGCCACCGGTCACAGAGAGCTGGGTTACCCCCACCATCACTACCATCACTATCAGCATCATCCGGCCATGGACAGCGGGGGCGCTGTCTGCTGCAGCCTGCCCAGCAAAAGCCTTTGTAACACATCTGTGCTGAGCAACAGCCTCCAGTCTTTGGAGTACCTAATCAATGACATCCACCCTCCCTGCATCAAGGAGCAGATGCTCGGGAAAGGCTACGAGACTGTGTCTGTGCCCCGACTGCTGGACCACCAGCACGCACACATACGCCTCCCAGTTTACAGATAGGGAGGACAGACAGTGATGGAATTCAGAGGAAAAATCAACACATTGTTGTGTTTCCTTGAGTAAAATTTGTGGCACTGCATTGACAGTGAATACCAGTAAACAAGAGTTGTTGTGCAGTATGGGACTTTGGTTTGGTGGAATTTAGACAAACTATAAGACCTAAAATTACAGGGAGGAGGGATGTTCCCTTGTGTGGTATGCCAATTGGGAATTTTGTCTTTTTTATTATTATTATTATTATTGTTATATTGTAATTGCCTGAACCTCTTGGTAGAGCGTGGCGTGGCATTCTTACCCCTTCCAAATGCCAAGGATGAAGCTACTGCGTAGATTGTCACTGAAAAGGTCTTAATGGCTAATGTTTAGGGCTGCTTTTGAAATCCAAAACTTTCTAACAGTGCATATGCTTTTATTAATTAAATCATAGCGATATATACAAGTGAAATCATTCTTTAGGTTCTGAAAGGACCCAGAGAAAGACTGCATCATAGTTACCGTAATTGGTACAAACTTGCACTGCTTGAATCTCCTAATTGTGTTTCCTTTGATGTTTGGAATTGGGTAGTTTGCAAATTAAATATTTAAGAAACTTGAAAAACTTGAACCTTTTGTTGTTGTTTTATATCTTTTGTAGGTATGTTAAATGCATTGGCTGCTATGAGGGGGTGTTTGAATGCTTGTATACTTTAGTTTGTTGATTTTAATTTTGTCCTCAAGCTGATGTGCAGTTTACTTTGTCCTTGTGTGAGGCAAATTTGCTGCTTAGGTTCTGTAAGAACCCATTAGAGATCTGTTTTGCAAACACTGGAATCTAATACAATTATTGCTAATTTTAAGAAAGTTCAAGCAAAATGTAAGCTTACAATGAAGAATGTGATGGAAGGTTTTCACATTAAGTCTGTATGTTTGATGGTACGGATGAAGCAGAGTGCAGCATGTGTTTTATTTTAGCTTTCGTTTTTCAAAATCCTCAGACTTTTTGAACTTTTTGTAATTATTCACTTTGGGAGACAAAAACTGAACAGCCAATGTGTCCCCAAACTTAAAATGTGTGGAAGAAAGAGAATAACTACCAAGCACTGGGATAGAGTTGCATTATGGTGCAGGGGTACGCTACACAAACAAATAGAAACAATCATGTAGTGTCCTCTGGGGGTGGGAGGAATGAGTTTCAGTCCTTAGACTTGATTCACAGCAGTGAAATATTTATTATGACTGTGAGAATGTACTGCACTTAAATTACTGCAATAGATTGCATTGTGAGACTCCAGTGAAAATGGATCAGTGCAGCAGTCTTCTTGTCTTAAATTAACATTTCTTTTGTCAGTGAAATTTCATCGGAGATTTGAATTTATGAACAGAAGGGAAAAGTGAAGCGTTGTTCTGGGGGAAACTGGCATCTAGATTTATAAAGTGCAATTATTATGACTGTATTAACATTTTTGTCTGAGCTTACACCAAAAAAAATGTAAATTACAGTTGTCAATACATTCCCAAATGTACCACAATCCTAATCTTCTTTGTTTGAGGTGTAAAATAAATTTCTTTTAAGAATTTACTCTAAAGCCACATTTTGTCTTTAAAGTCTGTCATTATTTGTAATTGTCTTGCACCCTGTAACTCAATCACTCAATCCTCTTTCAGCCGGTTACAAGTTTGCTTCGTAAAACAAGAGATTTAAAGTTTATCAGTTAAATAGTAACATGTATTTGCCCCAAAAAAACTGAAATAAAGGGCAACTTTAGGAGCCCTAAGCTCTGAGCTGATGGTGCATGTTCATGTCAAGGTTGACAAAGTCTCATGTGTCAAGTATCAAGCCCCTGGGCTGAAATGTGCAGTAAGCCTCCTTAACATTCCTGCAAAATCTTTGTGTTGTTTCAGAGTCCTAATACCCAGCCGCCGTTTGAATCCACCATATTTTCTCTTGTAGAAATATTTTGACAGATTTACAGATACGGTCATCTCAAAATCCCCTGTGCTTGTCTTCTGTGTCTAAGCATTAGACCCAGGCACGTGATGTTGATGGGAAGAAAGCACATATAGTGACTGATATATGAACACAAGAGGTATTTTTCTGTCTGGCTTTCTTTTATACATGCATGTGATAATACTGTTAATACTTTTGCTTAAAAAGAACATGTCACAACACCCATGGATACTGTACACACGCTGTATTGTACACAACCTAAAATGAGCAAAAAATACAAAAAGAGCTAGTGTTGTATGTTTGAGTCAGGATTTGATGAAGGAGGGGTCCCCTTGGTCTGCTTTCCCCCACAACTGGGACCAAGGGGACACATCTTGGTCCACAGACACTTGGCATTCTACTATCCCTGATGAACACTTAGCCCATATTAGGATAATAGAATTACATTTCAAATAGACTTGCCTGAACTGATCCGTGCACAGCTCAGTCAGCTGTGCAGGCAGAATGGCATATGGCATGTCATTATGTGAGCTTGCCTCCCTCTGTCTGGGGCCAGCAGGGTTCAGCAGTACTTAAACAAACCGGAGGTTAGGATAGAGGGCGGTGTTTGGGGAGGGGGTGCCTGCTGCAGAGGGCCTCTATACTCTGGTCATAAAGGCTGCCTGTTTTATCAAGGTTATTTGTTTTATCTTGGATCATATTTGATGCTTTGTCTGACTGATGCAATATAATAGATCTGTGTGGAAAAGAAGACTTTTTACTGTCCCATCACTGTCCCATTTTACTGTCAGTGCCTGACTGTGTTTTGCTTGTTTTGGGAATCCTTTATTATTACACAAGCCTTTAAGTAATGTCCTAAATTCCTATAAATCAATATCACACGTGTTATGGCAAAAAGCCCTCTTATTTTTCTCATTCTAAGCAAGCATTTGCTTAGTGTGTATCTAACTTTTTGCATCATAAATCCGTTTTGTTGGTTCAAGAGTCTTGTTTAATTAACATATTGTAAACAATTCAGAACACAACACGCTGTCTTTCTCTTAATAGAACTATTGATTGCGCTTAGAGCCTGAGACCATAGCTCTATTGCGGGAACAGGGCTTTCTGCCACCCAATGCACATTGTGTGAAAATTATAAATAAATTGCACTGACTACTAACTGACTATTAACTGGTTTTAAGGACAACTGGAGACACAGAAGGATGACCTGAGAGAGCAAAGCTAATGTACAATTAGCTCAAATCCCTGCCTAAATCCCAATAAGAGCATGAAGCCCCTTAACCAACGCAGAGGTCTGGTTGCACGTTGGAGAGGAGAGCAGCCGAGCCACTATAGACAATCTCCATTCAATTATGAAAGGTCTGTATGTAAGCAAAGAAGTAAAAGGTATGTGATGAAAAAAACGTTCGTTTTTGGAGAATAGACCATTAAGACTATAAACATTCCAAAAGTCTGGGGATTTTGCTGTTTCTTCATGTTGGAGTGGCTTTTTGAATGTAACAGGTTTTTTGTATTTGTTTTTTCCCCCCTGACTAATCTTACACGCACCAATGCTGCCAAAGTCTGAGGGTGCTGCAACCTTGAGAAAATAATATATATGGAAATGGGAAATCTATAAAGCATCCTTTGTTCTCGCTGCAATGTTGTATTTTTGTTCCAAATGCTTTTGTCTTCTCAGGTTGAAAACACTTAAAGATTTTGTTTTCCTTGTTTGGAAGGTGTGGTGATATTGGACTTAAGTTTGATTCTTCACAAAAATCTGTTGTATCCTTTTGTCCATTCAGATTTTCTCTTGAATGTGCCTGATACAGCAATTATTGGGGTGATTGTTTACATTAGCCCTAATCTCAGCTCCATCTTCTTCAATCTTCCTGAACTGCCACTATACCCCTTGCCATCCACACAACACTTGCTTTTGTCAATCTCAGGATTAAAATACATTTTATTTCAATGTACATGTTTTAATTCTGTCTCTCCACTTCAATATACTATTGTTTTACATAAGCAATTAAAAGAGAAGTACTTTTATAGCTGTCCTTCTTGTTGATCATAATTTAAGATAATGGGCTGCAGTAATGGCAGAATAAGCACATTAGTCTTCCAACATCGGTGTTATTACATGACCTTCCTCACCTCTTCAAAAAAAACTCTGAACGAAATGCAAACTAATATTATGCACTTATGGACCACATGGACACTGTACACCTGCACATCTGAAGCTGAAGAAGTAGACATTAGCAGTCATTTTCTACAGTGTAACCATGTTACTGGTATCCATTAGTGCAACAAATGTATTAATGCTTGTTTGAATTGCACATAGTCCATAATTTATTTATTTTTTCCAAACATTTACAAAGTTCAATGTGCAAATGGACGGAGGGGCAGGGGGTGTTATTTCCTCCAGTCATGCGCCATTTATTTAATATGGACTAGTAACTACATTGGATGAACCAGATGCGCTGCCTTTAGTGTTTTACAGCATAAACTTTTAGTCTTGCATAGCAGTCTATTACGACACACAATAAATATAAAATTTCAATCTCAACATCTGCCATTTAATTATCTGCCATTTCAGACGTTTAAAATATATGTGTGTTGCACATGCATACATTGCACATGCATACATTACATTCTATTTAACCGCCTTAAGCAAAAATCGTTCAAGAAATACTGAAAATGTCACAATCCTTACAGTGCAAATGAATGTGTGCCCATTGTATGCCTGTACAGAGACGAGTGTTTTCATGAGAAAGAAATTGTTTCTTTCATTGTTTCATTCACTTTATCCGTTGTTGGATTGTGGCGGTAGCAGTCTGAGCTTTGTGAGATATGCCAAGATCACACACCTCTAGCTCATCTGGGGGAAACCCAAGGCGTTCCCAGGCCAGCTGAGAGACATATCCTCCTGTGTGTCCTGAGTCTTTCCCGGGGTCTCCTCCTGAAACAACTCTCCAGGGAGGTGGCCTGGCGGCATTTGTCACCTCAACTGGGTCTTTTCAACGTAGAGAAGCAGCACCTCTACTCCGAACCACTCTGGAAACTCATTTCGACTGCTTGTATACACAATATTGTCCTTTTGGTCATTAACCAAGATTATGACCATAGGTGAGGGTGGGAACCGGTAAATGAGCTTTGCCTTTCAATTTAGCTCTTCAGCACAAAAGTGAAACAAATGGTACACCAATCCGTCCGACTATCAGTCAAAGTCTGCTCTCCAGTACCAGCTGAGAAGGCTGAGGAGAGTGATCCCGCAATAAATGGAACATACCCTTCAGTCCCAAACAAAACCCTTCTTGGGTCCAATGTGATTATCTGTTTTGTTTTCCCACTGTAACCAACCCTAAGTTTGTTTTCTCCTCTGCTTTGCTATAAATGTGAACGAATAGAGAGCATTGTCTGCTACTGTGAAACGGCACACTGCATGTATTCGCATCAGGCCAGGCGGGAAAAGGGCTCCGTGGAGCAGAAAGCAGTTTTCTTATTAGTGAAACTCATTCACCTGCACGACACATTGAGCCTCTGCAATTTCACTGTAAATCATGAGAAGCTTGAAGAGGGCGGCAGAAAAGCACAGTGGCTTTAGACATCTCAGACTAGCACTGTGATCACCTCAAAGGTCATCTCACGCACTGCTTGACCAAATTACAAGACTCCACATCTCCCCATGCTCCCAGTAATTACTCCTTTCACTCAGAAATACCACACTTAAGTGACAGGTCCCAGGGTCCCACTGTTTTGCACGGCACAAGGCAATTAGAGAGAAACAAAACTTCATGAAATCTGTATCCCTCTCAACTACTTATATATCAGTTAAAACTCTAACAGGCATAGGGATATAATATTGACCATTAGTAGTAATAATAGTTCTGTGGCAGTAATGGTGGTAGTTTTTACCATACTTGTTTGGGCATTTGAGTACAATACCAGCCTGAATAGGCTCAGAGATACTGCATGGTAGTAATGGAAGAAGTAATAGTGGTATTGATAGTAAGACTCACTTGGTCTTAATATCCTTCAATAGTCTACTGATTGAGCATAAAGCTGAACAGTTTGTCCTGCCAATATCTCCGTTAGTTGCTTTACTTAAAGACCTTTTGGTTGAGAATGGAGCAGTCCCCCATGTGGTGACCAAATTGGGTCCTTGAAACATAATCTCATTTGGCTTTCGCTTTTGTCTTTGTTGTGTATGTGTCACACACATATACACACACACATGCACGTTAGCAAAACATTTTGAAGATAGTCTTGCACCAATAATTGCAAATCAGCATAGAAAGTTGCTGACGGTGACACTTGTAAGACCTGGCCTACTTAAAGGGCAGTGATGAGGAGGGCAGGTCGAGCAGTGGCCTGGTGCTCAATGTTCAGATAAACCTGCAGGATTACTGGCCCAGTTAAAGTTGGGGCAAAGAGGATTAGCCTCTTCTGAGGAGGTGAGAGATTCTCAGTGTCCTTCAAACGCTTGGCCACAAGGAGAGGCCCAGTGTAATAACCAGGAAGGCCTTGGCTACTTGTGTTGGTTCTCTTGTGGGTATTCAGGTCACAAGAAGGGATGAACCATTTCTGGGCTTTACGATCTATTTTTTAAAAGTACTTGTATAACAATCAAATGTTAAATTAAAGCCCTTGAATGAAGAAATGCTTGAATCAGGTAGTTTAAGCAGTTTTTTGTCTTTACTTGAGAATATTGTGTTGTTGTGAAGCACATTTAGCAAATATTCATTTGAGTCAAAGCCTTTAAGCTATTTTAGCTTATTTATCTTTGTCACTTACATACATTGCAATTGCAGTTTCAAAAATGCAATCTTTAATTTGATTGCAATTAATCACTAAACAGCAGTAATCTTAATAAGCACAATTTTCCATAATGTTTGTAAGTTAAGATTGTTTAAGCAGAAAGATTTTAGTTGCTATCGATTGTCAATTTCTTTGCCACCTATATTTAAAAGTAGGTAAAAATATGTCTTCTCTTTTCATTTAATTTTCCTTTCTCAATTCTGATAATACACCCGTCACAATAAATTAATTATAAATACTTTAATCTCTGATGCGGAGAAGGAAAAATATAGTAACTGATTGACTACACTGTAATCAAAGATTGCAATCAAATGATCATGAAACACTGCAATATTCACAATGATCAGTCCCTGGGTAATGATTACACATTATATCAATTATTATTTATTAGAATTTCTAGTACCTTGTTCTATTTTATTCTGTATTGTGAAGTGTAATGAGATTAGATTGGTGTTACTGTAGTGTTCTGAGGTCACAACAACAGCTACAAAAGTAAGCACCTGTAAACATGAGCTTTGTCCCATTACATCTGCTCTACTCACAGAGGAAACTCTCAGGAATACAGCACGAGTTTGAAGTTGTAGAGACACCTGCTGGACATTCGAGGTATTACAAAACGAAGAACACTGCGTTAATATTTACAGTCTATGGTTTACATACTATAATGCATTTTAACAAAGTAAAAGTCATATTAAAGGAATGCATGGATAAGATTAAAAAGCCTTTATTTAAAAAAAGATCTAGCTTTGAACAGCAGCTCCTGAAATCATCATAAATGCATTGGTATAAACTACAGTAGATGTACAGAAGTACTATGGGGTAAAAAGCCAAGTGCAATTAAAAGACTGCAGCAAATATGAAAAAGACATAATGTCAAGGACTGAGCTGATTATGCAAATACCCCAGCTGCATTGAGACAATAACATGATATTCAAAGACAATAATAGACGGGCTATTGTCTTATATTTGCATGTGTGCTCGACAATTGTAACCTACTCACGCTCTAAAACAATGTCTTTGTGTTCTTACAATAATAGCTCTGTGCATTGTTCTAGTTTAAATGAAAGCTTTGTTCTCACCAATAATGGGTTAAAATATGCCATTTTTGAACAATCATATCTATGAATATACATTTAAGCAACAAATATACAGCCTGAATATAATCTCTTTAAATGTATTTATATAACTTTAAGACCATAATACTTGCTCTAGTACTAACAAATCTGTCAATCTGCACTTTAAGAGCATCCCTAATGTAATGAACGATACTGGTACTGTAAATATGCCACAGCTAACTATCAGAATAAATAACTCCTGCTGGTGACTGGCAGTGTGAATCCCTGAGTGGAAAGATTGTCTTTGGTAAAGAAAAAACGTTACGAGTAGTGTTGTGAAGTCACAGGCTCTGGTATAAAATGACTTTGGCAAGTGGAAGCTCTATGTAATGTCCATTTATGCTAATACTATACACAACTTTATATTAATATATACATTTATGACCGATATAAAAAGAGAAGTCCATTCAGTGTTGTGCTTGATACTCACTGTCCATGTCCTAACTGCTGCTCTGCTTTCTCCATAAAGTGCCGTAATGTTTGTGTGAAAGAGTGCACTGAAAGGCCTCCAGCAGATCAGTCTGTTTTAAGCTGACGTTTCTCCGCCCAGGCAGGACCGTCCTCCAGCCTCAGTGTCTGAGAGTCAGAGGCTCCATCTCCACAACCAGCTCCCGAGAACGAGGTCCCCTGCTCAGCTCCACTGCACGCGGCACCACAGTGGACCAGCGGTCTGCAGGCAAACAGAGCTCATAAACTGGGTCAAATAGTCTAAAAAGCAGTGGCACACACACCTCGCCGCAAGCCTCTCGCGCCCTGATGCTGCCCATTGACAAGATGGGTCTCATTTTTACCAGGGTCTTCGTTGATAATAGCCAGGTTCTGGTTCCAATGGGTCCAGTTTACTTCATCCACCCTAATGAACACAATATACATTATATAACTGTTACAGTGTTTTATTGAAGGCAAAATAGATTTTTTTCTAAAATACCTAAAGCACCAACGGCGGTCCGGTGTGTCGTCCCAATTTTTGCCCACCGTCACCATCTCACCGACTCGGAAGGACTTGCGAAGACACACTGGGAATGAACGCTCAATGTCCAAGATGGTGGTTGCCCACTGTTGCCATTAGGATAGATAAGATAGGTATAAATAATGAAGGGCTTTCATTTAAAATACCAGCAAAGAAGGCACACAAAAATATATGTTTTTCCTAAAAAATCCCTAATAGAAAATATGTTAATTTTCAAATTTTACCATAATCTCAAAATCTAAAAGTAAGTAATTGAATGAATCCACCTGTCACTCACACAGAGCACAGAGGAAATGGTGTTGACTGGCACATATCTCATTATAGATGGATTTCCAAACTTGGGCCCTCATTTATCAAGCATTCATCATCATTTGACATGCACATGCCCTCATTTCATTTCAGAAACACAGCTGCTGCAGGATCCAGGAAGTACAATTGGTCAACCAGTGAACAGAGGTGGTAAGATGGATCAAGCCATACATATTATGTTGGCAACAATGTCCGAAATTGAGGGTTTGAGAACAAAGAACGTTCGGTAAATGTTATCAAGGCTATACATCACAAACAAACAGCAGAAATTGGTTCATGCAAAAATGGTTCCCGCCATGGAGGGAACAAATCCTACTGTTGTAATTTCAAAGTGATTCCAGGAAGTGAAATGAAACTGGTCGATGCATTAGTTTAACATCCGGATTGATAAATGAGGCCCATAGTGCATTGAACAGATGACTGCATCACATCACAATGACATCACCAGATCAACGTGAACACAACCAGACCTGCAGCTTCCAGATCTTCTTGCTCTCCTTGGACACCTGTCCCACTGTCTCTCCCATCAGAGCGATCAACATGTTGAGCAGCAGCACAAACGTCAGGATGATGTAAGTGACCAAGAGGATGAGGAACACGGCTGGGTACTGCGCGCTGTGGATCATGTCCAGTTCACCCATCCCAATAGTGAGCTTAAACAGGTCCAGCAGGAAGAAGCTGAAAGTGTCCTGGTCCCTGCACATTGGGTAAGTGGGACAGCCTTCATCGCCGCAGTCCGAGCCCGCAGCAGGACACACAGTCAGCAGGGACACCAGAGCTGCACAACAGGTCAGTCAATATCCTTTTCAACTCTCTACAGTATTCTAATAAACAGAGGTGGCAAGTAACTAAGTATTTTTTACCCTAAGTATTGTCCTCAAATATTTATTTCTGGTATCAGTGCATTACTTTTTGGACAACTTTGCCTTTACTCGTTACTTTCAAACCGAACTATCTGTGCCTTCTACTCCTTACATTTCAAAATGACTTGTTACTTTGTTCAGACAACCATTGAAACAACGGTTGCTGTTTAGATGGTTAAAGGTAGTGCTTAAAATGTCTCAATGAAATATATTAACCGTCAATTATTCATGAATTATTTCTGCTTATTTACTTACGTACACACAAATGCTTTCACTTTCATACTATTACTTACTCTAGTATTTTTTACCTTTAATACTTTATCCACTTCTGGTAACACAATACGCGTCTATGGGTACCTGATGCGTATCCGATCATGAACAGCACGTAGACTAACAGGAACCGGAACAGATCTTTGAAGAGAATCTAGGAAGCATCAAAAACACAGTAAACGGCAGCACATTTGATTTTCCTCATTGCGACTTCAAGTGTCCAACCTTCTGGATCATGATGCTGTAAGTGCCTGTTAGCTTCAGTCCTCTGGTGAAATACAGCGTGTTCATCCAACCCAAGACGAGGGCAAACACCATGACTGAAATGTAGGCTTTAATTCCAGACAGGTACAAAGCAGCGGAGACAACGATGAGGACTGAGTAGATGAAGCTATAAGTACAATTACATAGGATTATGCGTTGTGACAAGACAGTCGTTTTCCTAATGATCTAAGCCAAAAATAAGACACAGCTTGATATTCGGTGCCTTTTGTGTGTAGCCTCTGTTAAATTGGTGGTTTAAACTAAAAAACACGTCAATGGAGATTTTCATAGAGTTAATTAGATGCCTCAATTGACTGAATGCAAAATCGGCCTTGAGCCAAAGTCACTAAAGTACGACATCAAAAGGTGAAGGAGACAAGATGGAGGCGTACTACAGCAGTTGAAAGGAACCATCAATAAATAAAGACTTCACTCCAGGGCGCTTCTTCAGGAACAGGTCTTTTATCTGCAACAACAGTTTGGAGTTGATTAAAGAGTGTGCAATAGCAGTCAACACACGGATATCACATCGTATTAGGATGGTGGACACATACATTAGTGAAAAAGAAGAAGATTCCTGATGCAAGAGTCACAGTCTCCCCAGCCATACGCATGTAGTCTGTGGAGCTGGTGTAGGGGTAAGGAGGCTGGGCACAGGAAAAGCTACACTTACAATCATGACTTACGCACATTGCTTTGGCATAACATTTGTAGAGTTGTCTTGTTTAAAAGTAAACAGTATAATTCAAATCCAGGGTAGCCAAAGATTCATGAAACCATTAAAAGCTGAAATTCTAAAATGTCCCAGTGGTGCTTTTTGTGAAGTGGTCCAATATTTAATTCTTGAAATAGATGTTTTTCCTTGGTTTTAAATGTTGTGTTTGGTTTAAAACATGAAGATAAGATAAGATAAAGTTTATTTATCTCACAATGGAGAAATTTACATGTCACATTTGGCATGAATAGAATCACTCAGACTGTGCAAAAAGACAAAAGTGTGCAACATGTTAAGGTTAAAAATATAGGCTATAATTATGTACAATAAAAGAAATAAAAGTGCTGGTTCTTCAGTCCTAGTGCAGGTCAATAGCGACTTACAGCTCAAACTGAAAAAGTGAACCTCTCATTTTTGTTGTTTACTGTAGGAAGACAACCCTCTCCACAAATATACCTTGTGAAGTCATATGGTCGTTTCCAATGTAAAAGCAAAGTTTACAAACTGTATCAAAACTATCAAGGCAAAACATTTAAGAGGCCACCAGGAAAGTTGAATAATGCACATAAAGAAAATTATAACTTTTACTGCAGTCAAATTCAGTCCAAATGTATTCTGTCTAGATGAGTTACTTCATGGCCATCTGGATTGTACACTATAATAGGAGGTTTTGTTAGTTTTTTTTATTTTTTTTATACGTAAACAGCATTTAAAAAGTATTGAAAAAGTCATTTGACAAACCTGGAGCTACCCTGAAATGATTATATACTCTTGACAGGATCATGTGACAGACAGACCGACGGCGACATTGCCACTCACTGTTCCTTGTGTTGGATGATAATACGCCACAAGAGTAAAAATGATCATAGTGATGATGTAGGAGACGACACTGATGTAAAATGTGACCGCTCCAAACTTCTGCCACTTTGCTCGGAGCAGCTCATTGATGGGCTCCACCGCCAGCATCTCATGACGATTCTGATAATGAAACATATTACAATATATATTATTACTCTGCAAATGCTCACTGTGTACTGTTTTGTGATACCTCATTGCGACTGTTGTAGACCAGGATTTCAAGCACAGATGGCTCTTCTCCACACGTGTCCAGGGAGGACAGATCATAGAGCGACGAGTAAACAGGACCATACGCCCAGTCCTTGAACTTTCGAGATAAATGTCGGACGTCCTCATCTTTGATCTCACGCCGGATGATGTGTTGGAAAACCTGCATAAATACAAACCATTAGATAATCAGACTTCGATATATTTAAAAAGGCCAGCAGTAGGATTAATATTGTGTCTGTGTATGAAGGCAAGGATGTGTTGGACTTTACCCCAATCTTTCCCAGCTTGGCGGCCATCATGAGTGGTGACATGCCGTCGTTGTTGAGGATAGTTTCCAGGCTGTACTCTGGGTAGAGCTTGGCACTCTTGATCAGCAGCAGGTTGTACATCTTAGTGAGGAAGCGTGTATTGTCCTTAGTGTTGTCTGCGATGTGCACCAGAGCATGGAGCACTGTGTTTCCTCGTGAATCCTGCCGTCGTAGATCAGCCTTTTTGTGTGAGTTTTCAGTCAAATAGTGCACTATATCAGGCTGGTTTGTACAGGCCGCCAAGGACAGAGGCAGCTCCCCTGGAAAACAGAAGCACAGATTCTGATTGCATTCCTAAATGATCTGCTGCTAGAATAAATAAACATTCCTCAATTATATGATTGCGAAAAAAGTACACAAGGCAACTGCTTGATACACAGCATCTCCATGAGCGATGGTGCTCTGGCCTGCGCTGACATTGATCAGTTAATGCCATAATGTGGATGCATTGCCATCTCTATGGAGACAAGGGGGCGGTTCCATCCTACATACTGGGAAGCATGTAAGATTTAAATGTTAAATATTTTATAACTATACTCCCTAAACAAAAGGTTGAGTGCTAAAGTTGATTTATTCGTTCTGTACAAGCACAATGAGTCTCTCATTTGGGGGTTTCCGGTTTCTTTAGTGAAATCCATTGGGCTATACCTACACCCATTAGGAGTCAGCTTAGTCTGAGCAGCAGCAACTCGTGGCATAGTTGTAATTGTAGTTTCCTTGTTGACCAAGAAAGAATGCTACATACACTATTTATCTTGGTTTTCAAGGGCAGCGTGCAAAGGTTGAAAAGTACGTTTGTGTGCTTGCCATTCAACAACGCCAATAAGTACGAGCAGTTACTTCACATCCAACAGTCATCGGAGGTGAAGAAGTGTTTTGCCCAGGATTATATCTACAGAAATCTCCGAAATCATACAGCCAACTTTCAGATCATTATGAGGCCATTTCATGTTCTACCTCTTATAATGACATTTAAACAATAACAATTCAAAAGATACATACAGTTTTTTTTTAAAGTGGATTAAACATGGATCAAACATGAGTGGAAAAAAAAGTAGTTTGGAGGAGAGGTGCGGGACCAAAAGCAGAGAGAGGTGTGCTGTTGCTGGGAGTGGAAGATAGGAAATGTCACGGACAGAATTACTCCTTTTCATAGATTTGCACAGGCACATGCAGACTGTGCGCGACGTTTAAATCTCATTAGCTGTGGAACATTGGGCCTGCCAGGTTCCCGGATCACTTTTAGAGCCAAGCTCACGGAAAATTACCCATAGTGCCCTGGGACACACAGGGATTTAGAAATGAAGATGAGATGACAGCAAACAGAAAATATCCGCTGTGAGCAGTCCACTAGGTCCATGTTTGTCAACCTCAGTCATAAATACACTTGATGCCCCTAGTTGTAATTATTAAGCAGATGTTAGCAGTCCACTAGAGGGCAGCCCTGAGCTGCATTCTCTTTGATACAAATCACTTGAAGCGAGAACTATATATATATATATTTTTTTTTTATCTCAAACTATTGGAAAACAACATGTAACATTAGTAACATTATTTTCAGTTTCTGTTTTTACTCTATTGTTACCGCATCTTTCTCTTTTTTTGGACCAATGCCACTGTTCTTGTTAAATTAAAAGCATACATCACTGCACTTAATAAGTTTATTTATGGTTTGTGCATCTCATTATGATTGGAGCATACAGCATGTTCTTAGTGTTAGGAGAAATGTGACCCAGAAGAAAAGCTACACTGGCCCAGGGAAACTCCCCATTAGAGGGAGTTGAACCTAGGAACACTAGTTACTGATAACATTTTGTTTATTATTTGGTCAGTTACGAGATTTAAAAAGTGGTATTGCAAACTATATAGGAGAAAACAGGAGCAGATACATTTCTTATTGCAAAGCTAAAAAAAAAGGTCTATGTGTCAGCTACTGAAGTGGACCCTAAATGTCCTTATAATGTCCGGTCAAAAACCACACAGGGAAAAGAGGGTGGAGCTGCATGTCACCTCATCTCGTCATAGCAACGGAAAGTGTGTGCCAGGAAAAAGTGCTGTTAACTGAATAACTGAGTTGTCTGCAGTGCTTTACGAGAGGCTTTAGGAGGACCTACAGGTGGAGAAAGGCTTTCAAAACAAACCCTATGTAAAAACCTTTCCTTTTATCGTTTTACCGAAGTAGAAATATCCTCCTTCGTCTCTGGGCTGGAAGAAGCGTCCCCGCGCCTGAGCATGGACATCTGCTCCGTGCTCCACAAGAAACTCCACATAGTGTTTGCTGCGACGCTCAATCGCAATGTGCAGCGCTGTCTGTCCTGGAAACAGAAGCCGATACAGGAATGTGTCTTCCATGTCTAAGTGAGAATAAACCAAACGGCTCAAATCAGAGAAAGTAGTTCTTATACCTCTATAATAAACATCTCTAAATGGCGTGTTGATGAATTCTCTCAGGTTTCCAGTCTTCTCAGCTATGTCCACCAGCAAAGGAATGGTGTCGTTTTGTCCACTGTAGAGATTCAACAGGGCTTTGGGCAGACACGTCTTACCCGTCGATAGCTCTGAAACAAAACAGAAAAGAGAAGTTTAATGTCCTTCTGCCCTTTTGAAATAGAGCAATGGGTTAGTAACAGTTTGCTGTGACTTGTCTCTGCTGCGTGTGATGTGTTGGAGACTTCTCACACACAGGAAGTCTCAGCCCATGAGGTGAAAAGTTTATTCTTCACCTTTTCCATAGCTTGTTGAAACAATGCAAAAGATTGTGGGAGTATTTGCCAGGAAACATAATGTGCCATTTTGACTTTGATTTGTGAGCTTTTACCCCTGTTTCAACCTTCTCAAAAAGAGACCTGGAGTTGTTTTTAGATCCATCCAAACTAATATCAGGAACTTGGTATAAACATGTATTACAATATAGAATAACGTCATTGCACCACTAAAACATCATGTGCCGATTTCTTAAAACAAAAGTATTGGCTCTAAGTATTGGCAATTTTTAAAATGTTATCATGTACTTTACTACCACATAGTAAATAAAATTACACATAGTAATTTTCAAATTCTGAGAAAAAAAATACTCCCCCCGCATAGTAGTTACATTGAGAGTTACAAACATTTTTATCCTTGATATCTGTTGCCATATATTTTCTACTTTATCATTTCACATTCTAAAACATGGAAAGACAAAGGTAGGAAAGGCAAAAAGTCTCATCATCATTTTTAATGGTAAAATAACTAAAACAATACTTTTGTACATTGAGAGGAGGCTGATCACGTCCAATACGAAATGTGAATTATAAATTATAATTGGAACCAAAGATTATATTAGACAATAGAAAATGACTTATCCCACCTCTGAACTCCTCATCAATCAGCCTCTTTTCATGAGTTTGTAGGAACTCCAGCAGCCCCTCTAGAGACAGGGGGTCTCCACGCGACACACACTCGAAAAGAAGAGACCGGTTAAAGACTTTCAAGACTTTAGGGGGATCAGCACCAGCACCATCCTCACAGGAAACCTCTGCTTTACTGTAAACATAAACCCAGATAACACGTGTTCATTAATCAGACTGGATATGCCACTATATGAAAGAAAAGTGTTTTACCAGCCCCATAATGACACCTCTGTTTGAGCCTGGCAGACACTGGAGCCCAAATATTACCTCAACCGCTTCAAACCAACAACAAGGCCAGTGTTGAGTGGAGAAAAGTCTGCCTGTTTGTCTATGCTTTAGAGGCACGCCTCAGTCTGCAAAGTTGCATTTGTGGAGCAGTTTATGATCATATTTTCTCAACAGTGTTATGCCCTTTTTAAACTCTAAAATAAGGCGCTATTTCGCAAATCTCAGTATCAAAAATGAACTTTTAACAAATATTTAAAGTTGCACAATGTGACTTTACTTGTCTACATGGAGACATGGTATTACTTTGGCTTGAACATTTCACAAATTGGTATTCATGTTATGTGGAAATGTCCTAATGTTCTCTTTCTGAGCACAAATTATCATCTACATATGAAATACTATAAAAGCTCCAACATGTAGAGTTATACAGTATATTCTTAGATTACAAACGTGGTAAGACATGCAAAATGTTTCTTCATACCCATGCTCTATAAATAGTGTGTGCACTCTGTATACAGGCTTATCTACAAGTTTCTTTTCAGGAAAAAAGTTTATGTACCCTCGTGGTAGCTTTTTCCTGCGTTTCTTCTGGTTGCTTGTGTTCCTGTAGGTACCATAGTCGAACAGTGAGTCCATTGGAGCCTTCTTGGGTCCCGGGACCACATTGGACTCATAGATGGAAGTTTCCAGTCGGTCCATGGGGTTACCAATGCCTTTCTTAAACGCACCCTGGAACTTTGACCTCAGGTTTTGCCTACTGTCTGTAGGATGCTGGCTAGGTGGGGCAACATCCTGCCCCACCAAGACATTTGGGTCTTCAGTCAGGACAGAGTCACACTCATGTTTGTCCGAGTCTGACAACTCACACAAGGAGTCGGTTTGGGCTTCTCCAACATCACCAGAATCAAGGGAGACAGTGCCATTCTTGGACAAGGCCAGTTGATACTTTCTGAAAAGCGTAGTGGCCGAGCGGTTCTACAAATGCAATAAAAAACATGAACAAAAAAAAAATAGATCAACAAACTAATTACCATTGCAGTATTTACTGTTATTTCAGTTTAAGTCAAGCATTGTGTCATACTTGCATAGATATAAATAAGACTGACTTTTTGCTAGCGTTAGATGAATTATCCTGCTTCTACTAACAGTGTTGGGAAACAATAATATACAGACAGTACAATACTCTCAAAACCTTCAGGATCAATGTATATCATATTAAAATGTATAAGTATACATATAACATGTAAACACACTTTCAACTCTCACGTACCTCGTTCATTGCTTTTGTCACAATGATGTGTCAAATTCCTTTTCAGAAGAAAGCCAAACCATGTGGGTATCCTGAAGATGCAGAAAGAAAATGTGAAGTGGGCAGGAGATTCTTTTACATGGGGTACAAACACCTGATCTACTGTATACACAATTCTAAACATCCCATCATGGGAACTTTTGCTATTGGTGATAATGCAAATAGAGAAAGAGTCCATCCTTACATATGGCTTCCTCTTCAATTGTATGCCTTCCTGAATCTGCTCCGTACAGGGAGGACTTATCTAAGCCAGACCACTGAAAAGGGGCAACACAAACAAGTGTGAGGTCCTGTGTGGGGCATGAGTCAGTGCTGTTTAACACATGGATTATCATGCCGGTTCACGTCACTGCACATTTAAGAGTTCAATAGAATAACTAAACTATCAGAAGTAAAACTACTAAGTTGGTTGAGTCTGAAATATGGGTTTTAGTTGGGAGTGTTTGATGATATATGTGTGATTTATCTTCCTTGTTAATGGTCAAAGGCAAGATACAGTTATATCAATGGTAATTGATGATGATGTCCCCAGAGACTTGGGACTTCCTGTTTTGTCACTGCTGATGAGACACTGACCAGAGCTGAAGAGATATGAGGATCAGGCTGGAGCCCCACTAACGTTAGAATACAGAGGTTTAACAGTTACATAGACTGTTTGTACCTAGTAGCGTTATGGAGTCAATGATCATGATAATTCATTATAATAAACAGATATTGCAATGATATAAAACAAAATAAGACTCATCTAGTTATTTTATGCTAACTCTAATTGATAAACACATCAGTCTATAAATTACACACAATAACGTATGGATTTTTTTTTCAGCCCAATTGTCAGAAAGTTTATGAAAAATAGGCTTAATCAATAAAACTACTGTGGGCTTGTATTTAATAGATACAAAATAGAAATGCGACTTACGCGACTGTTGTATATAACTTTTAAGATTAAGTTAAAACAGATTTCCCCTTTCGCTGCGCTTCCACGGAATAAGTACGGACAGTCGCCTCTCAAACTTTGAACAACGGATGCCTTGAGACGGACTGGGTGGAGGGACCGGCAGGAGGTGGGACGAAGTGAACGCCACCTTGGGTCGAAAAATCAGCAGTAGAAGCGACACCTTGCGATACTGTTATTGAGCACAAGGGGGCGGCGTGGTTTTGCCCCTGAAGCTTTGGAAATGATAAAATTATAAAGGAGACGCCTAACCATACCTGTCTGACAGATACGTTTGAAATCAATGTTATGTTTTTTGAAATAAATTCAATACTTTCCGTTGTGAAACAAAACGTTATTATTATTATTAGAATACTACTAATTATTATTATTATATTAATAATGATAAAAATTATAGAAACAATTTGATTATCATTCAAGATTGACTTACAAACAATGCAATGCTTTAATTGTGTGTCTTTGAGCGACGCAACGGCGCACGCCGCACGCTACACACTTTTTTATACTTAAAGATAGATGTAGATGTATTTATTCATAATAAAAGAGACCAATATTAGCCGACCTGGATAAATATATGTTTTAATAATCAATTTGATATTCAAAACGTAAAAGGTAATTCGTACTAAAAATATTACCCCAAAACTAATCCAAATACAGCATATGAATTAAAAACTGCACAACATACTATGCAAATATAACATGTGTATATTTCATAATCATGAAAAGAAACCAAACAGAAAAGGAAAACGTGCGCCAGTGAAATAGTGTGCTTGGTCATGCTGTTGAATCTATGTCAGCATTCATCTTAGTGTACATCTCATAAATTGCATCTACAGTCACAGAGAAGTTCATGAGAAATTTGCGGATTTTCTCTAAACACTCTTCTTCTTTCACATCTCTTCCTTTTGACAGAGCCCTCAGGAAGTCACATTTATAGGGCGCAGCAAACACAGCAGCCTGAAACCATTTTAGAAAAACATAAGCAGAGTGTATGTACAGTGCCTTCCGAAAGTGTTAATACAGCTAGAACTTGCACATTTTGTCATGTTTACAACCATAGACATAAAGTTCACACACAACTGACAGACAACTGGAAAGTGAAACTAAAATTATACATGATTCTGTTTCATGAAATAGAAAAGTTGGGCCAGTATTTGTTCTTAGTACATAAAATGCCTTTAAAACATTTCTAATGAATGTTGGTTGTTCACACCATGCCCTAATGATTAAATAGAGGCCTCCTGTGTGTAAATAAAGCTGTTCTGTGAGGGCCTCAGAGCTATGGTTGGTCACTAAACTACATCATGAAGGCCAAGGACCACAGCAGAGAGGTCAGGAATGAAGTTGTGGAGAAGTTATTCCAAGATTTACCAAGATTGTAATATTTTACGGTGCACTGTCCATCATTCAAAATGGAAAGAGTATGGCACCACTGCAAACTTACTAAGACACGACCATCCACCTAAACTAACAGAACGAACAAGGAAGAGCCCTCTGCCCACGATGAGTCTGGAAGAGTTGCAAAGTACTGGCGCTAAACTGGGGGAATCTGTACATGGAGCAAGTATCTGTCACACACTCTTCACACATCTGGCCTTTATGACTGTTCACACATGCTCTCCATGTTATTTGACAGAGCTAGAGGTGTTTTGTAACGAGAAATGGGCTAAACTTTCAATCTCTATAAATGCAAATCTTGTAGAGTCAGTGCAGCAAAAGGGGTTCCATAAAGTATTATTTCACATATAAAAAAAATCTTTGTTTATGATTGTAAACATGACAAAATGTGCTAATGTTCTAGCTGTATTAATACTTTCACAAGGTGCTGTTTTGTGTGTTAAACAAACTAAGAATCACCTTGAAAAGTTGTTGCACAAACCAACCATGATACCGCCTCAATGCAATTTCATAGGCTTTATTCGCATTGACTCGAATGAGATTTGGGTTTAGATGATCTTTCTCTCCATTAACAAGGCTCTGCAGAAATACCTGAATAAACCGTAGACTCCTGCATAATAAAATACCCATCAAAATCAAACTAATTGAACAAAATAGAAACATTTAGATAATAGAAAAACAATACAAATAAACCTTCTACCTTTTAAGCCACATGAGTGCAAAGGTTGCTCCAACTTTAGGCCATTCTGTCCCATGCATTTCCTTCTCAGCCTCCAAAATGTGCTGCAACGTTTTGAAACGTCCGGGGTTAGTGTCATAGACTGTCTTGATTTTCTAAAAGAAAGGGTTTTGTCGTCATTGCAAATAGATTAATCAATTATATCTATGGTTATATTATCATTTCTTACGGAAAGGTTCCCTGAAAAGTCTGCTTTTATTGGTGCAAAAACAGTGGCTCCGAGGCAATCTATAGATATGTGCAAGGAGATTAGACATTAGATTCTGTAGTAAATCATGCATGGTGAGAGGTTATTTGGACAAACAGAAACAAAAAAGGATTTAGCAGAGCCAGAGTCTTCTTGAGTAATTAGGCAAGCAAAGTATTAGGTGACATTGCACACACACACACACACACACACACATGTGCTTGACCCGCTGTCACCAGTGACAGAGCCGCTGTAAGTGGAAACAAAGCGTGCTCTATTGTTCTCTTCTGATGCACCAGACAGCATTAATTGCAACAGATCTTTCTGAGTGGAATTTCATTTGGTTTGTCATTCTTTGGCTTCTCAAAATTAAAGCATTTAACTTGAAATAATGTTCTTCTGCAAAAACAAGCTCATTCTTACATAATGAAATAATGTTATAAGAAAACATAGTATAAAGACAAATGTGGCTTTAATTGGATTTAAAAATAGTAATTCATCAAGGAGGTATACAAGGAAGGCCTTTGAGTACAGTGGTGTCAAGGTTTGTGTGTGGCATTTTAAAAGAAAGCCATTGGTATATTAATACCGAATGAAGTAGCACAAAAGTGCCCAGGAACACCATCTCACCAATGAATGGGCATAGGGAACTCAACACCCTACTAATCAATTTTCACAACTGAAAATCCAAGCCTCTAAATTTAATAATGCATGCTAAAGAATGGTTGGTCTATTCCAGATAATATCTATAAAAACATAGTAAATATTTAAATAGTAAATATTTTAAATAATGTAATATTTGTAAAACATTACGAGCAATAATTTTCAAGTTTAGTCCAGTAAGCCTTAAGGGATAAATAGATAGATAATGACAGAATGGTCTTCTTCATTCTCTGCGCCTCTATTGTTTTAGATGACACTTACCAAAGAAAGGTGGAAGAGAGGACACTGACTCCAGAAAAGGCCTAGTTTCCACTTGTCTGTCTGCTGGCAGTTGTCTGAACTGATGATCCAAGAGTAGAGCCATGTCAAGAGAGAGTAGCACTGAAGAGATAGAAACAACAGTCTCTGAGCCTTTACTGCACAATCAGTCAGTGGCACAACTGTGTGCCCGTCTCCACCTGAAACAACCCCCTTCCCATACACGCACACACGCACGCATACACACGCACACACACGCACACACACACGCACACACACACACACACACACACAAACACAGATACATACACACAAACACAGACACACACACACACACAGACAGTACGTCACTTTACTTCACTGTACTGCTGTCGCCTTACATTGTGTGCACCATGTGCACTTGTATATTGTAAATAGTAGTTGTAACTCTATTTTAAATTTAAATTTATTCCTTAGAAGTGTTTTTTATTCTTTATTCTTTATCATCTCTTTCTGACTGTTGCACTGAGCCAAAGCAATTTCCAAGTCTGTGACTTTCTGTTACTTACGTGGCAATAAAAATGATTCTGATTCTGACACAGACAGACACGCACGCACACACACACACACACAAAGCGCGTTATAACAATTATTGATGTAATCCCACATAACCCATAGACTGTAACATAAACTCGATTTAGCGAGACGTTACCATACACGCATGTACACGTACACGCGAATATTTTTTTTAATTATTATTTTAAATCATGAAGTTTGTCCTTAACGGTTTTCCGTAGAGCTGTGCCGGAGGGTAACTAGGAAGTACAGTAGTAACTAGGGAAAACCTGCGACACGCCAAACAGCGAATACAGTATGAGGCGCCTTTTTCCAGATTTATCTTTTTTTCCTGTTCATTCGTCTTTTTAAGTTAAACAGGTCTTTATTCCACGTATTATTTTTCTAAAGCAATGTTTTATTCACTAATGTTTAACGGTGTAACAGATTTGCACAGTCTGACTGATTTCTTGTTGCTTATAGCTAGGATTATGGCGCTACCGACCCTTTCAGCGTATGCACCGGCACGCTCGCGGGCCTGGGCCGGGCAGATGGCTCGGCAGCGGGAGCAGCAGGCCCGGTGGCGGCAGCAGTGGGAGCTCCATTCCCAGTATTTCAAAGAGCAGAGTGTCCGCAGTGAGAAACAGGCGGCCTGGAGTTCCCGACAGTCCTACCAGCAGAGGTCAGATTCATTCTTCTCACAGAAGCCGTACATTGTCATTCAATTTCAATTCGAGCTATTTTTGTACAGCCCTAAATCACATCAGCACTAGTCTTTTGATTAGCAAATCAGGCATATACATAATGCTTGTTATTTGTTGGTTTCATATTATTATTCATTTTCCGCCAAAATTATTACATTTTTGACCCTAAAGACATGCACGAATGTTGGCCCATGGGGGGTCGAATACGACCGGGTCGGTGAAAGACTTTATGAAATGATCGTTTCGAGATTGTCTATATCGCCCCCTGGAAATTTCAAATTTGCCAAGCTTATGGGAGCCAGACACGAAATTCAGATCAGTGATAGATCTCTATGAGACTAGCTTAAACTCTCTTGGAGCCTCGCTCTGGGACTAACAGGAAGTCGGCTATGATGGTCTGAAGTTTCGCTGCCAATTTTACTTTTCATTTTTTGGTTTCGTACTTGGTACTCTCTGGTTTTTCATCATACAGAATTCTACCACGTCATTTCCCAATCTGTATGGATTGAAGTTATATCATTCCTTGAAAAAAGTAAAAAATTCTTTACAGTTTTTGTCCCACGCCATGGCGAATAACGCCTTAGTTGTGGGTGTTTTCGCTGAGCCCTGAGGGCCACAGGCTCAGACCTACAGAGCCAAGACTCCCATCACTAATATTAGGTTATTGCCTGAACGCAATGACACTAATTCATCAGCTAGTACACTGCATGCCACTTATGGGACTGGGGCCCAGGAGGCGGCTGCAAGAGTGGCGAGGGCTTTCATCACCGCTTGCGGCTTTAATTTTTATTAATATTATTATTATACACATGACACCATGGTAAAATTTGTTTGGAAATTCGATTATATTGGACTATCTAATATTCAGTCATTTTTATGAACTATCAAAAAACTGCTTACAGAAAATAGTAGCAAATCTAATGGAACCGAAATGCTATCAAATGTCCTTAGTATGATACTGTAAAATAAATAAATAAATAAATACAAATGTCCTGATGTAGCTGTATTATTCTAAAGTTTGGGGTGTAGGAGCATTGGGTCAAAGGAGCTCAAAGCTATTGAAGGATAATCACAAATAATTGAATACAATATTGTATAAAAGCTTTCAAAAAATAAACTGGGTTTTGCCCTTTAGTTCTGATTCAACTAATCATAAAGTGGTGTATGATATGATATGAAGAGAAATGAAACCGGTTGAAGCATCAGGCTGGGTCATTCGGTCAAAATCCATAAATGTATCATCACTTGAGTCTCATTATTCTAATTGGACTGTTAAAATATAATAATTGTATATTATATCATTTTATTTTATATCTCTGCTTTCCAATCAGTAATCTGTTGACACTCCATACATCAGTCTGAATACATACTGAGTGTCTGTTGATAAGGAAGTCGTCATTGTACTTCTTAATTTTAATTACAATTTAACAATTGTAATTGTTGTTTTGACAGCATGCTGGCATATCATAAACAGAGGTTGGAGGAGGAAAGGAGATCATGTCTAGAGAAGCGAAGGGATAAACTCAGGGTTATGCTTCAAGAGGAACAACGCTCTATGGAGGCGGAGCTCCGAAATCTAGTTCCTGACAACAGCACTTTAGCTCGTCAGCTGGCACAAAAAACTGAAGAGCTACGCACAGCAAGAGAAAGAAGAAGAAAGGTAATTGACCTGTAATCTTCAGTATGCAACCTGCACAATTCAATAGAAATAAAATAAACGTTGGAACATTTTCCATGGAGTATTGTATATTATTAAGTGGAAGACCATAGTCGTAGAAAGGTTTCTTCTGTTATGTTATGTTGAAGTTATTGATGACACGTTTTTATTTTAGGTTGCAGATCAGTTGATGAAGGAGCACTGGAGGAAAAATAATCCTGATTTGAGAGAGGTACTAATCCTTAAACAATTAATGCTACTGTGGTACACATGGCCAGATCTCTTACTTGTAAGGCTGACTGTTGATAGAAGTGATAAATGGCTTTAGAAGTTTAGTAACCTGAGGAATGAAAGCGAGGCTCTGAAAGTTACTGCAACACATACACACACACGCACACGCACGCACGCATACACATGCATGTGAAAGTGATATCATGTGACCTTCTGCAGACTTATATTTTTGTTATGTTCGATTTAAAATTATTTGGTTGTGCCCAAAAAAAATTCTTTGTCATTCAGCTGGAATCCACCTTACACAAAGATCATGTCATCGAACAGTGGAAAGAGCAGATAACTGATAAGAAAGAGGTAAGAAAAATTATTTTCTTTTCTCGACTTTTGTATTCAGTGGACATGTATGATATATTTTTTTAAAATCAGTAAAAAGTTAGTGTCAGATTGGTGTGATTAAAAGAATAATCTGCCGCCTAACCCTGAATTTAACAAATATACAGCAAAAAGCGGCTGAACAGGAGGAGAAGCAACGGTTTGAAAATGAATATGAGAGAACTCGCAGAGAAGCACTGGAGCGGATCAGACTGGAGGAGGAGCGGAGGAGGGCGGAGGAGGGAAAAAGAGCTGAAGAACTCCGTAGACAAATGGAGGAACTCAAATTGAAAGAAGAAGAGGTACGTTTGTCAGTGTTTAGTATAACAGTTTGAGAACTGACTACTGTGTTAAGATGAATATTAAGAGCCTTGCCCTGTGTTTGGTGTTTTAGGCAACACGTCTTAAGAAGCAGCAAGAGGCTTTGTTGGCCCAGCATTGGGAACTTGAGAAGCTAGAAGTAGAAAGGAGAGGAGCAGAGGAAAAGAAGAAGAAATCTGAGATCAGGTGAGAAATCCATTGCTTTGAGATTATTGAGACTTCTTAACAAATTTAAATGTCTATTGTTGCAGGTATTTTCTCATACGTCAGTATCGAGCTCAATTGAAGAGAAGAGCTCAGCAAGTGCAGGAAGAACTTGTGAGTGATTCTGACCAGTTTGACTTCTTGAAATAGGCATTATATAAAAGTTAACTGTAACTTTGAATGTGTTATTTCTTTTAAAACAGGAAGCTGACTGCAGAATCCTAGCAGCATTAGTGAAGGGGGAGGAAGGTGATAAAAGACTTCAGACTGAAAGAAAGGAGCGAGCCATTGCTGACGCTGCCTGGATGAAACGAGTTATTGAAGAGCAGCTGCAGCTGGAGAAAGAAAGGGAGGCGGAGTTGGATTACTTACACCGGTAAATTCAGAGGCAGTTATGTTTTATATATACTGTATGAACAGGACATTTGATGTATATCAGAACTAGTATAAATCTTTGGTACAATTGTTTTGTACCAGTGTAGTGGAATGTATTCCTACAGTGGAGACTTGATAAACATTCATGGGAATGTGAATACAATAGTGTGTTTATTTCAAAATAGACGTTTTGGAAATGAAAAAAAAAGGTTGTACAGGCCATATCCATAAGCGTATACTGTATATGTGAGCCACATACAGACGCTCACAGGAAATAAAGAGATAAATGACATCTTATTGTTTAAAGAAATGGAATTTGAGTTTATGCAATGTAATGAGTGTGATTTTAGTCTCTATATTAATTATATTGATCATTTTAGGGAAGAAGCTCAACTTGTGTGGGAAAAACAGGAAGCACAGTGGGAGAAGGAGAGAATAGCCAGAGAACGACTCATGAAAGAGGTGCATTTTTCACCACAAAAATGACAGAAATAATGAACATGCAGTGTCATCTTGTCTTGCCGTTTGTATTTCCTTTAAAGGTGCTTGCAGGCAGACAGCAACAACTTGAAGTGAAAATGCAAAGGAATCGTGAGGCTCAAGAAGAGTCCTTAAAGAGACGGGAGGAGCTAATCAAAGAACTAGAGACAGAGAAAGAGTTACAACAGCAGGAAAAAGAATTGGAAGAAGGTCTTAGAACTGCACGAAGGAAAGAAATAGAAGCCCAGGTATTACTTTCTTTGTTGAACTACCTGACAGTTATTGGTCAATTGTAAACAAACCTTATTTTTAGGTTGAGCAGAAGCAGCAGGACCAATGGGAAGAGAATCTCCGGCTGGAGAAACTGGAGCAGGAAGCGCAAGAGGCCCATCGACTCCAGGAGGAGCAGCTGAGGCAGGAGATGCAGAAGATGGCCAAAAGAGGCTATGAGGACGGGGTGAGTAGTGGAGCTTTGATTTACATTGGATTTGTCAAAATGCATCAACAATTTTTATTTGTTATGTTATGTTATGCCTCAAAGCTTGCAAAAAAAAAAAACACCTTGGTGTTTTATTTGAGTCTATATCAAAGACAAGCTTCACATTATAATTTTAACAAAAATAAATAAACGTTTGAACAATATTCAAAACACAATATTCTGAGTTTCCCCTGCATTAATTCTTGCCTTGTAGGTACGCAGCAGACCCCGATCAGCATGGACCTAAGTCTTTTGAAAGAAGAATATTGATGCAAACATTTAAACTTTAAGGCTGTTTCATAGATGCCATACATTTTATCCTAATGTATTTATTTTTTAAACATTTGTAATTTTACCATGTTATATTCAACCCTCAATAAACATTTTGTATAAGTTCAATAAAAACTAAAACTTGTGATTAATCACTGCACATCTACATTTAATTTTAAGAGAATACATTTTGTGGACCCACCACCTGCAGGAGGATCAGCGAGGGACTGGTGCTGTGTGAATTGGCTGGCAGCTGATGAAAATGTAATGTAAAAATACATTTTCAAGGAATGACGAAGATCTTTACCCAAATGTTACAAAGATAATGAAAACACTAAAGCAGACTGTATAAAACCAGTTTTTATTAGCCTCAAGAGTTAATGGCACAGTATATAGTAAGAGTTTTATGAAAATGCATAAATATAAAAAGAAAACTAACTTGTTTTGGTGCACAACAAACACATATTTTTGTCATAATTTAGAGGTAAGTTTCTGTGTTCAGTCAGAACAGGGGGCCCTTAAAGTCCAATGTAGACCATGTATTTCAAGGGTCACATCGAGGGTTTCTACTTTGACAAAATGTGAAGAAAACACAACTGTATTGTTGCACAGTGCAATAAATAAAAGGAGTCTCTTAGATAATCAACTTATGTCACAGTAAATGTATCACTCCATGTATGGCTTTAAGTAGTTAAGCTATAATCAAAGACATAATTAGCCTATGCCGACATAATTTACATTATATTTTCTAGGCCTGCTAGCTATCTCCAGTATAAAGTCTGAATTGAAGGACTGTACAATATTATTTTAGTACCTTTTCCCTTTGTGCTCATTACAATGTACATATCTATTGTGCTTTTGTAAGCAGCAACTCAAAATAAATAAAAACACATGCATAATAATAAACATTTGAACATTTAAATAGGCTCCACCCTTTTGTATTAGTTGGTATTCTCCTTCGTGGTGACTGTCACAAGTTGTTTGGCTGCCTTGGCGATGTCATAAGCACACTGTATAACCTGTTGTGTGACCAGCTGCATGTCTTGGCCTCTGTCCAAGGGAATAGCCTTCTTACATTCAGTCTGCAGGCGTCCGGCGCTGGACGTCAACAAGCGCAGAGAGCCTCTCACTGTCTCGGAACCAGGTTTCTGCAAGTAGATGGGAAAACAAGTGAACTACAGCTCGTCAAACACCTTTTGGAAATGTAGATGGTCAAACACCTTTGGAAAGAGGGCAGCCATTTCTGTTACAGCCACATAAATCCTTTCTGAGCAGGGTATGAAGCTGTAAGAACATAAACAATCAGTCTGTGCTTTGAGACATCTCTGTATATGCCTATTGCAACTCAATATTCCAAGTGCAACAAACGTGCAAGTTACACAAACAAGGACAATTCTTTGTGTTAGTAAAAATGAGAGTGGATCTGATATTGGTTTCACACAAATTCAGAGTCTGTTGACTCTGAACTTAATTTTTACATAGCACATTTGGTTTATTGCACTCAGTTAAGAAGCCAAAGTAGTAGTGTCTGAAAGTAAGAAAGTTAAATCAGTGCATCCCAAATCCCAACATGCAGTTGTGTGAGCATATGAGGGATGGTTGTTCTCACTTCTCATCCACAGCTTATTGTAACCATCCTATCAAAACCACAAAGCAAAACACTTTTTCTCACAGCATTATTTACATTATTTAGTCAAGAAAAAACACTTCATAGCACGAGAGGAGGTAGACTGTGCCTGGTAGGCAGGGACAGAGGCCAGAGTACCAAGAGGTGGAGTCAGGGTAACGAAGGCTGAGCAGCTGGACAGGAGCGGTGGGCTTTTCAGCCCAAGGAACCAAGCTGCTGAAACATCCCAAACTATGTCTGAGGCGACGCACACGTTCTCGCTCAACAGACCTGACCATTCAGGTGGAGACAACAGTGCACACAGAGGCAAAAGAAGTATGGACAGAGAGTGAATAAAATAAAGAAACCAACTGAAAAGGTGTCAAAAGCTTCCTAAGACGAGTGATGGATCTGAGCAGTTCAAACCTCTCGTGTTTGCAGTCTTGGGCTGCTCGCAGAAGCTCCTGGATATTCTTAGTTATTTGCTCTGTTTTGCGGATCACATCTTCAGTGCTGGGAAGAGTGGGGTCACTTTCCATCTCCAGCTCATCAAACTCTGGGATGGAGCTTCCCTCTGCCAGCCTGCCACTGCGCCGCTGCCTTCCCTTCCTGTCAAATACAGAAAAGATTCGATTTTATAGAACATCCAAAACATTGAATTAGTGTTTCAATTCAAGAACTTTACCTCAAGTCGCCCATATCTGTGCCATTAAAGGCATGATCATAATCACTTTCTGGCATGCTGCTCTGTTTATCCAACTTTGAAGCCTGCAAGTGTAGAGGAAACGTCACAATGTGGATCTGAATAGAAAGGATTGACAATAACTGTGCATCAGCTGTTATGAGTGTTAGAGTTAAGCTGTGAATGAGTTCAAAGGATGTCAAAGCAAGATGTGTTGTGAACCTGGTTTAAGTTCTTGTTGATCACTGACCTTAAAATAGATGGATTGACAAAGCATCAAAAGCAGAACCTTTGAATTGTGACAGATCTACTGCTGTAATTTTAGCCACAGTTATGTCTCAAATTCAAACTGAAACTAATGAAAACAATTACTGTTTGTTTAAATAGTACATATCTGCCTCTCACTTTTATCTCACTAAGAAAAAAGTCACTGTATTACTATCAATATTGAGTAGACCAAAAAAAACGTTAAGACCGGTTTTATACACTGATGTTATGTCTCGACTCTAATTCTTTAGAAATCGTGATTCATTTTGCAGCGAGAACAGTAAAGTAAAAAGTAACGTCAGCTAATTGAGAAATTCAAACATACAATGCATTTCACTTTGTTTTACAGAGAATCTCACACATACTACAACTGAGAAAACTTACTGCAAAACAATTTGTTTCACTCTGAAATGGGACATAATACAACCTCAAAACTCAATCTGAAATACTTGTGGGTTTCAGCAGTGAAGCATTTCTGAAACTGTATTTTTATATATTCAAATGTCAACGGTGAAATCAATCGTTATGTTTCTTTCATGTGCATTGAGAGGAAACCATCAAAATAATTTTCCTCTCTTTAGTGGACAGTGCAGACACTGTGTTTGTTATTTGTAGGGCAGAGCGGCGGGAAAACAAACATTCCACGGAATGATGGCAGGAGGGTAGATCATGAACAATCAGAGATGAGCCTAAGCAGCAGAGTGATGCAGCAGTGCAGTTTAACAGGGAGTACTTGACCTTCACAATACGGTCTTCTTTAAACCAAGACAAAGTGGATGGAAATGAGGGCAGAGATGTGGAGGCAACACCAAAAGTACCCCTTTCCGTCTGAGGACATGGGTGAAATCAAATGTGATAAATGCAAAAGAAAAGTGTGAAATTTGCCATCGAAAACTCTTTCTGATGATGGCCATAATAAATACTGTTTACTGTATTCAAATGTATTTATTACTGATACAACAGAAAGTCTAACCCTAATGTATATAACAGTTATGCAAAATGTTTTATTGAAGCCGACATGACCAGATTTTAACACTTGACTTCAGCATTGGTTCTCAAAGTGGGAGAAGCGACACAACTTGATTTAAAGAAAACATGTAATTTTTTTAATCGTCAAAAATTTGACGAAATACACAAAACACAATAATTCGAGAGGAATTGGGTGAAATAGCACAATACATGATTGATATAAACAATACTACAATGGATCTTGCCCCTTCCATGTGCCCAAATCTGAAAACAATGAATAGCGGTCAATCATCATTTGCATGAAGATTTTAATGTTGTTTTTAAAGAAAAATAAACAGTACAAAGTGTAATTAAAACACACAATGATAATGAATGAATGTACCTCTATTAGTCTCACAAAGTGTTTGTGTAAAAATGAGTTCAAAGTGAAATGATGGTGTACAGAGATAAAGGTTTGTGAGAGGAACAGACGGAGCAGAAAAGGGGAAGGAGCAGGTCTTACTTACATGAGGTGTAAAGGATTGTAGGGTATGGGCCTCCTCTGAGTGGGGCATTTCCCCTTTAGGGACATAGGGCTTCAGGCCTGAGCCAGTCTCATACATAGACATGGCCCGACTGCCTCGAGAAGACTGTCTCTGCTTGTGGGCAGAGGGACTGGAGGGGTCAGGAGGCCCTGAGCTGCTGAGGCTCTGATAATGACTGGGAGGGACCTGTCGCCTTAGAGAAGAGTTCTCAGTTTGCAGAGATTGAAGCTGGAACAAATGCCAAACACTGAGACTGAGACAAGCTTTCGGCCAAGCAAGAGTTTCTAGCGATGAATATATGTATATATATATATATATATATATATATATATACATACATATATTCATCGCTAGATGAATTTATAAAAAATGTAGTTGCAAAATAGCAGCAAGATGAAGTTATCAATCTGATATTGCAAAGATCACAGGAAAATTCAGAAATTTGAGATAGATTAGAAATAGTGGTGGCTGTGTTACTAAACAGTGTCTGATGATTATGTACAGTACAAATACTAAAATGTTTCATTGGTCCAATATTACAAACAGTGAAAATAACATACATGCAAAACAACTATGTTTTCAAATATGTATCATACAAAACAGACTAAACTGAACCTATATCATGCACACACTTATAGTTAGTCCATTGAATCCATTTATTTGACATTATCCATGCTTATGTTAAAGAAGTTATTGTACACTAGAATTTAAAAAAGCAAATAAAACCAAATTTTAAAGAAAGTTGACATGCTGGGCATATATCCGTTTACACTGCGATTGTGATTAGATGCGAGTTTTTCCCATTGGTTAGTAATCACAGTGCTGAAGATACCTTTTTCTGCATCAGCCTCAGCTCATCACTCAAGTCACTGTTGGATTTCAAGAGCAGCTGAATCTTTGCTTCAGAAGCACAGAGAGCATGTTTCACATCCATGTATTCTTGTATAGTTATGGGGCCATCTGAGAGGTCTGAATCCAGACTCTAGAAAGCAGCAATACATTACAACAACAATTTCAGACAATTCTACACACTACCTTTACAACATTACAACATACCTTTGTTCGATCTTCTTTGCTGGTGTGCATATCTTGATCAGTGTCCTCATCAGAAGCTACACTGTCATAGTCGGGCTGGTATACGTCCTCAACAAAATGCTTTACAGTCAGATTCTTGAACATGAGATCTAAATGATCTGGAATGAGATAGGAAAACATAAGTAATTAGCCACATAAATATGGAAGTCTAAAAACAAGGATTATTGAATTAAAAAAGTGACTAACCTTGGGGACTGCACCCTGCATTCCCCTGTCTGTGCTTTGCGTCGCTTAATATGTCAATAACAAGAGTTGCAAATTCATGTGCATTAAATCTGGCCAGTTTCTGCCGTCCCTGTTATCAAACAGTATAAATGTTGAATAAGTGGTTTGCATCAAGAGGATAAATAAAGGAATGCACAAACTGAACCTGATTTCTAGTGGAGGAGTATTCTGGATTGACAGGAAGAAAAGGCACCACAGTTGTCTCTGACACTATGGTGCTGTGGTTCTGCGTAGCCAGCCACACTGACGAGTCAGAAACAAATTAGTTGAATGTGAACTCTCCTGTTTATAAAATATATATTGAAATATTTACCAGCATCTGTTTCTCGCCGGTCAACCTCATCATACACATCCATAGCAAGCTCCTCAAATAAATGATTACTGAGCTATTAAAAAAAGTAGATTTTAGTAGTATTTTGAATCTAAAACTGAAATTCAAAGTTATTACTCACAGATTGTAGCTTTTTCTTTGCAGATTTGGCCAATTCTGATAAATCTAAACGGCTGCAAACCAAACAGTTTATTTAGAACATGTTGTTGTTGAATATCTACAAGCTTAATGCACAGTAGATTTACTCACACATTTCTTATCCATTAAAAGTAAGCAATGGAAAAGCAAACACGACAAAATGAACATCCTGTCATTGCATTTTTTTATGAAAAAAGTTATAATTAACTGTAAATATAAACTTCAAACTTCTCATTTTAAACTGAAATGACTTAGGCAAGAACGGAAAAGTTAGATTTTGAGCTGAATAATGTGTGGTATTGCTGCACTATAAGGTGCTACTTTTTCTAGTCATTTGACCTCAGCAGCCTATAGTGATGTGGCCAATGTATGAATTTTTATTGTGGTAGAATTGGGCTGTTGTTAGAGCAGAGTTTATGGAACAATAATATTGACTCCATGGAGTTTTAGTAGCTATAGAACACACAATTAATGTCAAATTACACATTAATGTGTCCCAGCATGAAACCTAACTGTTAAGCTGTTACACTCCTTGTCATTAAATAATGTGGTAAACAGTTAAAACATTTTCTTTGTTTGTTTTCTGTCAATCAGCCGTTAGTTAAGTGTTATAACATACTCACTATGTTCCGGCATATATGTGGACAAAAAAAACTAAGATTTTGATGGTGCGGTTTATATTCGGGTGTGCTTAATAGTCCAGCAAGTACTATGGTGTTAATTTAAATGTGTCACTAAAGGTTTTATTTCTCAACCTTTAGTGACACATTTACTGAAAGTTTTTGTCACCATTAATTCTTTTTTTCATTTCATTTTTTTTATTTGTTTTAGTGTTTGAAGCAAGGACAAATACTGTATGTCAGGTCAAAAGTACACTTTCTCACCTGTCGGCTAACTGAGGGACGATGAAATGTTGCCCATTCCTATGATCTGAAAAAGGTAACATTAAGAGTAAGATTCACACATTGTATTATATTGTATTTTTAATCATATATTATGTTATATTATATCATATAATTGCCATGATTAAAACACAAACTTGCCTGGTTTCCTCCCACAAAGATAAAATGCCAACCGATCTGTAAGCTCATACTGGATCTCAACTAATCTGTCTGCCATGTCAAAAAACCCAGCTTCCCTGAATGCAGATGAGTAGCATGATCAGTTCAGAAAGAAAATATAAATAAGGAAGGAAAAACATTATAATGAAATTCGCATTACCTAGCATAGTCTATTGGGGTCTTGCCATTACTATCAGGGGCACCTGGATCTGCCCCGTAAACTGTCAGGACTTCAGCTTGTAATACTTGTCCAGCCTTTGCCGCCACATGCAGAGGTGTGCTTCCTTTCTCCTGTAACCAAACACGCGCAGACAAACAACATTAGGTTGTGTCTAGAGAAGTATATTCATACAATGTATTTCATGCTCACCGGGTGAAAGAAATTAGCTTGTGCACCCAACGTTAGTAACCTCAAACACGTCTCAAGGTTTCCTGTGCGGACGCTTGAATGAAGTTGCTAAAAAAAAGTAGTATGATGTATAAACTTAATGACACTTTGAGGAAAAGGGGGTGTACTTACTTTACTTAGATCTTTTGCTGTGTTGCCATCATCCTCCCGACATGGCATGCGGTGAACAAAAGCCAGCATTTGGTATTTAGCTTTTATAAATTCTGATTTATTTGGGCTTTGTGAACCAAAAAAGGAAAGTAAGCACAACGTTTAGAGCAAGTCATGCATTTCATATGTTGAGATCATTGTAAAGGACTCACTGCAGCTTGTCCTGAGGATTGGCCTTGCGTTTTCCACTCATCACAGATGTTGGATCTAAAAGTGAGTGCTCCCAGATGGAATTGGCCCCATTGCTGTATAGACTCTGCACCATCTACATCAATGGAGTATATGGTAATTTGTAAACAGATAATTTGTTATATGTTGTCTGTACTGTCTGTGAAGTGCTTTGTGGCCCTGGTCTGTGCAAGGCGCATTATATGTTTTTTCTTACTTACTCGATAAGTATGTGATTATAATTTCATCATAAGCAGAACCACTTTTAATTTCACATTTATTGTGCCTCTCAATTGCTCCTGTAAAAAATGTAATCTTAGATCCGTTTCAATTGTTTCCCTCTCATTTGCAGTTCTCCAATAAATTTCGGTTAATCCTATGATTGTACACACTTTCTATCTCTAAATACAGTCTTGAGCCTTGAGGTGATATGGGGTACTGACTATACTTAAATGTGCCATTATTGGTTTTTTTCTTAAGAAATGTGCAATACCAATTAAGTTGCCTTGCCTTGCTATATTATGTCAAGATAATGAAACATCCTCACATACACCTATGTATTAACCTAGCACCAAAAGACATTATGAAAGAATATTTCATCAGCACTTGTCCCAGCATCAGCAACCAGTAACAACCAGTTGTTTTATTAACAAAAGTAACACAAGTCAAACAAAATCACCACACCAGCTCAGAGTAAGCCAAGGTCTTCAAGCTCATTATGTTCAATGATTGAACTGAAACTAATGTACATCCATGAAAACCTTTACAGAAATGTAGTGTTATACCTGTTGTTGAGTTGGAGGCCATGGTGTGTGCGTTACATGTCGGACCTGAGAGCTGTGTCTACCCAGGCTTCGATGCACGCTGCAGCACTCATCACAGATCAGGACGCCCCTATTCACCGAAGCCCAACGTGGATCTGGACAAATGTATCAGGCAATATAATAATTTCATGAATATTGCAGATTGAAAAAATAAACATGTGAATCAGGGTTTCAGTGAAACTTCTACCACAAGATTATGAACACAAAAGCTAAAGCTGTACTATGAAGTATAGGTGTTTTATTAATCATCATTAGTCATTTTAAACTGGGAAATCAGGGCTTTCAAACTGTTCAATGTTATCTACAAATGTAAACTTAGTCAAGTTTGTATTTTGATTGATTAGTGCAGTAGGTCAATACAGTTCTAGTAATTCTGTCGCTTCCCTTTGAAAAAGCTCTGACAAACAAAAGATACTTCCAGTATTTGAAGATCACAGGAGACTCATAATTACTGATAATAAATACAGTATTTAAACAGTAAGTGAGTAAGTAAGCTTTATTTATATACCGCCTTTCACAGACCAGAGTCACAAAGCGGTTTACAATTGTTATTTTTTTTGGGCACTTGTCCTCTCACTCCACACAGAGATGGGAGTGAGTTTGCATTTAGTAATTGCTGTAAAAAATAGAGTATAACAACAGAAACATGTTGTGCACCAAAAGCATGTGTTTTTGTTACATCCTGTTTTGCTTCCTGTGTCTGAACCATAGACTGTAAATCTAAACAGGAAATCTCGAGAATACCCAATACCCAAATACTTTATAAATTAGTAATGACTGTCAGCTTGGAAATGCATGCTTTAACATACAAATTCACAACAAACAGTACAAATTTGAACCTCTTTTTGAACTGTCTTCTGCTCTCTTACAGACAGAGCGTTGTTGTTATTATTACTATTGATACATAATACTTTCAAGGACAAGAATGCTCAAAGGTAACAACAACAGGTCATTTCCTTTTAACCAATATATTGAACTAGCGTTAGCAAGACAAAATATATCATTAATAATCTTCTTACCTGGTACACTGCAGTCTGCACAGACATCGGTGTTTCGCTGGTGATTAGACATCCTTTACAGAAATCAGAGCTTTCAATTATTCCCTTTCTTTCTACAATCTATGATTATTTCCCTGAAGTGCCTCATTTACTTTTTTCACAATAATAACAAACTAGGCTACAAAAATATAACGCCTGTCACATTTTACCGTTACTTGCTAAATTAGCTTAGTCGTTTTGATGCACGGATACGACATAGTACTTTTACGACATAAGCATGACTATGATATTTTGATTAGAATGGTAGATTAACTAGCTCATGAAGCAGTTGTCTTCCCAAAGTAATACATCGTAATATAGCTATGGTCAATGCATACAGGCAGCTGGTGAGACGTAAATGATTTACCCTGAGTTTGTCCTCAAAGGTTCCACTGATTTATCTCATAGTAATCATAATTGTTTCCCTATGTTGCCTTGTAGACATGAAACTATAATTTCTACATACGTATGATTCCACAACAGTCATAACCTTTTAAATATTTTTATACTGGACAGAAAGGAGCGATTATTCAGTACCTGACAAACAATACCGAGGGTTAACTTGGATGGCGACAGCGGCATCCATACATCCATGCATCCATGATTTATGTTCACAGGTTGAATTACATTTTCACGTTAACCAAACATAATTTTCAGTTTTATTGAAAAAAAACCAAAAAAACGATATGATAATCTTGCTTTCATTTTAATTTTACAAACTCATGGACGATGTCATGTTTTGTCAATCCTCATGTTTATCTTGCGCTGTCTATGGTTGATTTATTCCTCAGTGTTGTATTTTTTTTGGTTGGATTCTCAAAAAATTAAGTGAGTTTGTCATACGAAAGTGATTATTTCAATTTTTAGATAAAAAAAAGCCCCACCCCCGCCCAGATATGATAAATGGAAGCGTCCGAACCAGACCCAACCACCCAGGATGGTGGTGTTGTGGGAATTAAATCATATCCGTTACAAACTTCCCAAATGTATAACACAAATGCAATTTCAATCAAAGTGTTTTACCTCACAAAATATGCTTCAAATACCAATACTGGATGAACCACAAGGGGTGCAGAGTTGCGCAGTGCACCCCTGTCTTTTCTGTGTACTACTCCTGATACTTCCTTGTTCAAAAGTTTCATTTTGAGGTAGACTTGCTAAAACTTTGACGCTCGCAGCAGCGGAATGAATTACATTTGCCACGTTATTTGAGTATATATGCCATGGATTTAGTGTTATTTCCTCGCTGACGTCCTCTTAAAGCTGGTTTGTTGCGGAAGGGTCTGTAGAGATGTCCGCTGCTAACGTTAGCGAAGAGCTGCGGGTGGAGTTTCCCTTGCACTCCGCTGTTTGGGCCAATGATTACAGACAGCTAGAGGATAATATACGATTACAACAGGTTTGGGAACGATTTATGATGCCCCAACTCGCATGCTGTAATAATTCAAATTACGGGCGCTTTGTTTGGCCTTGATTTAACAATGTGTGTGGTTTTAGATTGACGTTGAAGCTGTAGATCCCAGAGGTCGGACACCTTTGCATTTAGCGGTGTCTCTTGGTCATCTGGAATCTGTGAGGGTTCTTCTCAGACATGGTGCACAAGTAACAAAAGAAAATGCCAATAACTGGACCGGTAAGGACAACCAGCAGCCTCCAGCAGTTTTTGACTCTACTCTCTATTCATATGATTTATGAATTTGTTATTTTACATTGTCTTTGTAGCTTTACAGGAAGCAGTTAGTACTGGAGATCCAGAAATGGTTCAGCTTGTGCTTCAACGCAGAGACTACCTCAAAGCCTCCACTGCCCTTGGAGGAGTGCCTGAGCTGCTGTCAAAGATTCGAGAGGTTTGGTCCTCTTAAACTCGTGGTGACTTTGTGTATTTTATTCATCCCTGCCATAATCTTGTTTCATTCTTAGTCTCCAGATTTTTATATGGAAATGAAGTGGGAGTTTACAAGTTGGAGTAAGTTTCAATTTTAGCTCTCCGCTTGCTCTGAGGCCAACGAGAGAAACTGGAAGAACAACATACTGTCCGACTTACTTCATTATAAATCAGTGGTTTGTTTGTATTGTAGTTCCCCTTGTGTCCCGAGTTTGTCCAAGTGATGTTTGCCGCATTTGGAAAAGTGGCTCTAACCTGCGGGTCGATGCCACGCTACTTGGATTTGAGAATATGACATGGATCAGAGGGCAACGAAGCTACATCTTTAGAGGAGATGGTACATTCTGCATCTGAAGATGCTGTCTTTTTTCTGTTCAATGCTTTACAGAGATTTGTTGTGTTGTATGACAGATTCTCATGCAGTCTTAATGGAAGTAAACCACGATGATAAGGTTGTAGACACAGAACGGTTCAATATTTCTCAAGAAATGGAGGATGTGACTCTGGAATCAATGCAACCAGCTGAACAGGAGGTTGCCAAAAGACTAACTACTCCTATTGTTAACACATTCCTTGATACAAAGGATATTGCTTTTGAGAGGCACGTTCAATTTCTTTATCACCCTCAACACCATTTAACTATTAAAAGTGCCCTTGATATATTATGCATCCATAAATCTAGTAAATTATTATGTTTTCTCAGGACTAAGTCTGGGATTTGGGGATGGAGAACTGAGAGAACTGAAGTCGTCAATGGGTTTGAGGCTAAGGTTGGCAATTTTGTATTTTGTTCGTAAAGATATATATATCTGTTCTTTAAACAGCTACACTAATTACTACACTATTAATGTTTGCCTTTTTTAGGTTTTTAGTGTAAACAATGTCAATGTGGTGATCAGAACACGGACAGAGCATCTTACTGATGAGGAGAAGTCCCGCATTAAAAGTTAGTAAATTACAGCAAATAATTTTACTGATTTTATAACCCGCATTAAACAAAACATGAAAATGCAGGTGAAAGAAATGTCCTCGAATCCCTTTTGGGTACTGTGGAGCTGTACAATACAGCGCAGGGGGTAAGAGTTGCTTAGCCTTTTTTTTTTTAAAGAAAATATTTATTTTAGTCAAATTAATCTGAATTATAATTTGTAGGACCTTACTCTGGAGTATGCAACTGCAAACAATCCTACTGCCATCACCCCTGAGGAATATTTTAACCCAGAGTTTGATTTGGAAAATAGAGATATTGGACGACCAATTGAACTCAGCATTCGAACTCAGAAGTACTTTTTTATCTCTATCAAACCAATTCAGTTTATTGTATTCTTAATGTATTCCTTCAAAACCTGTACAGATTCAAAGGTACTTTGTGGATGAGTGAAGATCACCCATTGTCATTGGTGGAGCAGGTGACCCCCATCATTGATCTCATGGCTCGAACAAGTTCACATTTTGCCAGGCTGCGTGACTTTGTCACTCTGAAATTTCCACCTGGGTTTCCTGTTAAAATTGGTAAGCAACATTGGCATCAAAAATACCCCAGTTATCTGTGGAGGATGCTCCCTTTTTAGTTTTTCGCAAACTATATATATATATTTTTCAAATTTGCATCAGAAAAGCAAATGAAAACGGGGATGAAGTTGCCTTTGTAAAGGGTTGAAGCGTGTATCTAGGTGGTTACCTGTAAACGTGAGCTGCCTTTGTACCTTTAAATTATCCAGCAGAGAGTGTACTTATGGGAATTATTTCATGCGACATCACATTTGCATCATGTTTAAAAGTTAGCAGTTAGTCAAGTTGGTGTCAGATTTCAATAATTATTTAAGGATAAGCCCTTGATCTAAATTTCGCGCTGGTCCCAGTTTAAACTATTGCCACCAAAGTAAAGGCTTCATGAGTTTTGCATTAACTGTTAAGCGAATAAATGAAAATCCACCTAAAGCGATAAAACTTTATGCAGATAAAGCATTCTAAGCGCGGTATTTGGTGTTTCCACCTCCTGTTTCTTATGTGATTCTTGGGCATTGAAGATCGGGGAATGAAATGTTACTGAAGGTGAATGGGACCAAAAGCAAGTAGAAGCAGAATTATGGCCTGAGTCAGCACTATATCAACAAAATACTGAGAAAATGTCATCCTTATGGGTTTTTATTTTTTAGAGATTCCCCTATTTCATGTACTCAATGCAAGGATTACTTTTGGAAATGTGAATAAATGCAGTACAGAAGATGAGGCAACACCAACTCCAACAGGAACCCCAACAGAAAGTTCTGAAGGTATGAATATCTTACATAAAAACCAATTTAAATATATATACATAGTTTTGTCAATATAACACCGCACTAAACCACTGAAGAGACCCAGGACCACAGGGGACATTAAGTTGCCTTTATTTCCTCTCTGCATGGTGAAAACAAACTGAACAATAGCAGGATCTTTGAGTGACGTCGTCGTTTATAGTTTTTCCGCGCCAGTCACGTGACTGGGTGGCAAAACGGCATAAAAAGGCTATCTGGATGCTAGAGAGGTTTCACTAAATTCTTGTTGTGTGGTCGGTTGTACAGCCTGCTTGGGCAAGATCAAGTTTTTTTTTCTAATTCCTTCGAAAAAGAACAGCAAAAAAACGGCCGTGGTTAAGTGGTCCGCACATTATAAGAGGGTTGTCCTTACGGTAAACGTAGAAAGGGAAGCCGGGGGATAAGGGGATAAAAACTAATTTAAGAAAATGAAGTTTTGAAACTACTTTCACTGCACACTTGTTCACTGTGATGATGAATTTTAAACATTGTATTTTGGTTGCTCATCCCCACGGCTTCCTTTTCCACGTTTTCCGTAAGTAACAGCATAAAGGGGAAACCCGCTTTTAATGTGCAGACCACTTTACCGCGACGGCGAGTATTGCCACTTTGAGTGGCAATATGAGCCTCAAAATAACTCAAATGACCTGAAAACAAAGATTGTTCAACATCATGGTTTAGGGGAAGGGTACAAACAGCTATCAGAGATTTAAGCTTTTCATGTCAACTGTGAGGAACATTGTGAGCAATTGGAAGACCACACGCACAGTTCTAGTTTATACAAATCACTTACAACTAAGTAGCTATTTTTTTTCCCCAGCCTTGGCTACATTTCAGGTAAATGCTGCTGTATTTGAGGTTCCTGCAAATTACCATCGGCGTGGTGGCAACAGACATACGCCAATGTCCAACAACGATGAAGAACTTTTGCAGTATGCAATTCACCAGAGTCTTCTGGAGTCTCAAGGAATTCCTGACCAGGTCACAATAATTACTTTTTCAACATTCACCATTGTTTTCCAGAAATTGTATGAATCATATGTGATTTTTAGGAGGGAAATTGGCAGGAATCTGATGATGGATTTACTGATGTAATGCCCAGAAGTCACAGTGATAGGTCAGTAAATATCAGTTATGAACAAATGGATTTTAAATTATTTTTGCCAACATGAACTCTTTAACTATTGTGTTGATTAGGAGCATCCCAGAGGGGGCGCTAGTGGACCTTGATGTGCCAAGTCCTGTCAGCTCTTTCACCACCCTGAGTCCAGACACAGACATGCGCCTTGCGATGGAGCTGTCTGCACAGGCTCAAGAAGAGGAAGAGAGACTGAGGCAGCAAGAGGACCAGGAGCTGGAGAGGATACTGCAGCTATCACTAACAGACAAGTAACTAGGGAATATGAGGGAATTAAAAGGGTACGACAGACTAATTATTTTAACTTTTTAACAAACGTTGCACCTCATTTTGTCCTTATCCTGTGCAGCCATCTATGCAACTACAGATTGGTCTCATATCAGTTTGGCAATATAAAAGTTTCTGTTTCAGATAACGGATCGGTAGCAGTTTTTTGTATTTTAAACACTTTGTACAGGTTGGACTGGCTCTTGCACATTGTTTTATTTTTAATCATTCACTATTAATGATAATTTAATACAATTTAAAACTGCAAACTGCTTATGCATACTTATAGTCAAAATTAAGTATTAAATTCGCTAGGTACATTTTTGATCATTATGGGTTAGATATTATTCTGTACTATGTAGTATACACTGCTACAAAGTGGGCTCAGCAAAACTGACGTCTCAGGGTTTACAGGCTCTGAACAAAGAGCTTGCAGTCAGTTGCTAAATTATTCTGTGGTATCCCTCATAAGAACCTTAACTTCATGTGTGTTGTATACATTAAGAATGTTGTGCTTTTTGAATGTACCCTTTACTGGAGGAATTGAAAGCATATTACTGTAATCTGCTGCTGATTACAATGTCAAAAAGGGTTTGATGTGTGACTACATATTTTCTCGTACCCTCTTTTTTTTCTATAGTGGTGTTAAGTATGTCCATCGTCCACCTACTAACATTTAGCAGTAAACGTATAACTTAAAAGGCTTCACCAAAACTGCAACAGAGTGCATTGTCAAACTTCAGCCATAGGTCATGTGCCATTAACAAACAGAACAATCTAACAAGCCAAGACTATGCCTATTGAGGTACATTTTTATAACCACTTGGCAAGAAGTTCTCAAATGAGAACTACATGCATACATTGTCATGATATGGTTAAGTTTGTGATGATGGTGCTTAATTATATAGCGTGCATTGTTTAATTACAAATGACTAAAATACATGTACAGAACCGGTATGCGCTAACAAGCAAATTGCCAAAACTGGTAGCCTAACAAGATAAATGTATACGGCTGCATTGTGTTTTACTTTGTGATTTTGAGAGTTGTGTTTTCAGAATCTTTCTAAAATAAAAGCACTTTATTTATGTGACTTATAAATTGAATTATTTCCCGTGAATTGAAAGGCATGAGGAGTCACAGCAGCTTTTCTCCACTTGGGGCAGTGCTTTATAGATGCAGATGGCGGTAGAACAGCCTCTGCCCAAAGTTGGTCAATTGTTAACACTAAATGCCAAGCAGGTTCTAGTTTGAGAAGAGTCAGATCTCAATCAGAATCAGAGTTTTTTTTTAGCTCGTTAAGGGCTTGCTTGCTGAATAAAGAGTCACCGTTGTGTTCGTGGCGTACCTTACTAAAGCATTGTGCGGCACTCCAGAAAATGTACGGAGACGAGCTCCAAGTGATGTTCCCACAGTGTAAGTGAACTTCTTTGTCCTTGGGTATTTCCTCTATTAGCTATCACAATTACTCATCTGAAATCTACTCAGAAAATAATAAGGTAAGATATCAATATAAAAACAAAAAATTACAAAAAACAATGAACTGCTCAATCGCATGAAATGAAATGACATTTGGCAATAGTTTGAGTGACTAGGTTACTCTTTATGAGCTCTGCTTCAAAGCACGTTTGTATTTTAGGTACACGAGGTATTTTATCATGGGGCTTTTCTTGTGCAATAGGAATCAAGACGCTTAAAAGAAAAAGGAAAAAAAAAACACAGTGCTCTTTATGTAATTAAGGCAAGGTAATTTTATTTGTATAGCACAATTCATACACAAGGCAACTCAAAGTGCTGAACAAAACAAGATAGCATTAAAATAATAAAGATAAATAATCACAATACATAAAAAGAAATGGCTATATTTAAGGGTACAGCCTCTTTCCACAAAGGCATTAATAGCACAGATATAACATGTAGTATTTTCACTTTATTTTGTTGGTGTAAATCCTTTGCTTTAGAATCTGTAGCTTTGCCTTGAGATATATCAAATCAAATGTCCCTTCATACCGGGAACCATTGAAGAAAAACTATGCCCCCTTTATCATATTTCCATTATTTTTTATAAATGTCAAAGCAATACATGAAAGGTCATGCTCCTTATGGTCTTATTCTTTTATAGTGCATTTACTGCATGATTGATGTATATGGCCTTTACTACTCGTCTCTGTACAACTTAAGGGTGAAAGCAGTTATCAACACTTATTGCTGCTAATTATTTTCCCGGAAAGCTTAATGAGTGTTGACAAATGTCACTCACGTTAACCTCCAAAGAAAAACAGTAGAGACTTCTTATTACCATGTGCCTTTACTTTGTCACTGTTTGTTATCCAGTTTTTCGTTCCTGACTTAAAGTTATTACACAGGTCTTCCAGTAGAACATTAAAGCTTAAACCACGTCTAACCTGAAGATCTTTGCCTTTGACATTTAAAAGCTCTTTTTTTCAGTAATACATATAGATGCTTTTAAAATGGCTGCCAACATGACCGTTTATAAGTAAATTGCGTGACTATAATTATCTTATTACCAGTACAATCATATACCAGCTCCTCTTCCATGCGTCTCTCAGGGTCTGTACTTCAATGGTCACTAAGGTCTTTGATCAGAGTAACCATGGAGTGACCGTAGCTCATCGTTGTATACATTTATGTGTGATATCATTTGCTTGTCTTCATTAATTGTAAGACACCTCAACTTTCTCCCCCTAGAGATTGCATTCTTATTCAATTATAACGTATGAAACATAAGGTACAACATGTCCACTGATCAAAAGACACACATAGGTCTACTACGGTACATCCATATAAATGCAATGGTTTTATTATAAAAAGGACAAGTGTGTGAGGTTATATATTGAATTGCAAATGTATCTTATGTAGTCAAAATTATTTACTGCTTAATTTTGGTTTTAAATAACAGACAAAACTCTGTAACAGTCCTCATTTATAACATTTTTGGAGGCACAATATCAATACAACCTTTACAACTTTTTATACACCGTTTAACAATAAAAGCTGAAAAAATAAGGCAAAATATACTTCACAAAATGTGGACCTACTCTTTTCTACACAATGCAATTGCAGTTTAAAATAGTGCTACTTTTATTTGCACTTTTTTTAATATTCTGAATGTTTCAAAAATGACTTTCTGACCTGTATGGGTAATAAACTATTTATTTTACAAAACGTTGTCAACATGAAGCTTACATAATTACATGAACTTGGAGAATTCTTCTCCGAATGATCTGCACCATTAGAAAATAAAGTAAAACACCCATGCTGTCAGCTATAATGTGAATCTATATTTGGTCTACAAAGAAATAAATACAGAAATAAAAGCAACAGCCATGTTCTTATGTGAACTGCTATGGCACAATGACCATGTGCAGGTTATCGTTGTGGACGTCTGGGATGGTCCGCTCAGGTCTCAGACACACAGCAAGTCTCTGTAGATCAGAACCGTTTCAAGATTCAGATTCAACGTAAGATGGAGCACAATGGGATAAATGTGTGTCACAGACCTGTTTGAGTGATCCAGGAGTCCACACAAGCTTGTAGACCATGTACACTGGCACCCATATAAAAGAGGAAAGGCCAATGATGTAACCCACAGTCAGGCTCCAGTCCGGATACACGTAGTCGAAAAGGGTGAGGGATGGACGTTTAAGCAGGGAACTCACAATTATGTACTGTGTGAAGAAAGAAGAAACACACAGTGAGGGCATCTTTGCATAAAACTTGTAATAAGATCAGATATATAGTGCTTTGGACAGTCAAGGATGCTTCACATGACAACCACTTCACACACACACCAGACTCTTAAGTGCCTTGCCTGACACAATGACTCAGTGGTCCCAATATGACACCTGGTGTACCCACCGGTCTCCCAACCCAGTACTAAACAAGCACCGCCCTTCTTAGTATCTGGAATCTATCCAGATCAGGCTTTCACATGCGGTATGGCCACATATCTGCGGTGTTCTTGCTTAAACTAAATGTCCCATTTTCTCACTTACTGCTTAAGTGTTACTACAAGAAAATCTTAATCATTGTCTTGATACCAACATTTCAAATTAATTCGCTTGTTAATTTCAATAACAAGCAATAATTTAAAAAAATGCACAATAAATGATGTAATGTTTATGACATAATAATACAAAATAATCATACTTGTTACAGTACTGCAGGGTTTTGCATTAGTTCTGATATCTTCCTCATATATTTCAGGAAATATCTAATTTTACTGGATGTGGAATATTTTTAGTATGGATGTGTGCTAAATTGAGTGTAATCCACACCCATGTGTGGTAGTGACAATTAAACCAGCTGGATTTCATCAAAAGAAACTGGCAACACAAATGACTCACGAGACACGCACTCTGATTTCTGATTGGATTATCAGCTTGACAACCAAAATTTAGAAATGTTAACATAAACAATGAATACAACAGCATTAAAATATCATTCTATTCAAATGTTCACAGACAAAAGATGGAGTGTCATTTAAAGTTTACATATGGTCATTTTAACTTCATAAATAGTATGCATTGTTTAAATGATTACATTTGGACATGTGTTTCCATGTTCTTACTGCTAGAAAAGCTGGACTGATGGCCACCCAGCAAACTTTCCAAAATAAACCTGGAGCTGTGCCCAGCATGGCCTTGACATCACTGCTAAATCTCTGAATACCTGAAAAGATAAGATGAACTCATGACGGTATGTGCACTTATCCAACAATTCATGAAATTTTGATAATAATATACAATTATTACCATAAAACCATGAAACTGCAATAGCTTCGAGAAAGCCGATTGCAATAATAGAGCATCCTACTCCAAACTCCTCCAGCAATTTAACTACGTAGGCTCCACCCTGCAAAGAAGAACCTGTAAAATCATTCTTGTAAATAGTAAATTGACATGAATTATACTAACATTTGTAAGTGTACTCAGTGAACCCAAAAAACAGACAATTACTAATCCCAGCACAAAGAGCTCCCTCCTCTGAGAAAAGTGTTCTGGATATTCATCTAAGACAGCTGTAATGATAGCCTCCAGTCCTCCAAACTGAAACAAAGGTCCACATTGATTTGAGTAATTGCAATAGCAGAGTAAATATCTTGTGTGACTTTTGTCAAATGTACATACTGTACTGTCAAGACCCAATGTAATCATCATCACAAAAAAGATGATAGCAAAAAAAGTTGACCCCATCATGTTGGCAATGGCTTCTGGATATGTGATAAACAGCAGACTTGGCCCTAGGAGGTAAAACTTAAATGTAGAAACAGATTAGATTATTTTGTAACTGAATGCCATACCTTTATCCTTGGCCACATCCTCCACCTCCACTTTTCTCATCTCTGCCATGTATCCCAGAACAGTAAAGATGACAAAACCGGACACAAAGCTTGTGAAACAGTTCACCAGGCTGGTCACAATGGCATCTCTTGAGCGGGAAACAAAATGTGAAAGAATCATCATCCTTTACTGCAACAAATATTTGCACTCAGACATTACCTGTAACAGTTGTTTGTGAAAGGATTGTAACTGGACAGAGCCAAAAGAACTCCAAAGCCAGGTCCCAAAGAGAAGAATATCTGAGCTGCTGCATCCACCCAAACCTATAATAATAATAATTATGTTTTGTTTGTAAAATGTGTTCAAATAATATAACAATTAATAGAAAATGGAATAGAAAACTATTATTTATTTATAATTATTTTCCATATTTCAGTATTATATGTGTGCATAATAGTCAGTGTACAGAAACTGCCCCACAGCTGTCCACATGGAGATCTGAAGAGCTGTGCACATTCGGCATTACAAGAGAAGAAAGAGTGCTGGATGCTGGTCAGGGCCACAAAAAGGGAGCCCTTTGTTAATGAGAAAATCTAAACTCATTATGCATCTTATTATTCACCTCTCTAGCTTATTTATGCATCTCATTTCAACTCATACATATTCATTCCGAGGCTAAGCACTCACTCACACATAGCATCTAACACATTGTTGTGTAAGATGTGCAGGACTGACAAGACAAATGAATTGAAATCCATAATAATGTTAAACCAGGAGTGTCAAACTCATTTTAATCGGAGGCTGATACTTTGTTAGATTGATAGGCCAGTTATATTTTGAAGATATTAATTAGTAAAGATTGTTTTTTCACCACAATGCTTGCAAATTATTGCAAATTATTATTTGCAAATAATATTAATATTCATTGAAAAGAATTTGGGAGAACTGACATAATGTTTGTCTAACTTACGCTGGTCTCAAGCAGTTTGTCCCACTGAGGCTTGAGGTAGAAGACTACCCCTCTCCAAGCTCCAGGCAGAGTGGCTCCGCGGATCAGCAGAATGAAGAGCACAATGTAGGGCAATGTTGCAGTCACCCACACCACCTGGAGAGCCAGGCCTGCGTTCATAAAACTGTACATGTTTTAATGGGAAAACCATGCAAGTTACCTTCCCTGATGTTTTCACTCCCTTCCACAAGCTGAAGTACACAATTGTAAATATCAGAAACAGACACAACATCAGCTGCCAGCGAACTCCTCCAACGTTTGAGAGGCCTGAGGACTCATGGATCTTTAGAACATTCCTCCTGTTTGAGTCAGAACATTTTTCTTAATCATAACGGAAAGGTGTTATACAAAACCATCATGATGGTCTTACATGACAACTCTTAGTCAAGTACACTTACGTGTAAAATTCCTCAGCAGGAGAACGAGAAAAGTTGGTCCAGGTGACGTTGTTCCGGCCAAAATAATTGGTACAGTTTGGAGTGTTCCAGACATTGTCACAATTTGACCAGGGCAGGATTGTGGAGAAAGAGGAGTAGAAATAGAAGAGGGCCCATGCAATAATAGTGTTGTAGTAGAAGGACACATATAGGGCAATTATACATATGGCATAGCCAATACCTGAAAGGCAGAAGCATCACTCTTAACCACATGTTTTCACACTACACACATTTATTGATTAAAAAAACAATTTACCTTTAAAAATGGGACAGATGTGTTTCCAAATAGATATAGCTCCAGTTCTGTGAAACTGCCCAAGAGCCAGCTCCATGTAAAATAGGGGCACACCTCCAAAAATGGCCATGAGGATGTAGGGGATTAGGAAAGCACCTGACCAATGATCAATACATGTATTCAATATAAATAAAAGTTCTTCCTTTCCAACACTATATTTTGAATTTTCTGTCACAAAATTAGACTTTTTAGATATCAAACATTAGTGCAATCATTATTCATAAAACTACTTTACTGCTTTGAAATACTTCAGCACCGTGGACAGTTCCCCTCAATAGGTCCAAATGGTTATATCAAAGTAGTTAGTTAGACAAAGTTTGTTGAATACATTAACTTACCTCCGCCGTTTTGATAACAAATATAAGGGAAGCGCCATACGTTGCCTAAGTCCACTGCAAAGCCAATCACAGATAAAAGAAAATCCATCTTTTTGCTCCATTTGTCTCTAGAGTCGGTTTGCGTGGGCACTAGCGTCGGGGCACTGTGGGGGCTGTATCCTGGGTGTGAAGCCCCATGCTGGGTCACACTGCCAGCCATGACTGCAGAAAGTCAGAGAGGGGACCTGCTCTAGGGAGCTGAGCTCCTCTATAACGGAGACAGGCCCAGTGGGAGGGGCTGTGGAGACCTGTTTGATCGCAGGTCAGCGCCACTCTTATGCTGCATGTGTGAAACAAACAGCAGCGCCTTTTATAATGATGTAGTTTATTAGCAGGATAAGTAAGCTTTTCACTTTTCACTATAGTCTATATTCACTCGCTTTATCTTACTCGTAAAAGTGTAGTTGTTTCTGCAGCTGACATGTTTGGGAAATATGTATTATAAATCATTAAGTAAATCATAATAAATAAACAAATGAGCATTAAGATTCAGTTATTTGCTGTTTAATATCAGTCTAAAAGCATTATACAGTAATACTGGGGAAACTAAGGGATGCCTCATCACACGCAACAATGACCTTGTTTCGCTCCTGGCAGCAACAGCGCGCACGGACCTGTGGGCCCCCGGGGCCCGTGAAGTTTCATACGAATAATATACAGACCGTTTAGATGAGGCTTTACTGGGCTTTGAGGAGGGTGAGTTTAGTGTAAGATAAGATAAGGTAAGATACATATTTCACATGTTACTTCATTGTTCAAGTTCACTTCCTGGTCGAATGATGACATAGATAATAAATAGTTATGGATGGTCTTGTCCCCAAAATGCGAATTGTTATATCTGAAGATTCCTGGTGTGATGCCTGGTTTGGTTTTTACTCATTTTTAAGAGGTTTGCATTGGGGAATTTTAAATTGTAAATAGCCTATTTGGGGACTATTTGGGGACTATATGAGTCCCCAAATAGGCAGTGGATATATTCTCTTCAGATGTTTGCCAGTTTCATCTTGTTGCTGCAGTTGCTGGTGCTACCTATAAGTAAACAGTTAGCAGGTCTGATTGCTCAGCCAAGGTGAGTGAGGCCCCTGAGGGCCAAAGTAAACCTGCAGCAAACGATGGCTCCAGCCTTTCCCAACATTGCTGTCAGTGTTCATTGGCACACATGGGCCGAAGCACATCAGATTGACAGCAGTTTCAATCACAGTGTGGAGGCTGTCGACTCCAATCATATGGAGACATGTGGGCCTCACTTCACAGAGAAGAAGTACATGCTTATGACACAGCCAAGTGTCAGCCAACACATAATTTATTATGCAAATACCTTTTTATTTGTCATCACTTGTTTAACTCTTATATTGTGAATTATTACAAAACAATACATTTCCTCTCATCATATCAGCTTAAAATAATAATTAATGCAACTTTTACATTAGTGACTATTGATATTTTAGATCTGTGTTTTTTTTGTGGGTGGCGGATTAGGTGAGGCAACGCATATAGAATAGGATGTCCGAGGAAGAACATTGTTTACTTTGTTTAATAATTATGGGTTTTTCTCTGACCCTAACTGAGATCTGTTTTAGGTTAGTCCGGGGGACTTTGGAAGTGTTGCAGAGTCCATTGGATATGAGTGAGTTCAGTCTGTCAGATTGGTTGGTTCTGCTTTTTTCACCACCTGATCTACCTGACAGCTCTGGCCTTCAAGTGGTGAAAGACCCTTTGGGCAACAGGAGGATATGCTCCTGCATTCAGCCAACCCAATTGCCCTTCTTCCTCTTAAACCTCAGATTGTCCATGATTTTGTCAAAGACATTTTCATAGCATGTTTTAGCAAAGAATCGTGCACCCCTAAAAGGTTAAGCAAATGGAAGATACCTATTGAAGAATTCTGCAATGTGTTGCTGCAAAGTGCATCCAGAAGATGGCAGTCAAAGTTTACTTCCCCCCATTTGGAACAGCATTACCATTACCAGCCACTCAGGTTTTTGAAGATACAATTAGGCTCGGAGCTTTGTATATCCACGAGTGAAAAATATCCTTATATTAGTCTAGTGCTTCTGCCAAAAAGGCACTGTGGATTATTGTCGTGGGGTGCATGCATTGTGCCGAACTGTAAAACCAATAATATTATTCTAGTTTTTTTTTTGTGTGTGTGGGAAAGAACATGCATTTAGATTATTTTCTCCATAATATGTCTAAGTTTGCCATACATTCTTTTAGTTTTAAATGTCCTGAATCAATCCAGAACAGAACATAGCCCTGATTTACCACAGGGTGGCATAATACTGTAAGCACGTCAGTCAGATGGTAAATGGTTCGGTCGAGCACAAACGCTTCAAGCTCGGTGAAAGGTTATTTCTTAAGCAAACTATACTGAAGTAAGTTACACATTATCCAAGTGGAAGAAGTAAATGTATTGGGTGATTGTGTGTGAATGTAGGCAGGCATGCTCATTCATTATATCAGGAGTATTATCAGCATTAGTTTGAGCTAAGTGACGCTTTGGGGCCCATCATCCACGTGAGGCTGGAGGAGGAGCCTGGCAACGCACGAGCCTCACTCAGTGGATGGAGCAGAGCTGCCGAAGATAAGGAACGACATCCATGGCGACCACAATGGCAGGTGGGAGTAAAAAATGATATTGAAGGAAATATGAATACATGTAACTGTAATTGAACCTACAACAGTCGTATTTATGCGTGTTTCAGAATCGGAGACCCGTCAGAGGCTGGTGCGCACCGTCAAGAAGGAGGTGGGTGTTTTCACTTGAACAGTTATCGAAATGGAAAAACAAACACTTTGTTTTATTAGGTACTCGTGCTCAGCCCGTTTGTTACTGAGCTTAAACTTATCTCCATCTGCTGCAAAGCTCTGGACCCGTTTGTTTTAATGTCTGAATGATTCTAGTATGTTTTTGTAGTGCTTATAAGAAAGTCAGGTGTTGGTCAGTTTTTCTGAGTCATTTATGATGTGTCCATGATTTTGGGAGTTATAATAATAATAATAATAATAAATATCATAATAATTACTTTGCAACATGTTCATGTTTTTTCTACATTAACACTCAAATGTTAAAATGTTACAATAGTGCTCGTAATATGAACCTAAACCTCCAATAACTACATCTTGCTGTCTATTTTATTTAAAAGAAAGAGAAAAAAAAGGAAAATAGAATATTACAGAGTCTGGTCACTAATTGCTATATGATCCTACTTCTTCCCGTGCACATCGATGGAATCACTTCACCTCAAAAGAGAAGAGCATAGAGTCTGGACTGTGATTTGTTTTCCTTTAAGACGCTTATCAGTGGAGACCAGACCCTTCCCATTACTTGTTCCTGTCTCTTCTGTGCTTGGTAAACTCCCTATTTCCCTTGCACATTAATTGCCAAGACCTCTTCAATGGTGGCAAATTCAACATGTACTGTATGTCTTTCTCTTTGTATTGAAGTCCCAGTTTACTCAAACCAAGTATAGCCTTACTTGTGCAGCAATTACTCTTCATCATGTGTTATATACAGCTAATTCAACACTCACCTTTTTATCATTCCTCATAAAATGAAACCTACGCTTGTCATTTTCCTTTGATTTGTTATTATGCATGTTTGGTGGACCATATGGCATCTCTCGCCTGTTTTCTCACACTTGGCTCGACCAGCTGGTTTGGTGCCATAGTCCTCTCACCTGCAAACGGACCATTATCCAGAAAGCACAGGACGTCTGGAACCACAATTATTCTCTGGCACAAAATGGCTTTGAATTAGATTTTCTCTTTGCATTTTTTTCTGTCAATACCTTCACTATAATTTGATTATCAGTTTGTTGTTTTCATGAATGATGGATGCAAATCTGTGTTTGTTCATTGAACCAGAGAAAGGGGCAATTATAATAGATCTACCAGATATCTGTGTGGCCTCATATAAAATGGCTCCTTCTTCTAGATTAGGTTTCACTGTTGAAATTGGCTTCCACTGAATGAGCTTTGGAAAGACCTATACAAACTGCGAAATAGATGTGATATTGATGCATTTGCCAGAAACAAAACAAAAAGTCATTGTAATTGCCAGTTAGTCATTAGTGCATTGAACATATTATGACAAAGACTAAGTGGATATAGTGTATATTAAAAAGCAATGAGTCAGATAAAGCTCACAGATTTTCTCCTGGCTTTTCCTCTGTACTGGAAGTTAATTAGACAACAAGATGTTTTGAAAGAGAAAATTCATCATGTCTTGCACTTTTGTTTTGATGTTGATATACATTTACAGTATGTATAACCCAACTCACCGTAAAGAACATGTATGGTGCTGATGATATGTCGTTACCAAGTCACGCTTCTCGAGTGAATATTGTTGACGTGTCTTCTTAGGTGAAAGTGATACACCGTGTGGCACATGTGGTCTCCATAGTAACGCACAGGTTGTCTGAGCCGAGACACTTGACAATAAAAATTCCTCAAAGGACAGATCTATATTGCTGATTGGTCCTCATGTAATTGTGTTGGAGATGGTTCAATGATGCATATGTATTTATACTGTATAGATGCAGTACTGCTGGCCTTGATATAATACATTAGTTATATATAAATAGAAAAACTATTTACGCTTCATTGGACCGTGTTTGGACAGAACGAAATGATTAACCATTAGTAGTATTAGGGATGAAACATTAACCAGAACATGTTAATTACCAGTAGTTGACTAAAAGCCTGTTGCCTATTAATGTCATTAAACGTTTCCATTTTCCCCACAAAACACAACATACAGTTTTTTGTTGACATTTGCTCTTCTTTATCCCTATTAATCAGCCAATTTGTTTTTATTTTTCTTCCTCAGGATGTAATTGTATCTCCTTCTCCCAGCTGTCAGAGATGAGTCAGCTTAGGTTTTACCCTGCCTCACAGCTCAGGTGCAAAACTCTGTGGGCACACTATTCTCACCACTGCCGCTTTAAAAGTACCTTTGTTCCCATTAAATATTAGGAAGTTAAATTCCTTCCTGGTTCTTTAAATCTGCATAATGTTCATCGGACAAATCCTTTAAACAAGTATCTGGATAAAGAACAATGAACAGATGGGCTTTTGCTTTTATTCTGTGTTTGAAGCTAGTTACCTCTAAGTCAATATGGTGACAGGTGATAAATGAACTGAACAAGCATCATCCAGTATGTGAGCTGAAAAGGCACAAGCACTACGCTAACACAAAAGATTTTCCTCTTTTGTACTCCTCACCATTGTCTTTTTCTATCAAGAGAGAAAATGTCCATGTCGGTTTGAAGTGGCAGGGTGTTTCCCTGCAATATCCCTCATGTAAACGGAGGGGTCAAGTGCTTTAGCATGTGCTTTAAAGCTGTTGTACCCAGTCTTCCCTAACATTCAACCAGGATGACTCATCACAGAGTGACAATAGTTTATGCTCAACTCTTGACGGGTGCATTGCTCATTAATGTGTTATGGAACAATCGCTGAGATGTTTATAACACAGGCATTGGCCTAAAACTAACCCTGCAATTTGTCTATTATTTGTCATCTAATTGATAACTCAAACATAAAAATGGGATCATACAGGACCAACAATTTTAAAGTGAGTGTTACTTACTGTATTTTAGAGTGTAAACACTGACGAGCCCCCCCGGATTCCTTAGCCGGCGAAATGACTTCAAATTGTTGACGGACAGAAGCCCCCAACCCATTTGTTTAGCTACCCAACTGCGTATCATACTGGTGCTAGTCGGGTTGGGGGGGACTCTATCTAGTATAAGTATTTTACATATTTGCTGTTCCCTTGAATTTCTCCATTGTGAGATCAATAAAGTATGTCTCATGTCATCTATAGTACTGGGCCAAACATATCTAATCTCATGTTGTTAAATCAAAGTAATCCTTTGCAATATGTTAGAAAGAAGTTAAATAATTAATGTTTTTTTGTATAATTAAAAGGAGCTTCAAACAAACAAAGAAACCCTTGGTATAAAACAATAGTAAATAATAAAAGCTCCCCAGACCATCCTCCAGATGTAACTTGACTTTCTAAGCAAAATATGAAAGGGCTTGGGCCTCAGACCCCAAGCAAAGATTTTTTTTAAACTTTGTGTTGTTTTTTCAGAATTCCTTTATCAAATATATTCAATGTGAAAAAAAAAACATCCGTGAGCTCAGCAACATCAAAACCAATGAAACCTTTGGTTTCAGGCAATATCATCTGCCTGAATGCGTCAAAACTCATTGGACAGACAGATAAACAAAAAGAACCCGGTTATAATGTCCAAGTCAATCACTCAACTGCTGCCTTATATTAATTTATACTCAATAGATTTATTAAACTTACTTACTTATGCATGTTACAACGTGCAATCTATGAGGTCTCAGGTTGAGTATGCAGTAAACAGCCTCCAAGGCACCAAATGGATGTTTTATTCAGCAGTGTAATGGGACATTGTAGACAGACTAATTCAGACTGCAGGATATTACAGCTCTCTGTGTCCGGAGGTTAATAGTCCCCAAACATGGCTTCAGGCGGACTGTCTTCATAAATCCATCCTTGTCACGGTGGCACGGTGTCTGAGTGGATAGCACTCTCGCTATCAGGGCCTTTCTGAGTGGAGTTTGCATGTTCTCCCCGTGTCTGCATAGGTTTCCTCCGGGGGCTCCGGTTTCCCCACCACTAAAAACATGCACAATAGGTATGAATGTAAATGAGAGAGTGAATGGATGGTGTTGAATGGGGGCTTATGCGGCAGTGTGTTCGGCGACTCGCTTCTGTCATCACCGTGTGAGGAATGATTGGAACAATATCTGATCTCTGAACATTGTAAAGCGCTTTGGGTGACCTTGGTCTGTAAAATGCGCTATATAAATAAACATTACTTACTTACTTACCCATTCATTTGCTCATTCTCAGAGTGCAGCATTGGAATTATGGAAGTTTTTCCATAAAACATATTTGATCATGAAAAAAATATAAAATAAAAACATTTCTATATACTGTAACTGCATTAAGGATGTTCTCCTTTAGAGATCTGATTATTCATCCCTTTATTGATATGTCGCTCTTTTAACAGACCAGGGTCACACAAAGTGTGGTACAGCTGTAACTGACTAAGACGCCTGCGATGTGATGCCTGCATTTCCCTTGCACATATTGTCTTTTGTCTTTTGGTTTACAACCATAAACATAGAAAACTGAAATGTAGTCCTACAGCATGAGTAAATACTATGTGGATTCCCTCGTTTTCTTCCAATGATTTATTTTTCTCAGTCCACCTTCGCATCAACTCTATCACTCTTCATTGTCCCTGTTAAAGAAAAGCAGCCCCATGACATGATGCTGCCACCCCCATATTTGACTCATGGTATGATGCACAGAGGGTGATGAGGAGTTTTTTAATTCCCTCTGTTTTGAGCCTATGTAACTTTTTGCATTTTAATCAAATAGTAAAATATTGATCTCATCTGACCACAGCACTTTTGTCTTATTGTGGTTTTACTTCAACACTGGCTTTGCATCTACCTCTTGGTAATGTCTGTATAACCTAACCCCCCCCCCCCTTGTTCTGAGGTTGTCACAGAACAGCTGTAACTGTACTGGGAGTAAATTTCACACAACTCAGCTCTATATAAATATTGAATCTATTTCACACTCCCAGTTAGGGCAAGGTCAACAGTGACTAGGAAAGTTTTAAAGGAAATGTTATGCACCGCCCGTTTTTAAAATCAAAATCACATGTCATTTTGCTCTTACTTCACAATTGCCTGATAAGTTTGTGTGGGCTTTCAGTTTAAAACAAATCTAAATTCATCTTTATGTTTTTGGTTGTAAACATGACTAAGCATGTTCAAGGTGTAGTAGTACTCTTAGCTGGACTGATGAAAGGCCACTTAGCTTACTATAGCTGTGTGGTCCATCTCTCTTAAATCCTAATCATTAGTCCTATACCCAAAAAGAAAATAAATACATAATGAGAATATTGGTCATAGAACAACAGCATGAAGTCCAAGAAACCCAGTGGAGAGATTGAGAAGAAGGACATCTGGTAAATAAAAATCCAGAAATAAATAGAAATAAGAATGCAAGAAGTCAAATTTAGTTGTCGCAGTATTATTCTGTGGGAATGCTTTTCTTCAGCAGGGACAGGAAAGAGTGATACAGTTGATTGGAAGGTGGCAGCAGAAGGGGGTTTGCAATTACATACAAATCATGTATAATTTTGTTACCACTACTTAATTGTGAAAAACATTAACATTAATTTTACGTTAGTGGTTGTAATGTGACAAAGATGTTCCTGATACTAAATGCGCTGAAAGATGAGATCCATGTGATGCCTGCACTTCCCTGTGGAGCTGTTAAAAGCCGGTGACTCATCCTCCAACTTCGTCGTCTCACTATTGTCCCTCTTGTGTTGCCATCACTTTTGAACCCTGCCTCTCAATATGCCTCCTAATTTTACACACGCACTTCCTGCTAATTATCTTTTATTGTTTTGCGCTCTGACCTGTGTGGTGTGAGGCATAATAAACTCTGACTCACTAGCATCTCTCTCATCGACAGGTGAAGCAGATTATGGAAGAAGCTGTCACCAGGAAATTTGTTCATGAAGACAGTAGCCATATTGTGTCCTTCTGTGGTGAGTCGGCAAACACACACTTTATCATCTCTTAAATCGGACAAATCACGGCTGTTAGTCACCTACTCATCATCTCATACTCACGATCTTTTCAAAAATACTCCTTCAAATAAAAACAAAGAAAACCCAGTATAACTAAACAGGCCAACTTTAAATTCAGCCAAATGTTATGTAAGTGTTTAGTGTTATGTGAAGTAACACATCCCAAATGCAAAACAAGCACTCACACATTATTCTCACTCTGATACAGAATGGTGATATATTGCACACATTTAACTATAACATAAACAACAGGCAGCATGGTTATTATGCTCAAACAATAAATTACCTTAGACTTACCTAAACGTTGATAGATAGATGTTAATTACCAAAGACTCAACAACAACAATAACATAATCTATGGAAGCCCGTTTCCGCCATGTAAAAAAAAAAAAGCCTACAGAAAGTCATAATTTTGAGTTTAAAACTCTAAATTACGACTTTTAAACTGCGCAGTTGCTTTCCCGTATGTGTTGTTGTCTGGAACAGTCTCTGGACATCCTTTACTTGCAGGTTATGTTGAAGATATTGCCTACAGTGACCACTGCATCCATGAAGTAGCAGCAATAATGTTGAGCCATTGATTCTGTAAAACTTTCCTGTATAAGCGCCCGGACCGCGGTCGTAGGACAACTTTATACCACACGCTCGCTCCATCAGCTCACTCCAGAGCGCGCTCACGTTTCGGCTGCGCGCACGAACACACTCACTTCACATACTCCTCAATGCACTGATCACGATTCCAAAAGGTTTGATATTGTCACGACCCGCGACTGTGGTTCACCTGCCTCTGTCTGCGGACCTCCCTCACTGTGGTTCTCCTGCCTCTGTCTGCGGACCTCCCTCACTGTGGTTCTCCTGCCTCTGTCTGCGGACCTCCCTCACTGTGGTTCTCCTGCCTCTGTCTGCGGACCTCCCTCACTGTGGTTCTCCTGCCTCTGTCTGCGGACCTCCCTCACTGTCCAGTAATTGCGAACGGTCTCTCTGTCAGTCACAATGTTGTTCACTGCATTTCTGGTGCATCCATCGATAGCCGTGGTACTCGCCAGATGTCACCAGTTGATTCTCAATGAATGTGACCACTTCAGCCGCATGTGTTTTATTATTAATCTTCCACAGTCCGTTTAGGATAACTTACATAGAGGCTCCTTGAGCGGATTCTAATCATAAACGGAGAGACCGTTCGCATTTTAACGTGATTCCAGCCCCAACATTATTGCTGGCTACTTCATGGATGCATGAAGGGCTTCCATAATAATCAGATCTAGAAGTATAATATTAGACTATTATACCATACTAGTATAATATCATAAGGCTGAAAATTAAAGTTTAAAATTATTTGATACTAATTTGTGCATTTTGTTGAACTAAAGCAAGACTTCACTCTCTGAACGCCAGCGTCTTTTGGCACCGCTCTAATGAACAGTGTCAGACAGCAAAGTTATGAAGCAAGTGAATCATCCTTCCCACTCACTAATTAGTTTAACTCTAACGTCTTGGAGTTTATTTTTTTCCGGAACTAACTGGTTTGAAACTTATTATTATTTTTTTACTTAGAGAGCGTTCAGGCTACTGCTGACACACAAGTTTCAAGCCTTTTACAATACGGCAGAAGAATTGTTTTTATGATTGGTTTGGAATGATTTTGCTGAGTGGAGAACATATTATGGTCTTTGTAATGGGGTTATCTGCAACACAGCCCAACGGGTACACTACAGGCTCTCTGTGCTGACTCCACCACTGACCCGGTCTGTTACTCTAACTGCACATCCACTCTGAGCGGCGATGAAAGAAGAGGATGGTTGCACACTGGGAAGCAATTAGCCTCCGCTGTCTTTGCTAGGGATGTGCTATGTTTATGGTTAATGTGCTCTGTTTCTGGTGAAAAGTAGGAATTTTGTCTGATATCAAACTGAAAATAAGGTTTATAATATCAGATAATACCTCGAAACATAGATGATAAATAATAATCTCTGTTGATCCTATTCATTTTATAGCTAGGTATAAAGTGTTTAGTATTAAATCAGAAGATCATTTTGTCAAATCTAGGTCAAAGCACAAGGACTGAAGATACAATTGACTTTAATGAATGTATTTGTCATAAGATTGTCTTCCCTTTTAAACTTCATCACGCTGATTTGCATTATTGATGTATTGGCTGTTTCCACACTCATCGTGATAAGAGCTAGTCTGATGCCTCTAAGTGCCTTTGAGTGAAGCTGTGTCCTAATTATAAAGCATGTGTGTGCATCAAAACCATGTATACATGCATTATTCCAAGTTTTGTCAAGTTTTTGGCAAAAAGACATTTTTATTTTGTTTCTATGTGTGCAATTCTTGTCTACCATCTCCAATATCGGAACTCTGAACATTGTAAAGTGCTTTGGGTGACCTTGGTCTGTAAAATGAGCGATATAAATAAAGATGACTTAGTTACAGAAAGGATTATAAATGAGACCCTGGGATTGTGATGCCCTGCCTTAAACTATGAGCAGATCAAATGTCTTCATAATTCTTTGTTCTTGATAAGTAGCCTTTACAACAACAAAAATACTGGATTCTCTTTATTGTTATATTTTTTGTGCTGTCATACAAACAGTATTTTTGTTTGTATGACAGCACATGACTGTTTAATGTTTTTATTTGAACAAAACGTCAAACAGTCAAATAGAGAAATGCAGCAAAAGTAACTAAGTGTGTGGTATTTATAACCCACATTCAGCGTGTGTGAGTCTGCCCTCATTTCAGTTGTGCAAGTCAGTCTGCAGTTTCACACTGGTGGGAGAAGAATTTCACAGAATTACAATATTAAATCAGGCCAGCAAATCTGTATCTATATCATATTATATGAACCTTAAACTAGGCTTTTTTGAATGTTGTGATTTTTGTAGTTTACAAAATTGTCACGGCTGCATAATCTTGGCAAAAATATTTGGCTTTTTTATGTTTTTGAAAGTTGCATATAGTTTTATGTTTGTCTTGGACTTGGGGGGCAATTGAACGAGAAAATCCTATTCATTTGCGAAAGGACGAGATCCAAGGCACTCTTGTAAATAAAAATCCTTTAATGAACACGGACGAGCAACGTGTTTCGGCCACGTAGGGCTTCTTCAGGGCATGTGATCCTATTAATTTTAGAGCAGACATGTCTTTAGATAGATAGATAGACAATATTTATTTTATCATACGATTATCATCGCAAAAAAAATCAACATAACAGACAGATATACAGGTGCATGGTTTGAAAAGGAGGTGGAGGAAGCAAGCGCTTATAAAATTCCAACCCCCACATGTCTTTAGTGGCCTTTGAAATTATTTTTTATTATTATTATTATCTTGCAGCATTGATGGTAATGGGTTATTATGGCATGTTTTACCTCACTTTAAAGTTGAGCTGTTTGATCCATCCATCCATTTTCTTCCCCTTAATCCATTTCTGGGTCGGGGGGGTTGCAGTCAGAGCTGCACCCAGGACACAGAGCACCAGCCCCTCACTGATCCTCCTACAGGTGGTGAGTCCACAGGAGCGGAGATCTTTCAGTGGGGGCTTTAGGCAAAGTGGGGTTAAGTGTCTTGCCCAAGGACACAACGACAGTAGTCATCAGTGGGAGTTGTGAAGTTGGTCTTACGGTGGGCTTGAACCCACAACCTTCAGGCCCAAAGGCCAATGCTCTACCAACTGAGCTACTGTCGCCCCCGGGAAAACAACCATATCATATTATTTATTATACAATTTGAATGCAGCGTTAAAATTTTGTTTTGTTTTAAACAGTATACAGTACAGACCAAAAGTTTGGACACACTTTCTCATTCAATGAGTTTCCTTTCTTTTCATGACTATTGACTGTAGATTCACACCAGGCTGTGTAAGGACTATTTGACCAATAAGGAGAGTGGTGGGTGCTGGGCCAGATGACCTGGCCTCCACAGTCACCGGACCTGAACCCAGTCCAGATGGTTTTGGGGTGAGCTGGACCACAGAGTGAAGGTGAAAGGGCTGTGAGATTTCATAACACTTTGAAGCAACTTTTGTTAAAGTTAAACTCATCATTCTATCAATGTGCAGAAGCCAGTACTTTTCCCTTGTTGTGTCTATCTGAAGGCCAAGCTACAAGCACACCGTGGAAGCTGCTGATTGGAGGTCTCCATGCCTCTGCTCTGTATAATACACTTGCATTCTATTGTATCTGTGATTGTGTGCTTTGTTCGTGCTGTATACCATTGACAATAAAACATGTCTTCTGTCTGAATGTAAGACGCGATCCCAGACTATGTCATCTTCTTCAGGTGGTGGAAGGATGCGGGCCTTGTCTGTAACATCTAGAGAACAGAAGACTACTTTTTTTTACACAAAAAGTGTTTTTTTTTTTCAAGCCAAAACTGAGAAACCTCAAGAGAAACCATCTGGACCAGCACATGGACAATCTGCACAGCCCCTGATTCCAGTCAGGCTGTGAGCTGCTGAGACATGGACAATACCATCATCCTCTTGGACATCATTTGGAACAATTGGATTACACAATTTGGACATAATTTGGAACAATCTGGATTTCTGAATTTGGACATAATTTGGACTGAATTGAATTGCTGAATCTGGACACTGAAGCTGAAATGTGTGATTGAAAGACACGTCACAGAAGAATTCATGGCTCGACACAACAAATGCAGCCTGAAGAATCAACACGGAGAAGTGGGAGAGACTGTTTTCAAAGCAATATCTGGAACCACCATCGACTGATGAAGTTTGGTATTTTACTGAAGATTGTTGACAAGTTTTATGAAAGATCTGAACATGTTTTATGAGTTTTCTGAGTTTTTGAAGTATTCCGAGTTCTGAGTTTTTTGAAGTACCGAGTGAAGTACCGAGTTTAAGTATTGAGTTATGATGTTATGTTGCTGTTTATCGATCCTGATGGTCACACGTGAATGTATGACCAGAGGGGGGAATGTGAGATTTCATAACACTTTGAAGCAACTTTTGTTAAAGTTAAACTCATCATTCTATCAATGTGCAGAAGCCAGTACTTTTCCCTTGTTTTGTCTATCTGAAGGCCAAGCTACAAGCACACCGTGGAAGCTGCTGATTGGAGGTCTCCATGCCTCTGCTCTGTATAATACACTTGCATTCTATTGTATCTGTGATTGTGTGCTTTGTTCGTGCTGTCTCTACCATTGACAATAAAACATGTCTTCTGTCTGAATGTAAGACGCGATCCCAGACTATGTCATCTTCTTCAGGGCCAACAAGTGCTAAGCATCTCTGGAACTCCTTCAAGACTGTTGAAGACCATTCCAGGTTTGAAGCTCATCAAGAGAATGCCAAGAGTCTGTGAAGCAGTAATCAGAGCAAAAGGAGCTACTTTGGAGCTACTTTGAAGAACATAGGAAATATAAGACATATTTTCAGTTGTTTCATTTTTTTTTTTTTGTATGTACATAATTCCACATGAGTTAATTCATAGTTTTGATGCCTTCAGTGTGCCTTCAGTACAATTTTCATAATCATGAAAATAAAAAACTCTTTGAATGAGAAGGTGTGTCCAAACTTTTGGTCTGTACTGTATATACATTTACACTAAATATATGTCTTCAATGACATTATGTATGTTTTGAGTTTTGGTTCTATCCAATGGATCAATGTATGTATTTGAAATATAAAATGTATTGAAAAATAAAAATTAATTAATTAATTAAATTAAATTAAATAAAACCACTTTTAGATGATTGGCCCCCAGCAGCCTTTGTTTCTGTTTTTATTCGGCCCCTGTCCAAAATTAGTTTTAGAACATGAAGTTTGTTGCCACAAAACTATTAGCTATCTCATTAAAAGAGTATTTTGTTTTTAGTAAGGACTTAAATAATTGCACTTCTCACGATTTGCTAATTCCCCACATTGCTGCACCTCGATGTGTAGTTGTATAATTCAAAACAAATGAGTGGCGTCTCAGAAAGGGTAACTAGGGTAACTTCAAATGAAAGCAGCAGACACTGATTTCCTGCACAAAGAGAGAGACAGATCGTGATGATTGGCCGCAGCTCTGTTTCCCGTGGTAACCGCAGCCTCCCCTCTGACCCCATGTGAACACAGCCGCAGGATTATCCCCGAGACCCGATGCAAATGTCAACACGAGCGTGTGCCACGTCGAGAGGAGCGGCTTGAGTGCTTTACTGTTTGCAAGTGTTTTACTGAAAAAGGCATTGTTGTATCAAAAGTCCCTACAATACATTTCCCGACAGCCACAGAGTGTTATTCACAGCCCTTTTATTTCTGTAGATACTTTCATTCTCTGCTTCTGTTAGAGGGCTGTCCATAGTTGATGAAAAGGTGCATGCCATTAATGTCAACCTATTTTAAAAATGTATATAAAATATAATATTAAGGATTTATATTGAGAAAATTATCAATGAAATTAGATGACTCAAAAGTGGCTCCAAAAGTGGCCAAAATGGCGTGCGCTGACATGCTTGCAATACCACCCCGGGCCGATGGGGGTGGACCCAGAAGAAGATTTAGCCAATGCTAACATATAGCATTGGCAGACCTCTGGAAAACGTCTTTGCAGGATGGTCCAAAAGTTGGCTCTTGCCCCATAGCTCCGTTCAACATGTGTGTCAATGCTGAGCGGGGTGAATTTTCTCGTTCAAATAAATGGAGCTCTCGCCGGCTGACGCATGCGCAGATGCGTTTTTTCACAATTTTCTTGTGGGCGGGACCACTCACGGCCATTTTGGATAGCTCCAGTAGAGCAATTCTTTTGGCCCATTAGTTAGAACGGCGGAGATAGGCGTGACTCTGTCCGTTAATATATACAGTCTATGGTTTGACCAAGCATCTCTTCTGTCGATTACAGCCCTAACTGTCAGTGTCATGTAAATAGCATTATGTTGATTATAGCTATTTTTGTTTTATTGTTTAAGAGACTGACTAAAGTAACTCGCACAAGTTCATGTTCTCTTGTTTGGTGGTTTTGTATCCACACACAAAAAATAAATAAATAACATAATTGGTTCAATTTAAGTGAACCACACCAACAAGTCTGGCCATACCCTCTGAGAAGTTTGTTTGTTGGTTTTATTTTTTGTATTGAGTGAATCTGAGACTCAGATCCTAGTATTTGTCCTAATGCCTTTATTGACAAATGTTTTTTTAAAAACATGTCCCCACAGCTGCAGTGGAGGCCTGTGTTTTGCATGGACTAAAGAGGCGGGCGGCTGGCTTTCTGCGCAGCAACAAAATTGCAGCTCTCTTCATGAAGGTGGGAAAGAGCTTTCCTCCCGCTGAAGAACTGTGCCGGAAAGCCCAGGAACACGAGCAGATCCTGGAGACAAAGTGAGACACTGTGTTGGGACACATCAAAGCCCTTTTGATCATGACACGTTTCTGCAAGCTTTTGCTAACCATTCATATTCATGATCTGACAGCATTAGAGACAACAAGGCTTTCCCAAAAATAAATCAAACCTATCATTTTTATTTTGGTCAAGATTTCATATGGAGTAGAACTTTTACAGGTCAAAAGTCAGTTAATAACACTAATACAACAATACATTATGTCATATATTAATAGATAACAAAAGCTAATCATAAATGTCTTATGTGTAAAATGTATATGGGAAATTTTTATTAATTTATCTTTTCTAATATGAAGTTTCCAAGACAAACTATTATAAGTCACAAGATGCATTCAGTAAACCTTTTTAACTGGTTTTAAGGGATAACCATTTCTGAGAAAACATTTTCAGAATGTTCAGAATCTCAGAATGTTGCAATCTTAGGTATAACTATCCTCATTCAACAGATGCAGTACAAAAATATTAAACAAATATAAGGTCTACAACACGTTCAAATAGCTCAAAATTCTCTCTGCAATGAATGTATCCTACGGTACTTTATTAGATATGAATATATATATAGAAGCAGCCATTATATGATTGTGTTATTTGCAGACGCAGTCAAAGTCTGCAAAGCCAAGACAGTTTAAGAAAGATCCCACGTCTACCCAGCCTCACGCCACAGACTGTCAAAAACCTATGGATCCGCACAGCTTTGTTTGAAAAGGTTTTGGATAAGATTGTCCTCTACCTGGTGGAAAACTGCAGGTGAGTTTGGGGGAGAACTTTAGTCCGTCAATGACATGATGTGTTATAACTTCTAACCATTTTGTTTTTTTCAGTAAGTATTATGAGAAAGAGGCCTTGCTCATGGACCCTGTTGATGGACCTATCCTTGCCTCATTACTTGGTAAGATTACTCTACTTTTTAGTTGAAAATATAACAGCAGGGGTTTTCCACTTGTTGTTTCTATAGAACTGTTAAAACTTTATCCTCAGCCTCAAATCTGGAGAAGGACCTTCTCTCTTTTTGTTTCCATAGCTATGATATTACTTTATATGGCATTATGCTTATATATTTAAAAAGAATATTGTGCCATCGGAGAATTTTAAAACTTTTTTAAATAGAATCATGCAAAGGATTTTCCTCGTTCAGAAAGTTATGCATCATTGCTTTGATAATGCAGCATAATAACAAGAAGAAGAACTAGACTTTCATAAAGAACATGTTACAATCTTTCAATAGTGGTAGAGTTACTGGTACACATTGCTTTTTATTTTAGCCTTTTAGATCACATTAAACTGTATTTATTAATTGTAACACACATATTTGCTGACCTTTGTCCAACCACAGCAGATGTTTTAGTGATTTTAGATTAGGAGCAATGACAGCTACGAAGACCAAGACTGGTTGCTATAAAATGGGAAAAACTCGAAGACAGAAAATCTGATGCTGTGTCACATTCTAGCAGACCATTTAATCAACTTTTTGTGTAGTTGGACCTTGTGCTTTGGAGTACACTAAAATGAAGACGGCTGACCACTTCTGGACTGACCCTTCAGCGGATGAGTTGGTCCAAAGACATCGTATCCACAGTGGCCACTGTCGGCAGGACTCTCCGACCAAGAGACCTGCGCTTTGTGTGAGTCCCATGGAGCAAATGATGTTGGGGAACAGTCTGATCCTGGTTCACTTGTTAGCTCAGGCGCTAGAGCATAATATGCCCAGGAACTATTCACTGTGTCTCTGACCTGCTGGCTTTGTCAATTCAAGGTTATTATTTTTTTGTTTTAAATAAAAAATAAATAGTCGAATGGTGGTCTTGTTAAAGGTGCACTGTCTTAGATGTCATTTCGCCTTTTATGTGACAAGTTTTATGACATTTCCTCAAACATTTCAGGCAAAAAAGAGAAATATTTTCATGAGATTATGGGCTTTAACTTGCAAGCGACAAGCAAAAGAGATCTAGGTCAAAGTTCTATCATTCTTATTTTTGCTGCATGCCTGCTCTGTCTAAATGCAACACATGTGTGCATAATTTGTCATTGAAGACTGGAATAGACAAAGTAACAGAAAGACATGAATGTGATCCAATAATTCTCTCAGATGCAGTTCATACTCTAAACTCCCAAGAGCTGTATCTCAGTCCTCCGGCTCATGCACGTCTGGAGCCTTGTGACCCAGGATCAGGCTGCGTATGTCAGCTCCAGGACCAGAGCAGGTGTCTGCAGCGGTGGAAGCAGCTGGAGCAGTGTGCACGGTCACGGGAGGTGCATGTGTCTGTGTGCTCACTCAGAGTTCACAGCCGACTAAAGCCTATGATAGCACCAGCCTGTCTGTGCACATGAGGCATCTGGACAATGCCTGCTGTTTATGGAGGACATGGGGTCTCTGCCTGTGGAGTTGAGTTCTCTGTTAAATTACAGTCACAAAGGATTATTTTTGTCAGACTCTCGCTTCTCAACACCAGACCATTATCATCTGCAGGTAGATCTGATACTGTTCATGACGCTCTCTACATTGTAAGTGTCAGTCGAACTGTCAGTGAAGGCAAGCGTACTATGTTGGTGCTACAAATCCATATTTATTCATTATTTCAGCCTATTTGTTTGATTGTCTGTTTGTTGCAGTTAGATTATAAATAGCACTGACCTAGTCCTGGCGCTGTTGCCCACATTTAAAATAAGATAAGATAAGAGTTCCTTTATTCATCCCATAGTGGGGAAATGTCCATGTTGCAGCGCACATACAGGACAGTAGTAAGAGCACACAGGGAGGGCAAGATCATGACTTGGAATTTTCTTTGTTATCCATGGTAACTGATTATCAGATACGCAAATGTAGGCAATTATCTTTTAATAGCATATATTTTCTAATCTTATTGTTGATTTTGAGTCAGAGACAAGAGACATAATTGAAAAATTGCTTTTCAAATCCAGTGTGTGTTGTAAGTGCTTGTGGTGATGAAGGGCCCTATGAAGCAACAATGCAGAGCCATTGATTTGATTTGTTTGTTTGTGTAGATCCAGAAGCGCCACTCAAGCAGCAGCATGGACGAACGGCCCTCCCCCTCGCCATCAGCTCGTGAATATGTCGAGTCACTGCATCAAAACAACAGGGCCACCCTCCTTTTTGGGAAAAACAATGTGCTAGTACAACCGGTAAGTGGAATTTGCTCTCAGCTGACTCGCTTTTTCTCGTTCAGAAATGATAATTCATTCACCAGCAAAAACAATCATTTTTACAGTGAGGGTTCATGAAGTTAGTAACACTTATTTTGCTAATAGAAGATTCACCAGACATCACACATGAAATGTTCTACAATTTGCTTTTGGAAACCTTTTAATTACATGAGCTTATTCTTGTTAGATTTAACACACACTCTGTACCAACCACTTAAAACTCCAGTATGTAACTTTTTAACATACATTGGCACGTTCAATTAATATAAACATTTTTATGGCACTGAATAAATCTTAACAGTGAGGTACTTCCATCTCCACAAATCTGACTCGTAGTTGTTCTGGACGGTGGCCAACTCCTGTTAGTTTGCTTGGAACTGAAATATACCTCTTTAGGGCATCTCACTTGGTTTTAGTCGCTTTTACCATCAAGCTGCATCTCAAACATTTGGTAAAGGCCTATAATAATAAATAAAAAACAAGCAAACAAAAAAACTTGAAAACAAATGATTTGTGTTATTATGGCTCCTATCTTAGAAAATCCCAAGAAGTCCAAATGTATGTCAGCCTTATCCATGTCCAGAAAATGACGTACTGATGCTTTAAGTTGTACTTTTGCCCAGGCGTTAAACGTTCTCTCCGATGGGTTTCAGAAGGATGATATGGAGGCGATTCCAGGGTACCTCTCCTTGCACCAGACCGCAGACCTAATGACTTTGAAGTGGACCCCCAATCAGCTGATGAACGGTTCAGTGGGAGACTTGGACTTGGAGCGCAGGTGCAGGCTCAAAATGTCTGATGAGTTTTCTCGTCTGCTTCGTTGTGTTTCTCGTGGTAGTTGCTGAATAATACAGTGTGTTTTCGCGGTCTCTCTCGTGTGGATCTCAAAAGGGTTATTTCCAGCCCACCAGGCACTCGCAGATGGCTTATTGACTCAGACATCTTTCAAACCAGTAAACCGTGTTATGTTCCCGCGTGTGCATGGTTACTATCACCAGCAATTGATTATTTCATTAAGACTTTCAGGGCTGGGTAATAGCCGTGGTACACATGTTCTATCAAATTTAAATCAACAACAAGATAATACGTTTTTGAGTTATATTTTAATCTTTTTTTCTGCCAAATGGACTGAGCCATGGATGCAGTACCATTGTTCTGGTCGAATACCAGATATTTTCATTTGAATGCGCTCAAACCAATGACAATATGCAAATGAGTTTTTTAAGGTCGTAGTTCCATTATGGTGAGGTCTTTTTGGATTTATTCAGATTTAGTGCTGAAAATAGGAACATGTGTTTGGATTTGAAATATATGCACTTAAATTTCAAACCACAACAAATGCCATCCATCCATCCATTTTCTACCCATTAATCCATTTCTTGGTCGAGGGGGTGGCCAGCGATGCCACCCAGTACACATAGCACCAGCCCCTCACTGATACTTCTGCAGGTGGTGAGTCCACAGGAGGATGGCTGCTCTATGGCAGCCTTGATCTTTCAGCGGGGGCTTCAGGCAAAGTGGGGTTAAGTGTCTTGCCCAAGGACACAACCACAGCAGTAAGTCATCAGTGGGAGTTGGTGGATAAGATCTCACAGTGGGCTCGAACCCATGACCTTCAAGCTCAAAGGCCAATGCTCTACCAACTAAGCCACTGTCGCCCCACCACAACAAATGTAACTATTTAAAAAAATCTGGTTCCTCAAAAGTTTAGTTTATATTTTTAGATCTCTCACAAATAGTGACTCACAGGGCTCTTTCTTGTTGTGGTAGGATTTGCTCACACAATCTTACTATTACCAGGCTCTTTCTGTTGCATACAACATCGACTTGTTAAAAAAAATAGTAGGATAGTAGGATAGTAGGTATCACAGTTTTTCCTTGAAAGTATTAAAATTATTATTTTGAATATAATACAAACAAACTACATAACAATGCCATCTTTTTAATTTGTTTTTAATTTCTGACATTTTGCTTTCAGTGTTTACTGGGACTATGCCATGACAATCCCTTTGGAGGAGATAGTGTATTTGCACTGTCATCAACAAAGTAACTCTTTTTTTTTTCAAATGAAAGCAATATTTACCGCAGAGTACTCATAATTATAATCAGTTTATGCAGTTGACAGCGGTGGGACTGTGGTGCTGGTCAGTCAGGATGGGATCCAAAGACCCCCCATTCGGTTCCCCCGAGGAGGACATCTGCTGCAGTTCCTGAGCTGTCTGGAAAACGGGCTGCTTCCACACGGACAGCTGGACCCTCCACTGTGGTCCCAAAGGGGGAAGGTCCGAACATCATTATTTGGTCTCTCCTTTAACAGCACTGACTCCACTGCATCATGGAAATGACACAACAGCATTTATTCCTCAGAAAAAGGCCTATTAACCTATTTAATCAATAAATCTATAATGGTGGTATTATTGAGGAGCACTCCTTGTGTTAGAGTGAGGTGATGAATGCTTTGAGCTCCCACACGCTACAACCATTTCTGTCTCAAAAAAATCAATGACAGTATTTTAAAGCTACCTCTGTCCATATGAACAACTGGGAACTCCACCTACGATCCTTGGAACTATTATTAACAAATCGAAGTGGCACAGGTCCGGTTTCTAATTTAGCTTTTGTCTTGATGCAGGGAAAAGTGTTCCCCAAGTTGAAGAAGAGGATTCCTCAGGGCTCCACAGACTCTGTGTCAGACAAAGAGGAGGATGAAGCCACTGATTACGTCTTCCGTATCCTGTTCCCCAACAGTCAATCAGAGTTTGGTGAGTTTAACAACAACGTCTGTAAATGTAGCACTGAATGTAGATGGAAAAAATCAGGTCTGGAACATGGCTGAATCTTGTTTAGCTTTAGCGACTAGCTTCATTCTGTGGTTGTGGAGCCGGAACATGCTCAGTCGTGCACCTCTCCCATGATGTCTTCAGCCTAAAACCTCCTCCTGACATACAGCGACGCGAAAGTTGAATGTGTCGCACAGTCCAGCGTTGACGGCGACCCTAAAAAAAATTGCTCGCCTTGTCTCTTTTTGGACGACTTTTTGCGCTAGCGTTCCGCCCCTAAACACTTCTTATTGGTTGAAACACACTGCTTCCTGTTGACACGCTATGGATGAGGAGACGCTAGTTTTCATAGTGGAGCAATATCCCATGATATACACAACCCAAAAGACCAGAACCACAAACGGCAATCAGGAAATGTGAGAAATCTCAAAAAGAGCGCCAGAAGTGTGTCCCTCTCGATTATTTTATTGGTTTGGATTTTGAACCAATAGAATGACTCTCACCAAAATTGTCACGCTGCATATCAGGACCCTTTCGCACAACATTTTGTTGTGACATCGCTCGCTGTATGTCAGGATAAGGTGACGTTGTAGTGGCTCCCATTAGCCAAGACAAAAAACATTCTTACAAATATTGCCTCCGGCCAGGAGGTAAAATGACCACTTGTCTATTTGTTTGTTTATCTAGAGGCACATTTCAAAAAGTTATTTGAGGCTTTGAACGACAATTTGAGGAAACATGCCCAAAGGCCCAGTGAACAAATTAGTTTTGAATCATTGCCTGGATGCAAGATTTTATTAATGGAATTGAACTGTGCCTCTAGGTGGAGGTCTGCGCTCTACAAGTGCTTTTCCAATTTCGGGTGTTTTTACAGTCCATGGAGCATTCTAAAGGATGTATCTAAACCAGCGGTGTCAAACCGGTCCTCAAAAGGCCAGTGTAGCTGTAGGTTTTTTTCCGACCCAAGCAGAGGCACACTAGACTCCACCCAGATCCTCAGGTGAGACCAGTTCTAACAGGGAAATAAAACCTGCAGCTACATCGACCGATCTAAACTAATCTGGGCTAATGTCAGTGTATCATTCCCCCTTCACATGTTGCTCACGCTCGTCGCACCAGCACTTTTTATATCTTCTGAAACAACATTGATTTGCTCATGGATAGAATACAGTTGGTAATTTCAGTCTATTTTGTTTTTTATTGTGTAATTTCATGGATCAAATACATTTGATTGGTTACAGGTTGATTTAGATAGTTGTTCATGATAACAATTTTTTAAATCATTTTGTGTTCTAGTAGTGTCTGATCCCCATGCAAATCCCTCCTTGTCCTTTCTCTCTCAATCTGGGCCCCCCGTGGTTTCATTTTTGTTGAACTTTGTGAAATCCTCCCAAGATTTGTGGTTATTGAATTCAATTGTCCTTTAATTTAGCTGAAAGTCTTTGTCCAAACAATGAATGAGTGGTTCACACAGGTCCTACCATTGCTCCAATAGTGCAATAGTTCAAGCCCCTTCTCATTACCCATAACACATGTGTCATCTTAGCTGTTCTTCTGTTCTCCTCAAATCTTTCTAATCATTTTCACTTGATAACCATTTCAGATCCAACTCTGTCACTGGTGACACTTTATTGATGCTGTCTGCTATTAAGTCTTAGGCCACTGTGCTAAATCCCCTCTGCTCTGCATTTCAGCACAGTAACCTTTAAGTGATGGAAATGTGACTGATTGATTAAGGCTTGCAGATCGACTAATGTCCTTGTTAAGCTGACTCTTGTGATTCCTAAGTGTTTAAATAAACAAAATATCCTTGCAAGAAAATAGGTGACTTATATAGAATGCAAATACATTTGAATGTTATGTAATGAGAATTTAGGGTTTAATAATTACCTCTGCCCAGGAGGTAAAGTGATCACCAGTGTTTGTCTGTTACATGAAGTTATACAGAAGACTTGCATAATATAACGTGCGATATGTTCCTACTTTTTGAGACACATTTACAGATGTATTCTTATTTTTATTTGAACTGCTTCTTGATGACACTGTTGTGTCTGTAATGATAAAATGGCATCATTTTACTGAAGTGAATTTATTTTCTTGTGTCTGTTTTGCAGCTCCGCCCCCAGAGCTAATAGACCGTGAGGCGACAATGTGGCATCCGTCACTCCGAAAATCCTCCTGCTCCTCCTGCTCTCCGGGAAGCTTCTCTGAGGGAACTACTCCTAAAGGATGCAACCACGAGAGGTGATAAATGACCCAAACAAAACCACATAAATGACTGGGAGCAGAGCGTGATAAATCAGCAATTACCTGGAAATACAGTGACATTTACCTCAGCGCCGGTGCCGTTGACAACAGGGCATGGAAGCTGATAATAGCTGCAGATATCAACTGAATAGAGGAAAGAAGCAACTGGCTGTGGGTGTTGTAATAAGATACAGTATGAAAACACAGTGTAATAATACATTTATTCATACATTTATATAAAAATAAAAATAAATGTTAAATGAAAAACTACATACCTCCCTTGAGGGACCTTTGTATATATGTAACTGCTTAAATTACAAATATACCATAAATTCTGACTCCCCCTTTGGGCAAAGCTTTGCAGGAATTTGATATGAAACAGAGATAGAGGACTGCTAAAACCCTTATCAGAAATAAATTAATAAAAAAATATGTAAGAAAAATGTTGGGAAACGTTGCTTGACAAAGAAAGTGCCTTGGATTCTGGAGCTTTTGTTGCCAATCTTCTACCTTGGCATCTAATCAGACGGTTAAGAAATCCTTTATTCATCCCACAGGGGAAATGTCATTGGTACATCACAGGTTACAGAACTGTGGAAATAAGGACCATCTTTGCTGTTTAAGTCTGAATGATTATTTCCATGTGAATATTGTCAGCAAAAAATAATTCTTCTCTTTGTTCTAAACCCCAGGACTCCTCTGAAGCTGCTATGTGACAACATGAAATCTCAAATAATTTCTCGTGCATTTTATGGATGTATGTATTCTCTTTCCTAAAATCCAGTCACCGTTTAATGTCCCTTATGTCCTTGTGAGATGTGATTTATGAATTGTAATGCTATTGTTTTTGTTCAGGGCTTGCGTATTGCCGTCATCTGTCCACTGTGCGCACACACCTCTCGGCTCTGGTCAATCACACCATCGTGGACCCCCAAGTGCCCCATGATGCCTGCAAAGGGTTAACAGTAGAAGTGTGGCATGCGTTTCGACAAAACTCCACTGTAAGCACTTTTTTATAACTTATTATTATTTTGATTGAAGTGTAATAAAAATGGTGCAGATCTTTCAGTACACAATCAAACGTAAATAGACAATAATGTATCACAGAAGGATAAACAACTCATTTGATATGTTCCAATCAGGTTTTAGACCAAACCATAGCACAGAGACTGCCCTAATTACAGTGGTAAATGACATACGTCTGAACACAGAGACGCTGGCAAAGTCTCAGTGCTAGTTTTATTAGATCTAAGTGCAGCATTTGATACCATGGATCATGAAATCCTTTTGCAGAGACTGGAGAACTGGGTGGGGATCTCTGGCATGGCTCTAGAGCGGTGTAGGTCCTATCTAGAGGACAGAATGTACTATGTTGAGATTGTAAATTGTGTTTCAGACCAAATTGCCTTGACTTGTGGAGTACCACAGGGTCAATCCTAGGACCTCTCTTATTTAATCTTAACATGCTACCACTTGGCCAGTTAATTCACAATGAAAATGTTTCCGACCACAATTATGCTGATGATACTCAGCTCTACGTGTCACTGACTTCAGGAGAATATGGACCATTGGATTCACTCTGCCATTGTATCCAACAAATTGGTGTGTGGATGCAAAGGAATTTTCTGCAACTTAATTCTGATAAAACAGAAACAATTGTCTTTGGACCACAGAAGCAACGATAAACTGTCACCAGTTACCTGCAGTCTCTCTCCCTGAAGCCTGAAAATCAAGTTAGAAATCTTGGGGTAGTTCTGGACTCAGAGTTGAATTTTCAGTGGCACATAAATTCAATAACATCAGTGGCTTTTTATCATTTAAAAAACATTTCCAGAATCAAAGGTATTTTGTCTAAACCTGACTTAGAAAGACTTATCCATGCTTTTGTCTCCAGTAGGTTAGACTACTGCAGTGGCCTGCTCACAGGTCTGTCCAAACAGGCTGTAAAACAGCTGCAGTACATTCAAAATGCAGCAGCTCGAGTCCTGACAAGAACCAGGAAGTACGACCACATTAGTCCGGTTCTTAAGTCTCTGCACTGGCTTCCTGTGGCTCAGAGAATAGACTTTAAAACAGCTCTGCTTGTGTACAAGTCTATCCATGGCCTTGCACCACAGTATATCCGAGACATGTTAGTCCCATATGAACCGGCTCGGACGCTGAGGAGCACAGGGACTGGACTCCTGTTAGTGCCCAGGGTCAGTTCACTTTGGAGAGACCCAAGAGGGAAAATGCAGTTAGAAGTTTGTTGATTGAGTATGTTTGGCGCCCTAGGCCCGGGAGAGATGCTGTTGAGTGCGGCGCTTGCTTGCGCGCATAATCCCCCCCGGGGCCTAGGCACTGGTGACGGCAGAGGCAGTAGGCAAGCGCGCTTCGATGAGAGAAGGAGGAGGTGGGGCGGCGGAGGCTTTGCAAACTTCAGAAGGCCGGGAAGTGGGCGTCTGTCAATGGAGTATGTTATTGTGTTATTATCATATTAATAAATGTAACGTTTAGTCTAGGATCTAAAAACTAGTAGTAAGCAGAGTGAAGAATGTATGGAACCATCCCCCAGCCATTAAACACAGGAAGTTAAATTAAGGCAAGAACGCAGAGATCATCTGTTTAGAGTAGCCTCAGGCTTATTTACACAGGGGCTATTTGTGTGTCCTGAACAGAAAAGAGGTATTGTCTTCACCTAAGGATGTTGAGACATATGTCTTCAATTATCATGTCATGTGACTGTGTGCTTATCACCGATAGCCTGTTCCTGAAGCAGGGTTCTTTTGCTTTGGGGTTGCCAGGGAGAGAGCCCAGACTGATCAAGCAGTCTGCAACTTGTCTGTATCCTGTATTCTGTCTTTTATATATTAAACCTTTTTTATATATCTAAGCAGAATTTGTAGTGTCCATTTATCATCGAAGGAGAAACCGTGGCTGAACCAGCGTTAACAGCGTCTCCGGCTTTTAACTTGCTGTCCTGGTGGTTATTGGTGGATTGGATGTGGGCTTTTTGCTGGTGTAATGAGTAGAGGATGAGCAGGCTTGTAGATCTGGCAGCAGTGGCCGGGTCTACCACAGTGAACTTTCGCGAAGAGCTCCATGACTAGACATGGGGAGGCAGCGTTTCAAATTTATGTGGCCAGAATTTGGAACAGTCTTCCTGAGCTTGTGAGACAGGCCTCGTCCCTGGCAATGTTTAAGTCCAGGCTGAAAACTGTCTTATTCAGGTATGCATATGACTAATCTGAAGTATGTTTTTTTTTAAACGTTCGTAACTTTTATCTTTTTAATACATAATGTTTTATTTGTATATACACTGTTTTTTTTATGTTTTTTTTTATTGCTTGTGAAGCACTTTGGGTTACACTGTATGAATTGTGCTTTATAAATAAATTTGATTGAATTGATTGATAACATAATAACATAAAACCAGTGTGTTGCAGGACTGTTAAGAAAAAAAGAGCAACATTTCTACAATAAACACAGAACAACAACAATAACAAAAACAGGGTGGATTTAAATGGAGAATGTGTCAAAAAAGTGTGATGGTTTTTTTTTTTTTGCTTCTGGGTGATTTGAGAGATGAGTATATTGCTTATATAGATGACTTTTGTTTTGAAATATGTTTTCCCAGAATGATTAATAGATCAACTAAGTTTTATTTTAGTGTTGCATCTGTTAAAGAAACCAAAGAGCACATCTTGATAACGGAAAGTGATGTTGGGGATGATTCTTTTGTTGAGGCGAATGTAGCAGTGGGCGAACTGTAAGCACTTGTCCTACGTCCTCATTGTTATACAGTGGCACAAGCTGAGTCTTTCCTGCCCGCTCATTCATGTTAATCGCTGGCTCGTTCCGTTAGCTTCACTGCTCTGTGCATGAAGCATGACTAATGGCCCTGCCAGTCATCATAGCTGCACTTTATTTGAATGTTAATTACGCCATATTAAGCCACCATGAGCCTTCTACTAATTAAAAAACTGATGTGATAATGAAGCGGTGGTGTTGTTTATTGTGATGTTGAATTTTTATATCAATACAATTCCCTCTCTTTATCGGACATGGTTATCCACCCTGTTGCATTCAAAGCCGTTAGACTTAATGTCATATGAATTAATGTGGCTAATGTAATATGCATTTGTTATTGAGTCACCTTGTATCGTTCTTTCTAAAACAGGATAAAAGAGTACATTATATTTTTATATATCTTTCTATAGACTTATGAAGAGAAGGAGCTGCAGCGTTTGGTGTATTTTGGAGGTGTGGAGCCTTCTCTGCGGAAAGAGGTGTGGCCTTTCCTTTTGGGGCATTATCAGTTTGGGATGGCTGAAGATGAAAGAAAAGAGGTTTGTCTTTGTGCTTTCCAAACGACTTATCCCTAAAGTAATTGCTGAAATAGAATCAGACTTCAGGTTCTGTAAATAAATATTTACTGTTATATTCCAAATAGTCAAACCTAACATGACATCATTATGGCAGTGAGCCTGCAGGACTTCCTGTTTTTCATGTCTTTTTACATAATTGAAGTATATTCTTGTTTGTTTTTCAATTTTAGAATGAGCTGTCACATAATGTGTTTATTTAATACAAATGAATAGTCTATTTAGATCATTTGAATTATTTAGCTTTGGAGCATGTTCACACTTACCCAAAAACATCACAAAACACGTAAAAGCGAGTCCGCTGCCTGAGGGGACTCCTGGACCATGTTCACTTGGCTGGTGCGGTAATGTCTACAGAGTGAAATATGTTTCCCTCTAAAGTGACGCCCTGAGTATTAAAGATTCAGTAGAATTATGTACCTCTGATAGATTGAATTAATCTCCTGTGGAAATGTAGTAATATTGAAATGATGCCGTTTCCTGTATTGTAGAGGTATTTTTAAACAACAAATCAACTTTTCAGAAGCCCCAAAGCTGTAACACGATATGGCCGTAGCCACATTATCATTAATACAGAGTGACACCTTTCCACAGCTTTACATCCTAAATAAATATATTTATTCTGCACAAATAGATTTATAAGGTCACATAAATAACTGCACGAGAATCATGAAACTCATGAAAACCATGAACATGTTGTGTGACCCCTAAGGTGGATGAGCGAGTGCGCCTCTGCTACCAGCAGACCATGTGCGAGTGGCAGAGCTGTGAGGAAATCATCCGCCAGAGGGAGAAGGAGCAGCACGCCGTAGCATTAGCCAAGTGTTCCTCGGTGGCCAGCATGGACAGCTCCAGCCAGAGGGCCGTGCATCACGACTCCACTGTGAGCAACGAGGTAAACATTCGCCATAAATAATGGGGCTCATTTCGCCGTGTCTCTAGGGCTGCAGAGGCTGGAATATATTAGTTTTTCTTTTGTGCAACAGTCATAAATATGTAAGTAGTGTTGAATATTTGGTCTGCTTGCAGTCCTCCCAGAGCTCCGACAGGCAGAGCCTTGCACGCCTGCAGAGCGACTCCAGCAACAGCACACAGGTATTAGGTCCAAATATGCAACATATTCACCCCTTTCCCATGTACTAAGATGGAAAGTAACGCTTTGAATGCTTGTATTACTATATTTGTACAAATATTAATGCCGTAATAAGGTAAAACTATACTAAATCTTTCTTTTTCAAATTGCTATTGCTAAACAAGTACTAAATAAAAATGTACTGGATCTGACAAAATTTTAAAAAGTCCTGGGTTCGAATCCCAGTTGTAACAGGCCCTTTCTGAGTTGAGGTTGAATGTTCCCCCCATGTACAAAAGGTAATATCCTCCAGCTCTGGTTGTCTTGACCAAGCCGAGGATCAGCCAAGTCTAATGCAGAGGACAAATTTCTCTATGGGGACAATATTTAGCTTAACTTATTACTGTGCATACTGCAATTATAAAACCTAAACCAGGGGTGTCAAACCGGTCCTTAAGAGGGTCTGGTGTGCTCCTGCCTGCTTGGAATGAAGTCCTGTAGCCACACCGGCCCACTTGGAACTGGTTTGACACCCCTGACCTAAACTATAATGTACCTTTGTCTGGAATTGTTTTGTTTAGCAAAGAATTGTATTTGGGGAAGGGGCTCACCACTCACTTGTCATTTTCAATCTTTAACAATCGTTTATACATGTTTCAAAAATGTTGAACCATTATTCCTCACCCCTCCACTGTTTCTCTGGCTAGTCTCTCACATCCTCCCATCCCTTCTCCTGGAGTAGCCTGCTTCCCTTTGGCTTGTTTTCCCAGGTTTTTGAGTCTGTCGAGGAGGTGGAACAGATTGAGATTGAACCCAGAACTGAGGAGCCCAAACCGTCCCAGCAGAAGATCACAAACGGGGCCCTGCAGAACGGCACAAGCTCTCCTGATTCGGGACACCCATCCTCGCGCAATTTTTCTGTCACTTCCGGCTTGTCTGATGTCTCGCTCAGCACCGAGGACAGCGCCCAAGCCCAAGCTCCACAAAGCCTTAGCCGACCCCTACAAGATATAGAAGATAGACAGGCAAAAAGTGAAGCAGAGGGAGAGGCAACTCAATTGGAAAGAGGAGAAGTTATGAATGAAGACAGTAACATAGGTGGAATGAGGACGGAAGAGTCTGCTAATGTGGTTACAGAGCCGTCAGAGCTGGTTATGGAATCCCACAGAGAAGCAGAAAATGACATGTTGAACTCTGAAGAGACCAGTGCAACTCAAAGTGTTTTATCAGCAGACGTGAATGACCCAGCTGTGAAAGAGGAAAATCAGAACCTTGCCTTGCCCACAGATATGCCACAAACAGAATCTACCTACGGCGAACTGCCCAGCACCACAGAGTCTGACGAGTCGCCCTCAGCCATAGAGATGGAGGAGATCCCCAAAGCCAAAGTGTCTCTGGTGCCATGGACCGAGGCGGGGCGCGGAGCAGATAGAGCGGTAGATGAAGGAAAGCCCAGTCCAGAGGGAACAGAATCCTTATTGTCTGATGAGCCAGAAATGGAGAGCATATGTCCGCACTTTACTGATGCAGCAGAAGAGAATAAGAAGGAGGAACACTCTCCAGGAGGACCTTTCTCAGTATGGGTGATTTCTAAAATAATGCAACTCAGAGAAATGTGTATGTTCATGTTATAATAAGTCTATTCACTCTTTCAGCAAGAGCTTTTAGATTTGTACACGCTCAACCTTCATCGCATTGATAAAGATGTCCAACGGTGTGACAGGAATTACTGGTACTTCACTCCAGCCAATCTGGAGAAGCTACGAAATATAATGTGCAGGTAAAGGGATGGCTGTATATCATTTTAGATGTATTCATTAGTTAACATTTCTGATACCCTCTTGTTATGACGGATATGTTATTGCTTTGCTTGAAATGTACCTCAGTATCTTACACAACATTTATATTATTTAACTACATGTATTTTACTGATACAACACCTGCATTTTTAGCTCTCCTCTCCGCAGATGTGACTTGTAGCTTAGCCAGGTGAAGTCATTTGCTTGTCTCCAATGTAGATGGAAGTCATACTGTGGAACATTCCATTCACAACTACAGCATATCAAGCACCTTTAATGTCAAATGTATATCATGTATATATGTCATCTATAGCCACGATTTATTTTGACTTTTCTTTTATTATTATTATCATCATCTGACTGGCCGTAAAAAAAAAGACTACTGATATAAATCATTGAGGGGCTTATAATGCAATGCAGATTATATAAAGAGGGGCCAAATAAATACTGAGGAAATAGATAAGTCTCACAATTTTAAACTAGAAATGTATGTAAGTAATGTAAATAGAGCATTTCACAGACCAAGGTCACACAAAACACTCAAAAACACAAAGAAAAGAAGAATAAGAAGAATTCCTATACCCAGGCATTTGTCCCTGGTCTCAGGTTTCTTGAACATTTCATAAATGTCTAAAGCCTTTTGAGTTATGTTGCTAACTAACAAACAGACACACAAACCCTTGTGATTACATAACCTTATGGCAGAGGTAATTACCACTACTTGAATGGCCATTGTATGGGAGCTTGAGATTTCCACAATGATTAGGAGTTATTAAAGTATTGTGAAGTAAAACATAGAGTTGTGAACAAAAGTGATGAACATTTCTAATTGTATACAATGTAATTAAGTGACATTTTGTATTATAAGAGTTAGAAGTAGATGATACATAACAGTTTCAGTGGTGAAGTTGATGGAGGGTCCCTTCGTAGACAAACAGATAAGTACAAATTACTCTAGTGTTGTGTTGATGATAATAACATAATACCATGATGTACTTTATGCATTATTCTATGTGTGTAAGAAAAATTAAAAGTATGTGTTGTGTGCAGCTATATTTGGAGGCATCTGGACATCGGTTATGTGCAGGGGATGTGTGATCTCCTGGCTCCTCTCCTCGTCATCCTCGACGACGGTTAGTCACAACTGAATCATTACTTATTTACTTTCATCTCTGACACTTAGTTATTTTTGGTAAAACAATGTTGAAGTTTGCCCACTCACTTGACACAGTTTCCGGTGTTTTTCTTTTTTTGCAGAGGCCTTGGCATTTAGCTGCTTCACTGAGCTCATGAAGAGAATGAATCAAAACTTTCCACATGGAGGAGCCATGGATACACACTTTGCTAATATGCGCTCTCTCATTCAGGTTAGAAGAACATGCTTCTGCTGTTCATGTTTAAATCCAGACACTCTATCTTCAAAGAGAATTTTTCTATTGATTACAATCCCTTTTATTATAGATCTTGGACTCTGAGCTGTTTGAGCTTATGCACCAGAATGGAGACTATACTCACTTTTATTTCTGCTACCGCTGGTTTCTTCTCGACTTCAAGAGAGGTAGGACTTTGTGTTATTTTAATGCATGAAATACAAATTTAGCTAATAGCTGATTTTTTTGTTTTTATAGAGTTGGTGTACGATGATGTGTTCTCTGTTTGGGAAACCATCTGGGCTGCCAAGTGTGTCTCATCCAGTCACTTTGTGCTCTTCATTGCCCTGGCGCTGGTGGAAATCTACAGAGATATAATTCTAGAGAATAATATGGACTTCACAGACATTATTAAATTCTTCAATGGTAAGAAAAAAATAAATAAATGAATGAATAAAAGATGCCAATGTCAAAGCCAGCTGTAAAAACATACACAAGGTTGGGATGAAAAAGTTTTTAATGTTAGCTCATGCTGACTTATCACTGCTCTAAAATGTGGGTCCTTGGGTCAACAGATTTCCTTTTTCTAGCAATGTGTGATTTATAAATAAGTGATATGATCTCTTTCAGAAATGGCTGAGCATCACAACATAAAGCAGATTGTGACTTTGGCTCGAGACCTGGTGTGCAAAGTGCAGATGCTGATTGAGAACAAGTAACGATGCTCCGTTCCTCTTTTCTTCCTCTTTACTTCCTCCTGTAGCAGCCGAGGATCTGCTCGGAGCTTACGTCACTGTTTGCGCTGCTCTCTTCCTGGCTGTGTCCACCGCCTGTACAATGGTGTTTGCTGCTTCACATTCTGTCTGTTCAGGAGAAAACAAAACCTCCCACAAGTGTCTAGGTCTATCTGAGTGCACTTACTACTTAAAGAGTTTAATTTCAAGACAATTCAGATATTATTTCAACCAGAGATTATATTTATGACAAAAACATGAAAATGTTGATATTATATATCAAAATATATTCATTTTTAAAGGTTACCCAAATACTTACTGAATGTTAACTTTATACGAAAGTAATTTTACTATGTGTTAGAACACAGAGCCAAAGTGAATTCAAGTCCCTTATAAAATCCTTACACTGCAGTGTGCATTACTGCGTTATCCTACTGTGACTTAAAAAAACTGTTTTTGTGTGTGTCTGCCAATTTATTACCTCTGTATTTTAGCTATAGCTATTCAAGGGAACTGAATGTGAATGAATGTTTAATCAAAGATCTACAACAAGCACTATTTTAATTTTGTATCAGCCATTGTAAACGGTGCACTTTATTTATTGCTCTTGTGTCATTTTAGTATTGTCTGAAATCAAGTTTGTCAACTTGAATTCAGGTATAATTATGTCATTGTAGAAATGTCTCCAAATAGGAAAATGTATTGTTATTTAAATTATTGTGAGAGAGGTCTTGGTGGTTATTTACATTAGAGATATATTTTCAATAATTTGGTTGAATACACATTCAGCATGTCTATGCTTTATTGTGACCTTTTATTAGCAAGTAATTATAAAAGTTGAATGCAGTCATGAGAAATCTGTACAGTTGTGGTGCTTAAATTAAAACAACATAGCTTTTGATGTTTATATTCTTGAGGCGCTTTAGCAACGTTATTACCTAAATATTGGTGTGTGTGTGTGTTTGCTTACCAGACTAATATCATTATTAGTTTTTATTATCGTACAAAAACTAGATTTGTTCAGCTTCATTATATTTTCCAATGCTGTTTTGTTTGTGTTGCGTTTCTGTTGTGTGCCACAAACAATCAAATGCTATATATTGAATGGTCTATGTTTTTACAATAAAAACAACAATGGAATGACGTCTATTTTTCCAAAACAAAGACATTTATGTTATTTAGCAAAGAACTTAAGTTTATTTAAGTGATTCTCAAACATCTTTTCACTCTTGTTTCTCATTTACAGCCGTGCGATCAATTCAACTAAATGTATTTTTGCATAGCCAAATCACAACAGCTATTGTCCTAGTGACTTTACTAAGTTGTCAATTTGTCAACAACAGATCTGAGAATCAACAAGAAATGCACACTATAAAAAAAAAATAAAGGCATATGAAATAATCGGCTATGATATAAGTTTTTTTTTTCTATCTCATAAACAGTTTTTGTTCCAGAAAAACGCTCGCCCGAACAGGGACTTGAACCCTGGACCCTCAGATTAAAAGTCTGATGCTCTACCGACTGAGCTATCCGGGCGCTCTTAGATATTCATCGACAAATAAACAATATAAACCTCAACACTGACTACACAAATGTTTAAAGGTTGTTCTTTATTGTTCATAAATAAATCCTACGTACTAAAAGTAATAAGTATGGCTATTTATTTTATTACACGTGTGCACCAATATTTCGAGTCTAGACGATGGCAAAAGCTAACCAGGAAGTGTGTGAAATGAATTATCTTGCGTTGTTCCTTCACGTGCCAAAAGCTAACAGCAAAGCTAACAACAAAGCTAACAACAAAGCTAACTAGAATCCAGTGCTGCTCCGGAAACGTTGACTTAAAGTAACATTAGTACATCACTTAGTATTATATTTACGCTCAGATACAATCATCAGATGCAAAACTAACCCGTTAAAGATTTTGATGCACGTATTTCACATTTCTGTGTGATCCACAGACATGCTGCTGGCATGCTATAGGTTGATTACTCGACCTTCAGTTTTCTTACGTTTTAGTTACGCTGTTAGCTCAAACACAAGCCATTACTGTTCAAAGAGGGACACGCGCCCATCCAAGGTAAATGGAGAAGTAGCACGATAATGCCGTGCTAAATCTCTCCTAACAATGGTATGCTTCTGTAGGTACCCCAAGTGCCAACATGGGAGCCAGTTCTGGAAGACCAGTTGCCACCAGTAATATTTATAAGGAAACTTCAACGTTTGTCCTGTTTTTGTATTATTGTATAAAAGTTTGCAATTTACTTTACAGCCTTCTTCAGTCCCACTTGATCTTGTGGACAAGCTGGAGAGATTGGCCTTAGTGGATTTCAGAACGAAACAGGGACTGTCCCGTTTGGAGAAAGCCATTCGATTTGCTGACCAGCTTCATGTAGTGGACACTTCAGGAGTTGAACCAATGGACTCTGTATTAGAAGACAGGTGTGTCCAATCATTTGTGTCTGAAGTGACTGTAATCATCATTTTTAAAACGAAAACGAGTGAATATTGAAATAAACTTTCCAGGGCGTTATATTTGAGGAGTGATGTGGTGACAGAGGGTAACTGTGCTGAAAAACTCCTTGAACTCTCCAAAATAACTGTAGAGGAATATTTTGTTGCACCTCCAGGTTAGTTCCAAGAGTTAGTTATCAATCAGAATGCAGAATGTATTGCGTAGTGAGCTGATGAGATGACGTGATCAATCGTGTTTCTTTTTTTCTTTAAGGAAACATTCCTTTGCCAAAAAGAGAAGAGAGGACCACCATGCTTAAAGACTCTGAATGCTGAATGTTTCTCTTGCTGTTCATATTAATCTCTCAATACTAGATGTGAATAAAGCTGTACATGATTTAAATGTATATAGCTTCAGTTTTTGCTTACTCCACATCTACATACAATTGTAAACAAAACACAAATAACAATCACTTCTGAAGATCAGAAACTGAAACCTATGCTGTACCTCAGAGGGAAAACGAAAGCTAGAGTGGGTGTGTTCAAACAGCTGAGCTGTGTATAAAAACACTGAGGACTCTGCATATCCAAGAGACAGCCGCAGAAGAGCATCTGTTCAACACTAGAAGCATCAAACAAGGTAAGTTATAATGGCATTTTGTGTTACATGTATTTATTGAGGTAAATTGGTAAAGAAACATTTAATTTTAGAGCCGCTCTGATGGATATCACAATCAAAATGCTGAATGGACCAAGTGTATCTCTGACTGTGAACCCAGGGGACACTGTGGCCTCTCTGAAGTGCCTCATTCACGGATGCCTGAAAGTGGCCCCAAATTGCCAGAAGCTCTCTATTCAAAATGGGCAGATGAAAATCCTCTCTGACAACTCCAAGCCACTGAGTTACTATGGGTTGGTGTCTGGCTCCGAGATTTTTCTTCTGGTGGTTGAATCAACAATCATCCAGGTGTTTCTGAAGAATGAGAAAGGTCAGACCAGTACGTATGACATCAACCCAGACGAGACCGTTTCCAACTTCAAAAGCAAAGTTTACTCACGAGAGAAGGTCCCTGAGGACCAGCAGAGGCTCATCTATGAGGGAAAAGAAATGACCCAGGGCCGTCTGGCAGACTACGGCGTGTCAGCACTCGGAACAATCTACTTGACCCTGCGCCTGCGAGGAGGCTAAGGACACTTCCACTCTGTTATTTTATTTCACCCCTTTTCATAATCAGATTATTTCACATGCTCTTCTTGTTTTTCTTTTATCACTAACATTGTTATTCTCTCCTGTTTAATTTAATAAAATATTATATTCAAGATCTTAATTGTGCAGGCAATTTATTTAAAGTGTTCTTAAGTAGTCATTACATACAGATTAACAAGGCACATTTAACAAAGTGTAAAAACTCTAGCAGTAACTCAAACCTTGATAGAATAAAAAAATGGCAGTCATAATAAATTGTTCTTAAAGGTTCTTAATAAAGTTGTTAATGCAATTGTCTTTTTAAAAATGTAAATAATAAACATAGTATGACTATGAGCGATGCCAGAGTTTCTGTCTTGAAGTTGAATGTCTTCATTTCCTTACTGATGCGAGGTAGGCATACCAAAAGAAGGCGATGACGTTTGCAAACAGAACTCTGAACTGAAAACAAAACATAGATCAGCTGTTATCTGAAAATGCAACTCACCACGATCCAGGTAATATATGAGTCACCTGCACTGGTACAAAGTTGACGTTGACAAATTGGAAGGGAGTCCAAACTTTCCAGTTCATTTTCAAAGCTGTCCAGTAACTACTTTTCATTTTTTTTTCAAAATCAGTCCAGCCTTTAGCCTAGAATATAATAATCCCACAATCATAGAAAGTGGTTAGTGCTGTAACAACTAGAAAACAATTTGTTTTGGAATTGTAGAATCTCTTGTATTATTGCTACCAACATGTTTATCCACAACAAAGCAATACAAATATAATAATATATATCTATATACAACAACATATATATACACACTAAAATCTATACAATCATTAGATGCAACTGTTCATAGTTTCATAGCTTATATTAAATACTCATTACCTCCAGGACAGTCATGACAAAGTAGAAGAGGAGGAGGAAGCCCGGTGCAAAGAACAGTCTATCTAGGAGCAGCCGCTTGACAAGGCAGTAAGGGTCTGTGGGGGGCATCCAGACCTCCATCAGATGGTAAAAGTAATGGCTCAGAGGTCCAGTGAAGAGCAGCCTGGAGACAAGTAATAAGGATGAAAAGGGTTTTCTGGATCTTTTCTCCTTGTATCGTTGAGGGATTTCTTCAGTCCCCTTCTTTTCCCTCATCAGAACAAAACATGGACAAATACTCAATAAGGATGTCACAAAATTACAGCTTAGTGTAACAATTATTGTGAGAAAGTGTTAAGATTGACTGCCAATTTCATACCTGTAATACTAATTTAATTTTGGCAAGGCAAAACATTATTCTGAATAATACAGAGAAATATAGTTAAGTATTTAGAGAACTCCATGTATTAGGATACCTTACAAAACACAGTATTTAGCATTCTGCAATTAATACCTCTTGATGCTCTTCTCACCTCTGTTCACGCTCGGGGACGTCTACAGTGCCCTGTGTAGGGCTGCACATCACAATATATCCAAACTTGATAGGTGCAATAATTGTACTGTACTGTAAAAGTACTGTATGTGTTTATTCATGAACTTTGCCCACCGACTGCACTGCCATTCCAACACATGGCAGTGCAATCCATCTATTTATTTGGGGAAGGAAAATATCACAATACAAACCGAATATTACACTTTGTTCCAAAAGGTTTCAAGGGAATAAATAGTCGGAATGTTCTATTACCAATACTGGTAAAGGCAAAAAAAACCTGATGCCTTCTTTCAGGTATCAGTATCAGCAAAATTATCTAGTCACTTGAATATGTATTTTAAAGTAATTTGAAGTGTGATACTTAATCTCTAAATTAGTTAGATATGTTTAACTAAAATGCTTTATCATTCTGGTATTGGCACCAAGTATCAGATTGGAACTACGTTAATAAAAAAACAGAATAAAATCTTCTTTAAGGTTAAAATAAAGTCACTAAGGTTCATTGGAGTATGTGTGGCTCTCACCCAAAGATGGCATATCGACCTGCCCCAACACTGTCAATCTCTGTAGCTGCTGCTCCATGTCGGGCTTTTTTTCTTGCCTCCAAAACTTGAGATAAAATATTTCCCAACGCTGACAGGATACCACTGAAAACAAAGCCATTAAACAAATTCAAGAATATATTGAAGTATGTATAAATGGTAAACAATAAGGGGAGGGATCAGAGGCAGCTTCTGATTGGGCACAGACTGAACAGGAGATCATGTCACTCAAGTGAACAGCGTTGTTCAGCTAAAAACGTTACTTTATTAACAATTCAACAATTTAAGAGTCTCAACTATATACTAAATAAAAGCTAGTGTGCACATTTTTGTTTAAATAAAGTTCATGCTTGCAGAGTCTGGGTAAAAGTAGAATGTTGTGAATCACGTCAGACTAACATGTCTTATTTGGAAACACGTCTTTTTCAAACTTGTAAGAAAGAGCCCTGTGAATCTATTTGACGTCACTTTTCCGTCTGAAAAAGCTGATCTGAAGATGTGACAATGGCCCAAAAATGCATGTAAAAATAAATTACAGAACTGTTTTAAGTTGTTTGATGTTTATTAGTTTCAATTGTTTTTTTTTTTTTGTGGTTTGAAAGTTAGGTACTCCAGCTACCTTTAGGGTGATGAATAAACTTAAACGAAAGCGACATTGCCTACCTCGTTACAGATTTAGTGAGTATTGGGTAATTCTTGAGAAGTAAGAGGTATTGTTGAAGGAGGCTGAAATTAACAGAGGCATCCCGCACTGGCACACTTTGGACTGGCATTGCGGACCAGCGGCTGATATTCTGTGCAAAGCCAACACTAAATCGACTTTATAATCGATCCATGACCCAAACTCATGGATGTATTTGACAGGGGTGGTGTGAACCTCTTCCTGTTTGCACTGTAAGCCACGCCCACAATCAGCCCACTCTTAAAAAGACACGCTCACGTTTTAAGTTTGTTTTGACTTTAGTAATGGTAATCATGCATTACTTTATGGTGCGGGATTCACAAAAGCAAGAGTAGTTTCAGTCGTTTTATGAAAGTACAAAAAAAGGGAACTTATGCATTTATTTCTGTGGATGAAAAATGAAATGCACAGACACTAAGTGAAATAGATAAAAACTTTAATGATACAAACATAAACATATTTACAAAAATGAACAGTTAATAAAAGGTACTTTGTTATTCAAGCCGTTAATGGATGAACTGTGTGAACAAGCTTATATGGTTTTTTTAAATCCAGGTTTCAGCTATTCTTCAAGCTTATATAGGGTGTTTGCCAGTAGTTTATCGAGCTAACTATCGAGCCACTATCGATTAAAGTGCCTTCCAGTCAATTGGTGACTTCTCCGATTCAACCAACAACTCGTTGGCTTTTGAAAAATGTTTGCAGCCAAAAAAACCACGGTGTGCTGACAAAGGGGAAGGATGTACAGCCTTGAGGACATGGTGCCGTTTCTACATAAAAAACAAATAAAATAATTAACATTTGACAACCACCATTATTCGGATATGCTTCACCTACTCGGTCAATGGCGGCACCCTTTTTCTGCGCATATGATCCCCACAACATGAAGATGACGCCGTTCAGACTTTTGTTGATGTTCTGAACCACTGCGTCTGTGAAGGTCTCCCAGCCCTTGTCTTTGTGAGAGTTGGCCTGGTGTTCTCGGACTGTCAACACAGCATTGAGCAACAGCACTCCTGTTTACACGGAAAAACAAGGTTCATACAAACAACAATAAAAATATAATAATAATAAGGGAAGCGCCTATACAATACTGGCATCAGATGTCAAAGCAAAGATTGGAACATTTTTGTCAGATATTTATTTTACTTGTTGAATAACACTATCGGACATAATTTGTGATTTGTGGGGACATTCAGTCCCTTCATAGTAAATTTCAGCAGATATTGAAGTATATTATATTCAAAAGAGGTGAAATGACATGCCAATTAAAAAATTGCAGCAAAAATAGATGCAGCTACAAGTCGGTTCACCTCTTTTCAATGTTATATGGCCTAATCCTTGAAGAGCACTACAATATATTTTTTTAGAACATAATTGGATGGATTGGATTGGTGCATCCCTTGTGATAGAGAGAAACTACCTTGTCTGGCCCATCCAGTTAGATCCCCATGTCCGGGGTGTGTAAAACCTTCAATGTCAGATGTCAATTCTTTGTAGATATTCTCCAAACTGGAATTTAAAATTGTGTTTATTGTGGCACGCAGAATGGAATGTGATAATAGAAGAAAGCAGATTAAAATTATTCTATAAACCTTGGAGGTGGCCGCACTGGCCTCTGCACACTAAAGCACAATCCATGAGCCTGGTTTGGTCCATGATATGGGTCTTGTCCAAGAATCACCACTTTGACCTGGAATAATTGCACACAAATACGTCTATTACTACCAAAAGTTCAAAGCCCTGTGTCCCATTCCCAGCAAATGTATAAAAAAAAAAAAACTGATCAAAGACTCTGAGAGTAAAGTCTGTATCCACCTACAGTCTGTGTAGTCCATCTCTATTATTTAAATGTTACATTGCAGACAGTATAGCTCCAAATAATAAAATACAATGGCTACTTTTTAATTTTGTGTAATTCAGAAATTAAAAATGTCTGTTTTGTTACTGTCAAAACAGACATTTGAAAATATGTCAAAAGATGAGTGATGTGTTCATACTTTATATATATAAAAGAAAAAGTACGTTACATCTTGAATATTGCACATTTCTGTCCACGTGAACACCTCTTCTTGCGGTGGGTAAATGGTGTGACGTTTCCTCTCCTCCGACACAAATGCCATCAGCTGCAACAAGAGCAAAACTGCACACACTGTGGTGACACCATTGTGGACAAGGATCAACTCACGCTTCTGAAGTAAGGCTTCCCAAACTCTGCTGACAAACTGTTTTTCCAACTCTCTCCAAAACCAGAAGGTGTGAGGCCGGAAGACAGCTTCTCCAGTGCGGCTTTCTTATTCCGAGCGATCCTGGCCATCTGCACCGGGGAAAGGGCAGTACCAGGCGCGGTAGATCCATGGGTTGTAGGGGCTGGTGCCGTTTCTGGCTCCACTGACGCAATTTTTCTCTTCTTTGGCATTATTTCAGTGTAACGAGTAGAGGAAAGGGTACGTGAGAGAGGCAAATGTGAATACAGCCTGCGTACGTAACAAAACATGTCCTTATTAAGAAGTTCGCAACACTGATCAAAACACTGCCGCCCGCGAATGCAGCACATACAACACGCGAGAGCCAATTAATGTGAAATTAATCTGTCATATTAAAAACAAATGTTAATCACTCAGCAATGGATCTACTATATAAACTGCTTCATGTTTGTTTACCAATCATGTGTATTAACTGTGAAACCTACTGCTTCTTTAGCGTCATCCTCCCCCGCTGTTTCATTCAGGTCTTTAGAAGTTCTTTTCTTGGACACGGGTGAGAAAAAGGAGTTAATGGTTTTCTGTCCAATCATTTTCTCAAAAGCACAAAATGTAAACAGAAACGAAGTGAACGGATTTCAGAACCAGGCCGGACGATTTCGCGCCAAAGACATACCGGAAACGGGAGTATGTTAATGAGCTGAAGTGCGTTCATGGGCAGTTCTTCATCCACAATCTCTTCTATTATTTAGTACTAATGTACAAATAATAATACAATAAAATAATTTGTATTTGTATTAGTTTTACGATTAAGAGAATAATCTTAGGCGGTAAAAAGTAATTCCAACATGAAAAATATTCTTCATACTTAAATCTGCAAACCCCCTTGGCAACACCCTTTATTTCAGTAATCCCAGGTTTACTGCAAACAGTCACTTAATAATTCATATAATGCAATATGTATCACATCTAAGGGAAAAATGTTTTGTTTAATCTAGACTAATATGAAGAAAAGAATAACTTCTATCAATATTAATAAAACTAAGAAGCCCAAGGTCGAAAAGGATGTGGAAGAGTTCACTGCTGGAGATGACTGTGATGAAGAAACCGCATTAGCAGAATTTGCAAATCCTGTTCCATGGCAGAAAATAGAGGCAGAAGGATTTGACTGCGATTATGCACTGTTATTCCCCAAAGAAGAGGCTGATATCCTTTTCAGAAAACTGGAGGAGGAAGTAGAGTATGCAACAGGTAAATTATTAATAATGGTGTCACAATAACTGTTTGATCAAATAAATCCCAATTTATTTTACTATATGTTACGTTTATGTTAGGAAAAGAAGCACAAGTTCAAGTATTTGGAAAAGTTTATAACATTCCAAGAAAGCAGGCGACATATGGCGATGCTGGCCTTGCCTACACTTACTCTGGAGTTAAACGTTTCGCCTGCCCCTGGACCCCAACTTTGGAACACATCAGGGAAGCGACCACTAAAAGCACAGGACAGACTTTCAACTTTGTCTTAGTAAACAGGTGAGATCAACAGCATTCCTTGATTTACCTAAATTTGAGTTGATGTTTTTGTTCATGCAGGTATAAAGATGGTTTGGACCACATGGGTGAGCACAGGGATGATGAGAAAGAGCTGGATCCACTATGTCCAATAGCCTCTCTATCTTTTGGAGCGGTGCGGGACTTTATTTTCAGGCACAAAGACTCCAGAGGGAAAAACAGCCAACAATACATCGAACCAGTGAAGTTGGAGCTTGCTCACGGCAGCCTCCTCCTCATGAACCCACCCACTAACACGTATTGGTACCACAGTTTACCCATTCGCAAGAAGGTGACTACCCCACGCATTAATCTGACATTTAGGCGGATTGTCATGAGAGGTAAAAAGTGTATTACTTAATTTAATAAAAAATTGAGACAGTAGTGACAAATTATAGCTTGTTATTGGAGGTGGGAAATTGGAGCGAGGAACTGAGTTAATCAAATAAACATTTAGTATCTGAAAAGTCTTTGTCCTTAATGATACAGCAAACATCCACCTAATCATAGAATCATTGTTTATTTTAAACATTCAAAACGTATAAAAATACATAATTATGCAAGATTTTGTAGGTTTTACCAGTAACATTTACTTTGAACATTAGTCTTTACATTTTTAGTGTGTTTAAATTGGGTTCAGAAATAAATGCTGTATTACAAAGAGTAATTTAACATAATTGCAAAAAAATAAAATAAAAAAATCAACCCATTTTATCCAATTGACTAAATTGAGACAAATGGAATAAGGGTATTAGAAAAGATTTTGTAAAACATCAGGATTGAAATGTTTAGAAAAAGTAAATAAGATCAAAAAGTTCTACTTGACCAACACGAATATTTTCACCCATGAGACACAAATTAAATTCTGCTAATGCATTGTACATAATCTTTGGAACATTTGCCCATTCGTGAACAGTGTTCATAAGGTGCAATAACTGGCCGTGTAACTAGTTTTACATCACAATTCAAATATTAAAAATGGTAATGCGCTAAAACGGAAAAGGCAAAAAGGGTTTAACTATTAATTTCCTAATCATCCGAATGCAATCCCAGGTTTATTCTTCGTACTCTTTCATAGAAGAGCATGTACGCATTTGAAGACAGAACCTCTTGTAGACTTGCTTTGCGCACAGAGTCATCAGAGACCCAGAGCCACTGAGAGCTGAAGGGCAAGGAAGTGCGGCCTGAAGGGCTGCGGCGATATGTGATGAAATGACCCGAATGCATGTCTCCATGGTGAACCAATACCGCTGTGAGTTGGAATAAATACTCTGCAGACCTGTGAAAAGAGATCAAATAAATTATTGTTTTTGCAGTTTTTTTATTTTTTTTTTTTTAAACAAACAACATGCACACAATCTCTTACCCCAATTCACACGTAAGATTGAGCTGGGGTCTCATGCTTGCAGAATAGTGAAGTACCGATGAACAGTTCTTGGGTTTGTTGTTGTTATGATGCTGCTTTTCTACAAAATCCAAACAGTTTTTTATTATAAGCAACTAACATGTTGAAATCTTGAGTGGTTGGCATAGCAACATACCTGTGCCATTGGCAGTGGGGTTAACGATGCATTCCTCTTCTAAACTAATAATTTTCAATGGTTTAGGGGGGCATTTGATAGCCAGAGGTTTCAGTGTTGAAGTACTGTGTTTGTAGCGGTCCATTGATAAGAACTCAGAAAACTGGACATGTTCCTGTCTCTTGATAGGACTGCCTTCACTTGACCATGTGAGTCTTTGTAAATGAATACAGAGGCATTGGGGCAACTGGAGAAAATGGAGAAATAGATAAAGCATCCAGGCAGCCATACAGGCATGTTTTAATACTACTCACCTTTCCTAGTTTCAGCTGTTTGAAAAAAGTGGTTTTTTGATTATCTAAAACCTCTGTTACTTGTTGAAGCTGTAAAAACAAAAGATTAATAACACTTTTTTAGCTTTAACTAACAAGAACTAACATTACAGGGTGTCACCTTTGTGCAGTTTTCACATTCCACCTCTTTAATAGTTTCTGACGATATAAAATGTTGTAGACACTGGTCAAGAGAAACTGGACGGCCCTAATGATAACAAACACTCAATTGTTCACATTGCTTGCCTCAAATTCATATATACGGTGTTAAGCAAAAGTACTTATTACACACAAGCTTTTCCACATTGACCACAAACAAAACAATTTTTTATGTGTGAAAACCCCTAAATTGACAGACAATTATGAAATGAAACCAAAAAGCTACTTTTGGGCTTTTCTGCAGTAAAATACAAGACAATAATAGAAGAAAAGGTAAGTGCAGAGGAAGAGAAAAGTGAGTGCAGAAGACTTAAGGTCAAAGGTAAACTTCCATCAAGACAAGGGCCCTCATTCATGAAATTTGTGCTGAAAAGGGTGTATATTTTGGGTGTATTTTCCAAATATGTAAGAGCCAACGCAGGATTTATGAACGTGTGAGATCCGCCCAGATCTGAGCGTACACAGCTGCGGCTGTTTAATAAATGCTGCGGTGAAAACTAGCGTATTTATGAAAGTCACTCCTTTAAATATTCAGAAACCGCTCGTTCCAAGCCCCGTTTTTACGACAGGTCAGCATGGAAGTCGGCCAAGAAGACTGTTGGAAGCCTTAAAAAGCCTTTGCCTATGCACTCCTGAGTTTATTCAAGTTTGTTTAAAAATAAATATACACTATAATATATATGCGCATACTCTGTGAGAGAGAAAGATACGTATCACCACATTTGAGCAGTGGGACCTCTCCTGGCACCTGCTGCCCCAGAGCCACTGTCCAAAGAGCCTGTTCCTATACAGATAAGTGCACTGCATCCTATCTCTCCTACATGCAGAGACAGGGCAGTGGCTGACAGTTTTGAGTGAGCAAGACCATCGTTTATGGGCCTTTATGCACAAAACTAAGGAAAAAACACGTTGCTTTACCAGAGGTGAATGAGTCAAAAAAATTGCATAATTACGCAGCGCCTGCCAGAGATAGTGAGTCAAGTATATTTGTATAGCGCCTTTCACAGTCCAGGATCACAAAGCGTTTCACATTTTAAAAAACATAACGATGAAAATATACACTAAAGTCAGATTTGAAAAACGAAGAAACAGAAGAGGGTCCTCAGCATGAACTGTGATGTATTAGAAGTTTCCGTGTTTCCATTAGACAATTTTGCCAGACTGGGAATATGTCTATTGTTGTCCAAATCTGGAATTTCATGCCTGTTTTGGCGTGTTGTGATGAAGGTTGAGATGGGTGTAAAATTTACACTGACTTGGCGTATATTCTAGTTTGTGCGTACCGCACGCCTACGTCCTGATTGATAAATGCCGAAAAGTGTACAATTTTTGCGTACACCTCATTTCGACCCTGATTTGGACTTACGTAAGTTTCCTAAATGACGGCCACTATCCCTAAACATAAATCTAAGACATTTCCATCTGTGATGGAGCTTGTGCTGTTTTGTAATTTTTTGTTCACAATTGTCTGTCACTTAGTTTTAGTCTTTCACATAAAAGTCCAATAATACATCTTTATATTTGTGGTCGTAACAAGAATGGAATTGGAATTTGCAATGAACTGAAGTAAAAAATAAATAAATAACGTACCCACTGAGGTAAAGGTATAGACAGGGAAAGGCTGTCAAACGAGTCATATCGCACAGGGCTCTGCAAAAATATGAATCATTACACAGAGCAGCAAACAAAAATGATTTTCACACAAACTTACTTGATGTTCACATCGCTTGCACAACATGTTGCTTGTTAATCGTCCATGAAAAGGATGCTGAAATTTCCAAGTACTAGGTATCGGATACAATGGAGCTGTAGGAAGAAAATAACTAGCATCAGTATTAGTTGTATTTTAATATTCTAAGTAGTGCTTCACTAGCAATTTACCTTGAATTCTACATGCAATAGTATTTTCTTCTTTTTGTGGTAAAAGCTAAGAAAAAATGAATACAGTAATGTATTGACATTGGCAAAACCTGTAGTCTACACCAAATGGGCCTCAGAGGCCATGGGAGGGTATAAAATACACAAGTCAATCACAACTTTACCCCTCGTTATAAGAGTTGTTAGAAGACTGCGGTCTCAGAAACCTGCAGTTGTATAAGGACTTACATCAAGAGACTGCATATCAAATAAGTGAGTGACTTTGGGTCCACAATCCCGCTCTTCCTCCAGAGATGATGTAAGAACGTGAAAAAGTTCATGGGCATCCTAAAATAGAAAAACAAACAAAGCATTTTTACTATTTCCATATAAAAACACTGCATATAACTGACCTGCTCTTCAAATGAACTGATATGCCAACGATACAATCTAAGAACATCTAGGAGGCACCCAGCATCAAGTACGTCTTCTTCTCCGGGCTCATCATTTGACAGCGCTGAAGTGAATTATCAACATCAGTTACTATAACATTAGACACTATAACATGTTACTATAACATTAGACAAAACAAAACAACAATCAATTACGAAATGTACAGTAACCAACAAAAAACATACAACAAAACAATTAGGAAAAACCGAAACAATTATTTCTCAAAACTAATCACCCAAAACAAAAACAATGCGAAAGTCCTATTTTCAACCATTGACACCATTTTAAACCCTGATTTTAGCATGTCTCGTTTAACCCTCACAGACTCCCTCTGTGAGGATTTTGCAGTCCACTTCATGGGGAAGATAAACACAATCAGATGTAACATTTTATCCAATTGTACTACTGTTTTTAACACATCTGATTGTTTGTCTTCGCCAGAGGAAACACTGGACAGTTTTGTCCTGGTTGATGCTGAGATGCTTGATAAAGTTTTCTCCTCAGTGAGGCCCACCACATGTCTTTTAGATCCAGTCCCCACTCCATTTTTTAAGTCATTTTGTGAATCTTTTAGAGAGGAGCTTTTAAACCTGATGAACTGCTCTCTTCAGACTGGGGTCTTTCCTGCAGCCTTCAAAGCGGCTGTGGTGAGACCCCTTCTGAAGAAGAGCAATTTAGATTTTAATGATCTTAACAACTACAGACCGGTGTCCAACTTACCATTTTTAAGCAAAATTTTAGAAAAACTTGTTTTTACCCAGCTCAATGCCTTTTTAGATCAACAGCAAATTTTAGAGACATTTCAATCAGGTTTTAGGGTGAACCACAGCACAGAGACGGCTCTTTTAAAGATTTTAAATGATTTTAGATTAAATTATGATTCTAAAAAGGTGACTGTGTTGGTTCTACTGGATCTTAGCGCTGCCTTCGACACAGTAGACCACACCATTCTTTTATCCCGCCTGAAACACCTCGGCCTCTCTGGTGCTGTCCACAAATGGTTCACTTCTTATTTGACAGACCGATCCTTCATGGTAAGTTTGGATACCTGCTCCTCTCAGGTCCATAAAATCACATGTGGTGTGCCCCAGGGTTCCATTTTAGGTCCAGTCCTTTTTAACCTGTACATGCTCCCTCTTGGCGGTGTCATCAGGAGGCATGGAATTAACTTCCACAGTTATGCAGATGATACACAGCTGTACATCTCCATGTCTCCTGACGACACCAGGCCAATGGATGCTCTTTTTAACTGCATTTTAGACCTGAAATCCTGGATGGCAGAAAACTTTCTCCAGCTCAACCAGGACAAAACTGAGGTTTTAGTCATCGGTCCTGAGGCCCAGAGAGAGAAACTTTTACCAAAACTCCAATCACACTCTTTTAATCCATCATCACAAGTGAAAAACCTGGGCGTAATCTTTGACTCTGAGCTGACTTTTATTCCTCACATTAAGAATATAACAAAAATAGGTTTTTATCATTTGAAGAACATCGCCAGAGTCCGCCCCATTCTCTCTCGGGCCAACACGGAGACGCTGATGCATGCTTTTATCACCAGTCGCATTGACTACTGTAATGCCCTGCTCTCTGGTCTTCCCAAAAAGAACATTTCAGGTTTACAATTACTTCAAAACTCGGCCGCACGTGTCCTGACTAAGACCAGGGGGCGGGACCACATTACACCGGTTTTAAAATCGCTGCATTGGCTCCCCGTGTGTTTCAGGATTGATTTTAAGGTTCTTTTAATGGTTTTCAAATGTCTTAATGGTCTTGGGCCTTCTTATCTTTCAGAACTGCTTTTATCCTATGAACCTTCCCGGCCCCTGCGCTCCTCCGGCAGCAGACTCCTAACCATCCCCAAAGTCAGGACACACACTCACGGCGAGGCATCTTTCCAGCACTACGGCCCCCGTCTCTGGAACAGTCTGCCGGAGGAGCTCAGGGTCGCAGAGAACATTCATATTTTTAAAGCCAGGCTCAAGACACACCTTTTTAGATTAGCTTTTGATTAGTATTTATTAGTCCATTTTTTTTATATTCTATTTATCCTTTATTATTTATTATATTGCTATTGCTTTTATTCATGTTTTGTGTGATAGTTCCTCTCAGGCTCACATTTTAGTGTTTTACTTATTGTATTGTTTTTAAGTATCCCCAGTGTTTCCTCTGGAGGAGCCTTCTGCGCTGGGAGCGGTGGTTGGCTGTGGCTGTGGGGGTCGGACTCTTGGACCTGGTGGGGGCCCGGGGCCTCGGTTTTGGGTCTCCTCTGGGTCCTGTGTCGTCCCCTTTGGCTATGGGCGGCTCTCTGCTCCTGGCGCTGACGGCTCCTTGGATGGCGTTTCTTCAGCCGGTTGCATCTGAACCCTGCCAAGTCTCTTATCGTCGTTTTATTGTTTTATCGGTGCGTGTGTGTGTGCGCGTGTGTGTGTGGGGGGGGGGTGTTTGCTTGTGGTCTGGGGAGGGTCTGTTGGGCGGTCGGGGGGAGGGCATGGGCAGGATTGTTTTTTAGCCAAACTGTAAAGCACTTTGTGTTGCATCTGTTGTATGAAAAAGCGCTTTATAAATAAACTTTGATTGATTGATTGATTGATAGACAAATATTACACATAAGGTGAAAAATATATCTTCTCTGGTCAAAACTATATATGCAAGCCTTTACTTTGCATGACCACAAATTGCTCATGATCCAGAAGAGACATGTTCCTGGGTATGTTGCACTGGAGCAGCCCATTACTTCTAACAATCCGGGTAAAATGATACCTCTATGGAGACAACCCCCTCCCAACCATAATAAGAAAGATAACAGTGCACATTTAAAATGCTTAGATACCTTTAAGAAGTTTTAGAAGAGTTTTTGATAGCTGGGTTTCTCTGGATGGCAGAGTTGATTGCAAAAACCTCTCAAGCCAAATGACAAAAGAGGGGCATGCTGCTAACCCTTGAAGCAAAGAATTCAAAAAGCATGTGTTTCCTATGTTTAGGAGACCTGGAACCATTCCTAAAATAAAACACAGTTGACAAATGATTGACAAGTGTCAAATCCAACAGATGCTTGTATAGTGGATAAGTGTGTGTCAGCTTACCTCTCTTCCGTTTTTTTTTCTCGGTTATCGGACCCCACAGCACATAAACACCAGCTGCAATTGCTGCAGCTATTCCTCCAATAAACCCCCAATGTTTGATCATCTTGTTCCTGGAACAACAAGTGTTTTCTTAAATAATATGCCTTTAAGTGAAGGTTTGCATGTGATTATACATTATTGTGTTTATTTCAAATACAGCAAGTTATATTTCTATTTCAGTGTCATGTTGCGCAGTCTCATTTATCAAATTCTGGAAGACCAAAAAACAATTGTTATTCGTTATAGTTTCATTTCTAATGGCTAGTTAACTGACATTATCCACAGAGCAAGGAATATTGTTAACACAAACATGTTAGCACAAGCCATTGTTACAGTTACCATTAATTTGTCAAACTTACCCAAACCATTGACCATTCTTTTAAATATGGTTAAAGTCCTTATCAATTGTGTTCACTACTTATTATCACTGCTCGACATGAATCGTGAAGAAGAATAAAGGGTTTAAAGTTTACCACTGCGCGAGCGAACAGACTGTGACCTTTTAACCCACTAACACCTCAAATCTGCTTTTCATTGTGTCTGCCAAGGACAGTATTTACCTGACCACGTATCCAGAGCCAAGAAACTGCCCAATGAGCTTATCCGAGCTTCTGGGTCGACACCACGACATGCTATTTTCACAGCGGAACTCTTTACAGCAACATATGTTTCAGGACGGAACTGTCAGAGACGGACCACAAAACGTCATTTGCGCTTGTGCGCAAGTTGCATGGATCTATTATAATAACACGTAAGACGTCAACTTGTGATTCTGGTCAAAACAAAAAACAAAAACAATGTAGGGTTTGCAAGTGATGACAATTATAGATTAGTCGAAAAAACATATTTTTATTTCAAGTCATAAATATTTCTAATTCAGTGGTATGTTGCACCGTTTTATAAACCTGGTTTAATCTGTTATAAATTAAATTGTAATCTATGTCTGATAATGTATGGTAATGTATCCATCTACTTTTATTTTACTATTTTACAACAACCTGTTTAGGGACAACAGGTGTAAATGAGCATTGCTGCTGCAACCTGGTACAATGCATCTCTCCTTTTGGCTAAAGTTTATTGTAGACTGTCCTTGTAAAAACAAAAACAAAACATACCATACTATACCACCATATATATATATATATATATATATATTTATATATATATATATATATATATATATATATATATATATATATATATATATATACACAAAAAAAAATACGATTTTTTATATTTAAAAAAATAAGATAAGTGATGTGTTCTGTGTACCCTCTTGAATATGTCGTGTTACTGCACAGCCACACGGTGTCATAATGATGTGGAGAAAGATTCGCCGTCTCTCGATGGTGATTAGCTGTGCCCACGCACACGGAGCTCTCCTCGGTGCTGATCGGAAGCTCAACAAAATCTCTTCACATAACAAAACAACGATGCTGCCCAGTTTATCTATCAACAAACAGTAAAATGGATGAAGACCTTTTCCAACTTCGTCAACTACCGTAAGCAAATTTGAGCGTTTATATTAATGTATTTTTTTTATCGAAACGAAGCCCATCGGCTACTTAGCAGCGCATGCTTGATTAGCTTGCACAATACGGTATCATAATATTTACACCCAAACAATCATGTGAATCCTTGTATGAGTGCATCCGGTTGTGAAAAGATTGTCTGAATGAAGTGGTACAACCGAATGGCACATAACCTAGATCGTACAAGGTCAGTTCTGTTTAAAATTTTCTCGCCTGTAACCATTTGGTCCTAATTAAAAGCTTAAGAATATGAAAATATTGCACAAATGTAGTGTTTGCGTGAAGCTATATTCCTGCTTATTCTTTGATAGGAAACAAGACATTGAAAGTCAACTTAATTATAGTAATTAACTGAATGATACCAAGACTGCCTACACTAAGCCCATGCAGGAAATTATAGGTTTCGCAAAAATAGCCTCTGCAATTCACACTCATTCAGAAATTTAAAAAAAGAGCTGTATCCGGGATTTTACCTGTCATAGAATACAGATTACAGTTGGGAGGCTAGAGACTCTTGTCTCTGCCCTCTTGGGCCAAAAAAGTATTCAGCTAGCCAACATTTGGGATGTTATTATTGGGATGGACTTTTGTTATTGATGTAATACTTAACACCATCATCAATTGCAAATAAAGTCTTAAAAATAAGACACTGGGATTTTTTTTTTCTCATTTTTTATCTCATAGTTGGAGTTTTACCTATGACGACAATAACAGGCATCTCTTATCTTTTTGCACAATTGGGGGCTGATTAAACACTTTTCATCCCACTGTATGCAAACTCATGTGCCATGTTACATATGGATGTAAAGGTACATCGGGGAAAATTGGAAAAAGTGGAAGGGCTAAAAACAAAGCTTGACCACCATTGTGTAATAATCTATATACATTATATTTTTCTTTTTAGGGTTATTCGTTTTCGTCATACTGGGGAAAGTATACGCTCTGAGGATGAAGCTGAGAAGCAGGAACAAGTCATCCAGAATGCTGTACGACCCACAGAGTTGGTGGCACGTGCAGATGGACCACCGGTTCCACAGGAGTTTGCAAACCCAACTGATGGTACTATAATAACATATAGTACTCCATATTTGAGGGGTATAAAATATGTATGTATGTATTTTAACAGATACATTCATGGTGGAAGATGCAGTAGAGGCGATTGGATTTGGGACGTTTCAATGGAAACTTTCAATTTTGACAGGCCTCTCTTGGGTATGGCACATGTCATAGATTATGTACCAAGGTGACTCTAATAAACTTTCCTTTTCTGTCAGATGGCTGATGCTATGGAGATGATGATTCTTAGTATCTTGGCCCCACAACTTCACTGTGAGTGGAGACTTCCAAGTCTTGAAGTGGCATTGCTCACATCGGTAATGCCTAAGTGTTAATTTGATAACCTTATATTCTCTATATTACACATAATGTATTTTCCCTGTTAAAACCAGGCCGTCTTTATCGGAATGATGTTAAGTTCTTCACTTTGGGGAAATATATCTGACAAATATGGCAGAAAGACAGTAAGTGTCGATTAGTGTACTGTTTTGTTCTGTATACTTTATGTTAATTATGCTTACTTTACACAGGGTCTGACAATGAGTGTGTTGTGGACTTTGTTTTTTGGTCTGATGAGTGCATTTGCACCAGTTTATGCCTGGATTTTATTCCTTCGGGCCTTAGTGGGTTTTGGCATTGGAGGTGCCCCACAGTCGTGAGTAGCTTTCTTTGTGATTCTCAAAAGGTTAATTTGATTGACTTTAATGTTGCTTCTTCACTTTTTAATAGAGTGACTCTCTATTCTGAATTTCTGCCAATGAAATCACGAGCCACCTGCATCCTGTTAATTGAGGTACCAAAATGTTCCACTGCTTTGTGGCCCATATGACAGTGTTTTTTCATGACATGCAGCATATATCTATTACAGATATTTTGGGCTTTAGGAACAGTATTTGAAGTTCTATTAGCAATTTTAGTAATGCCCTCTCTGGGTTGGCGCTGGCTCCTTGGATTTTCTACTATTCCTCTCTTCATTTTTACCTTTCTTTGTTTCGTAAGTATGGAAAATATTTGGTGTAATTTGGTTTCTAGAAGCAGCTTATAGTATAACTAAATGTTCCTTCTTCTCTTGGATCAACAGTGGTTACCGGAGAGTGCTCGATATGATGTCCTAACTGGGAATCAAGAAAAGGCCCTGGCCACACTTAAACGCATCGCCACTGAGAATGGAGTACCAATGCCTCTGGGGAAGCTGATAGCTGCCAGACAGGTATAGCTAAGTCATAATTTCAGTTGTTGAGTGGTGTCAATGCAATGTTAAATATTATATTTTTCTTCAAATAGGAGCATCGTGGGAAATTTATTGATCTATTTTCAACACACTTTCGGTGGACCACAATATTGCTGTGGTTCATTTGGTATACAAAGCATACTTGGATTTTATTATTAAGACAATATATTTGATGTATCCAATATTCTTTGTGCTTCAAATCTTTAAGGTTTGCCAATGCCTTCTCCTACTATGGACTGGTTCTGCTCACCACAGAGCTGTTTCAGGAGGGTGGCGTATGTGGGGGTAAATGTCCACTTTTTATTGTAGTTATTTTGGGAGTAGAACCTGTAAATTGTTTATTGTTGTGATGTGTCTCCTTCTAGTATCAAAAGGTAATAAAATGGAGCTAAGGTGCAATCTGGAGTGCAAATATCTCAATTCAGATGACTACAAAGACCTTTTGTGGACAACACTGTCAGAATTTCCAGGTAAATGTCTATGTGTGTTAAGTGATTATGTTACAGTTTCCTACATATATGGTTATATAAACACATACTTACTTTTGGACAGGGCTACTGGTCACACTGTGGGCTATAGACCGACTGGGAAGAAGAAGAACTATGGCACTTTGCTTTTTTATATTCATTCTTTGTATTATTCCTCTTTATGGGTGTGTTGGCAGGTAAAGGCAAACATGATTCATAAATCATAAAGAGGTGGGGAGACTGGTTTGCCATCTTTTCTTTCTAGGACCCCCATGACTGTCTTGATCTTCATTGCCAGGGCATTTATATCTGGGGGCTTCCAGGCAGCTTATGTGTATACTCCAGAGGTTGATTATCTATTTGTGTGCATTGTTAATCATTCATCTTAACACCAAAAATAATAATATTTACTCTGCAGGTGTATCCCACAGCAACCAGAGCCTTGGGACTAGGAGCAAGTAGTGGAATGGCCAGGGTTGGCGCTCTCATTACCCCCTTTGTTGCCCAGGTAACAGCTGCACCATCACATTAGTAGTAGAGTTTTTTGTAGTGGAACACACTTTATAGACATATTATATTATCGACATAAGAAAGTGTCTTGTTATTGTTGTGAAGGAATCAGAGTCCCATCACATCATTCCTTCTTCGTCTTATAATAAAACATTATCTTTTGCTTGTAATTAAGATAAGATAAGATAAGATAAGAATTCCTTTATTCGTCCCACAGTGGGGAAATTTCGATGTTGCATCGCACATATAGGACAGTAGTAAGAGCACACAGGGAGCACACAGGGAGCACACACAATATATACAAATAAGTAGTAGCTATGTTTCTTAACTAACATAACTAGCTGTTATATAAAGCCCTGTGAGTCACTATTTGCTATTTTGGGCTGAGAGCTGATTGGTTTAGTGAGTGTAGTCTTCAGCTTTTTTCAGACAGAAAAGTGAAAAAGAGATCTTAAAATGTGACAGAGGGAAAAAAAATACAGTACATGCATGTGGTATGGGCAGTGACAGGACTAAACTGTTTTGAGAGGTTTGAGGTTTGAAAGTTTGGTACCCCAGCCTTAAATAGTACACACCTTTTCACTGAATCGGGCACTTGTTTTCCCAAGCATACTGGTTGAAAATGAACGATGTATGTATCAATCGATAGCGTTTAAGTTGTTGGATTCTATATCCATTGGAGGGCATTATTTTTAAGAGAAAAAAAAAATATATATATCTACAAATATTTTCAAAGGTCATTTTTTGATAGTGATTAGATTCACATAAAATTGCAATAATAGCACAAATAATAATATGGTGAATATTGTCACCACTTTATTGACTCCATGATTATGAGAAAAATAATTAGAACGTTGTGATCTCACATGAACACAACCTATTTAGAAACAGTATGTCAGGCCAGAATTTTCACACCTGTTAATCCAATCATATCTAATAAAACACTTCTCTCTTCCAGGTAATGTTAGAGTCCTCGGTGTATCTAGCATTATCTGTATACTGCTGCTGCTGCCTTTTTGCTGCAATAGCTTGCTGCGCTTTGCCAATCGAGACGACTGGCAAGGGTCTTCAAGAGTCCAGCCAGCATGAGTGGGGTCAGGAGATGACAGGCTGTGCCACCCAAGGCCCAGGAGCAGTGCCTCGTCCTAGCTCAGACTGCCAAGAATAAAGCTCCATCTTTCCCATATACTATGTGTTCAGTGGATTAAGAGAGCAGTAAAGGAAATATAACCAGTGAGAAAAGAGGTCTCTCTCCTTGCTGTCTTGCACTAGTGACTTTCATAACCTGTTTGCACATTGGGTGAACAGAGGTGTTGGCTGTAACCCTGAGCACTTTTATATCTGTTGAAGTAAGTACTACTTGAAGTATTTTTGCTTTTACTCTGAGGTAGAAAAAGAGATTCCGGCTGTCTATCTTGAATGAGCCTTAACAGACACAGTACAGTTTTCTTATTTTAAACCTATGATAATGTGTTGTAATGGCAGGCGGATGGGTGAGAAGGACAATTGCCTATTAAATGTTAAAGCACATTTAATTTAGAATTTTGTATCGTTATTTACTGATATAATAATGTTGTAATATTGGAGTTCAGTAACTACTTGAGAAAATCAAGAAATATGTTTGTTTAAAAATATGGATTTAAAATAGAGTTTTATTTTGTGCCAGGAAAGTAAATGTGTTTTCATTACGACTTCAAAATTAGTCAAAGCAAATCTACAAATTTGAAAAAGAGTTCATTCCCTGTCACAACACATGAATTGATAAAAATACATACATTTACAGACACAAATGCAATGTCGACAAAAACAATAATATTCACTTTAATCTAAGTGAACCATGATACAAAGTCAATCATTCAGTGTTTTAAAGTGTTGCGTAAAAGTCTATATGGAGCACACATTTTTGTCAATACTGTTGAAGTACATGTGTACAATGGCACAAAACAATAAATTGCTATTGATACAGTGGTGATTATTTTTCATTATCAACGTAATTTGCAACATCTATGTTTGTGGTCTCATAAGGCAGGGCCATGACCCCGCTGTGGTGGCACCAGGGCGGCAGGGCTGCTTGCCTGAGGGGTCTAGAGGTGTGAATGCGGATTAATGAGTGTGTGTGATCAGGACTTCTTTCTGTTGTCAACCATACACCTTGAAGGAAATGGTTTATAGCTATAGATAGAAATACAGTGTTTGTTAGTTCACAGTTTCACATGGATCAGTTGCACATGCTGCTGTAAAACACACACAGTTAGAGACGAGCTTTCAGGCCCTTTCCTTTTTCTTCAACTATCTGTCCAAACAGCCTGGCAGCCTCCTCAGCACAACCCCGGTGAATGGTCAATCCAAACCCTCCGTGCCCATAGTTGTGTATTACCTACATTAGATTAACCATAAAAAGTCAAGCCTGCTTAAATCTAAAGATATAATATGATATTTTGGATTACCTCAACTTTAGAGAGCCCACACTGGACAGACTCTCTCTCCAGCCTCACTTTGCTGCGGTAGGGTCTAAGGCCAGACCAATCGTCCACAATTTTTGCATGCTGTGAAAAGATGGATTACAATGAATCTCTTAATTGTAACCATGCATTCTTACAGTACTATTATTGTCATACTTTCAAACTAGGTTCAAACTTGCATGCCGCTTCCCAAATATTCTTGTGGTCAATAGAACTGTTATCCTCATTCCAGTTTCCTATTTGAAACACGCCGCCAACAGTAACTAGTCGACTTCTAGAGGGAAAAAAATATAATATTGTATCTTTTATATATCATTACTGTTTATTTCAGATCTTACCCTGGGATTATGTAGGGGGAGTTGTAAACTCCTTCCTTTTTGTTATGGGTTAGAATCCAGTGCTTAAGCCATGGGGCATCTACCTTTAATAAGAAACACATCAACAAGAAAAGTGTATACATATAATTACCATGAAAAAATCAACAACACACACTTTTATAATCTGCCCACGACCTGGTTTAAGTTCAGGGTCTGGCTGGAGTTCACCGGATCTCACTCCAGTGCAATTGATAATGACGTCTGCTCCAGTTTCTGCAAGCTATGATAGGAGCAAAAAGTAATTATTAATAAGATAATACTCAATTTACGATGCATTTTACTACAGTGGACATTTATTTATAAAATGTTATGACCTGAATAACCCGTCAGTAGTTATGTCTTTACTAACATGTTTAGTGAATACACTACTGCTCAACATTTTTAAATGCACTGTGAAACCTTTTATGGGGGGTCACTTCATGCCTGTTGCCATGGATATTTCAATATATTGCTTGGACATTGGACATGCACATTTTCCAGTTAGTGTTTACTGCTCAAACGCTAGGGTCCTCTTTCAAAATTACAAAAATATGAAAGAGAGATTAACACAGTTGTGAGAAACTAGGACTTATTCATTAGAAGCTTAACTCTTTGATGCATGGGTTTTGTGCCGTGATGGCCTTTCAAAGGGTCTCTCCCGCCTGGAGCTGATGTCCAGTTTGTAAACTTCTATGGCCATCCATCTTGATTGGATTTAGATCAGGGGAACACTCAGGGTGGTACAAACGTGTGAGAGTAGTCTAGCAGAAGTCCTTTGTCAGTCAGCCATTGTAAATTGCTTTTTATTTATTGCAATTATTTTTGAACAGAAGAGGGCCTCCATTGTGCCAGTACCATAGAAGCCATCAGGCCATCAGGCTTACACATTTTCTTTGTCAGAGAATAACACTTTCTTCCACCATTCAATGTCCCATGTTTGGTAGTCCTCTGAAAAGTCAAAACTTTTCTTGCTGATTGGGCTGCAGTAAGCTACAATAACTTCCATAATTCGGCTAATTTGTGTTGATTTGATTTGATTTATTTAATTGTCTTTCTAATCCTGTTCTTGCATACGTCATCATGAGGACTTAATATAGCACCATGTAATACATGTGTTATTGCACTCACATCTTTAAAGGACTCAATTTTTCTATGATGAAATGTCACACCTCTCTGTTCCAGCCTAAAGCAGGCAAAATAATATTATGCAAATAAAATAAATTATAATGCGGACAAAAAATCAACATGATGGAATGCTAAACTGTACTCACCAATCCATTAGCCAAGGCAGGTACGTTTTTCCTTCAACCATCAATGCAGTGTTAAACCAGCCATGTCTAAAACGTGTAACATCAACCAAATTACATTGCCTCATTAGATATGGTTATTAAGATTAAGAGATCCTTTATTCCTCCCACAGCGGATACATTTCAGAAGATCATTAATTAAGATCATTACTACCTTGTAAATAAACAAAGCATCATCTATACCTATCCATTCAAACAATACAATACAGGTAAAGTGCACAACAACAGCCAGCAGACACCTGATTGCTTCCTGATTTCAGTTACATGCAACATTTGGAGGACAATTCAATATAGATAAAGTATTTGTCTCAATTCTACCGTTTCATCATTCTGAAACCCATGGACACCTTACATAATGTCAATTCATTGTGTTTAGCATACTTGTATCCAGGAAACATCTGCATCTCACGCTTGCTGAGCTCTCTAAAACCCAAAACAATATCTTTGAACGACGGCTCCTGTAATAGAGATGAAGATACAAAATGCCTGTTATGTTAAACTATGCATGCAGGTGCACAGGGGTCATAATATATGACCCCAATAACTGCATGATGTTACATTTTAACTGCAATCAAACTTTGGTCATCTATTTTTATTCATATTTTACAATCTTGCGCCTTTGTTCATTGTAGATGCAGATCATCCAAGCTCTGGTCTATCCAAGGAGGAGCTCTGTAAGGTTTTCCTCTGACCTATGGAGGCATTGGAGGTCCTGTCTGTACACCTGTTTATAATTTTACTGTATACATATGTTTTTTGTCACTTTATTATTATTATTGTTATTATTATTTGTTTTTTTTAATCTATGAACCAGTTCTATCTGTGTTCTTAATAAAGAATGAATTGAATTGAATTGTAGTTAAGATAAGGTAAGTTCTCATTAGGTCAAATAGATTAAACATTATCCAAAGATTACTACTCACAGGTGATGGCTCAGTGCATACATTGTAGCCCGATTGAAGGAAAATCCCCATCTTCACACTTTCTGGGGACTTGATGAAACTCAATAAGTAGTCAAAAGTCTCTTTATTCCACTTACTGAAGAGTAAAATAAACAAAAACTAAGATGCTGCAGGTCAGCTTGAAGCTACAAAAAATACAATTCTATTATATATATTATGTACACATAAGTGCTTGTCTTTTGTCTTACGTTTCCTCCACTTTCCCATCATCGTAAAGGTATGGTTGCCAGAAGCCAGCAGCTCCGTCACTCGTGGTCAAAGGAGTGAAGCGGTCAGCATACACCTCTATGCTGAGGGGCTGAATGACTGAGTGATAATGTTCATAAATGCTCTGAGCCGTGGAAAGCCCTATCACACCTGCTCCAACTACGGCCACGCGCATTGTGGAACTGTAACAAAACCAGGAGTCTATCAACTAAATCATGAGAAAACACATAACTCAAACTTCAATGTGCAGATACACAGAAAACATTTGGTTGGTTTCTGGATGTAGCGAGTAAACAAAGTTGTGCAAACTATAGGACTTTGCACACCACTCCTACAACTAAAACACACATTCGGCATTCGCATGATTAGATAAAATTACTTTGACAGTAACTTGCCTTTCAGAAGCACAGATTGTCTGCAAGAGTTGTCAGGTGACGGTTGTCAAAAGGCTGTTTACAGTTCAGTGGGAAAAGAGGGCGGAGTGATCTAACACCACGTGACGTCATACTTTGTTTCACGCAATCATGGATGCATGCACACGTCAAAAAAATAAAAATAATAATGCAATTGTGTCTTTAGTCTTCAGAATGGGGATATTGCGAAACTTAGAGATGTATTAATATATTTGACTGGGACAAATCTTAAAGAACAAAGATGATCAGACACATGAATGTGCTAACTAGATGGCTAATTTCCATCTGACGTCCTGAGTTGCACTGCACCATGCACGTTGCTTGAATGAATGGATCTATCTATCATATTATATGTAATAATTCGTTAATAGCGTTATTGCTCTTCATTCCGACTGTCTGCTATGGTCTGTAACCACAGATGCATGTCTGTAACCTGTGATGCAATACTGAAAGTTCCCCACTGTGGAACGAAAAAGACATGTCTTAATATTATGACCACAGTCTCTATTACCCATGTTCACTTTTCATGTTTACAACCACAGCATGGCAGACACAGATCCCGGGAGCAGAATCCTCGCCTCTCTAGCTTTTCTGACAGCTGCTGTCGTAGTAGCGGCACATGAGGAGTGCGAGTAGTGGCCGTAGTGTGTCGCTGCTTCCCCGGTGTAGATCCATGGTTAGCCCGCTCTAGCAGCTTGTTCTGGGCTGTGTGAGTGCACTGAACCGGTGTTTGGAGACTGTTTGGAGGCGCATCCTCAGCTTCCGTCATGGCGCTGGTGACTCTGCAGCGGTCGCCGACTCCCAGTGCAGCTTCTTCGGCCAGTACTGCCACCACGGCCCCGGGAGAGGTGAGTCTGGCTGTACCGAGAAGCACCTCGGTTTACCCGGGGAGGAGGTGTAGCGGGCCGCTGAAGCTAAATGACCATTCGCGGTGATAAGTAGTCTGTCTGTTACGTCCTTAACCAACCCAGAATTATATCGTCTCATCTCTGCCTCAGGTCTGGATTCATACATGTACCGTAGGATAACACTTATGAACATAAAATGTGTATATGTTATGTCCACTTACGGAAGGTAACACACAAGGAATAAGGAAGCTCGCTTTTTATGTGCGGTCTTAGAATGATGCACTGGCACAGTGACCAAATGTTATAAAGTAATCTGGTCATTCAAATCTGAATACCATTATAGATCAGATAAGAAGTCTAATAATGTACAATTATTTAATTGTGATGCCCTGTTCCTAATACCAGGTGAGGGCGCTATCTCCCAACAGTTTACAAGGAGGATCCCCTCATCTTTCTCATGATACTTGAAGTGAGCTAACTGAGTGTGCCTATTCCTAATTTTTGACTTTGTTACAACTAATAGGCATGGATTCTGTGAATGAAGTGACCTTTTCAGGGTTTGACTGTCTTGAAAAATACAATGTATGTAGGTGAAATAGACTGGCATGTATTGCCCGAAACAATTACATCATATATTTTTTTAAGGTACAAGTGAACGTGTGTACACATGTTTTAGATACACACATTGTGCAGAATGACAAAAAACCTTATTTTGCATTTTCCTTTTAGGACTTTGGTAGTGACGATGAAAGGCGAGCCAACCAGAGGTAAGTCACTATGACTACACTTTATAGTGGAAATCTATGTCCATAAGTCTATTTGTACTTCGTGGATGCACATGCACCCTGAGAGTATCGGGATTGTGGGTCTTCTGCTGGTTTGAGCTAGAACTCAGTTCAAAATTATACCTTTTACTATGTAGACATTTGATCTCTAATCCAAAACTCGTTTCCCTGGCCAAAAACAAATCAAGTAAGAGAAAAGAAAGAATTATATAGATGACAGATGAGAGCGTCATCTGTCATCTACAGTCTCTCTCCCTAAAACCTTCAAACAAGGTCAGAAATCTAGGGGTAATACTGGACTCAGACTTAAATTTTAATAGCCACATCAAATCAGTAACATCAGCAGCTTTTTACCATCTAAAAAACATTGCCAGGATCAAAAACATAGTGTCTAAAGCAGACTTGGAGATTCTTATCCATGCATTTGTCTCCAGTAGGTTAGACTACTGCAATGGCCTGCTCACAGGTCTGTCCAAACAGGCTGTAAAACAGCTGCAGTACATTCAAAATGCAGCAGCTCGAGTCCTGACTAGAACCAGGAAGTACGACCATATTAGTCCGGTCCTCAGGTCTCTGCACTGGCTTCCTGTGGCTCAGAGAATAGACTTTAAAACAGCTTTGCTTGTGTACAAGTCTCTTGTACACCACCTCGCACCAAAATATATTAGTGACATGTTAGTCCCATATGAACCAGCCAGGACTCTGAGGAGCACAGGGACTGGACTCCTGTTAGTGCCCAGAGTCAGAACTAAACATGGGGAGGCTGCTTTTCAGATTCATGCTGCTAAAATCTGGAACATTCTTCCTGAAGATGTGAGACAGGCCTCCTCTCTGACTATGTTTAAAACCAAGTTAAAAACTGTGCTGTTTAGCTGTGCATACAACTGAGGGATTTTATATTTTTATCTTTCTTTTTAATGTTCTGTGATTATTTATGATTTTAATGCTATCTTGTTCAGCACTTTGAGTTGCCTTGTGTATGAATTGTGCTATACAAATAAACTTGCCTTGCCTTGCCTTGCCTTGCCTATATATTTGATTGTTATGAATTTTGGAATATTGATAAAAAACAATTCAACAATTAAAGACATGAAGATTGTTGCATTATGAGCAAAAAGACAAAACAAAGTGTGCCTAAATAAGGTCAAGGGTGTGAGCCAGAGGCAGCAGGTGGAGGCTCAGAGGAGAGCCATCTGACAGCTCTGATCCTCTGAGACACAGCAGTGAGGCTGAACTCCACACATGTATCGCCGCTCTCTGCTTTTCTTCATTCCAGCTCTTGGTGCAGAGGAATTACTTATTTCCTTATTTACTTATTACTTATAATTATTTTTGTTGAGGAAGAACGGCCTGATTTCCGGAAACGGGATGTATTTGGTAGTTGAACCCGTACAGTTGGGCATTATGAAGTTGTTGCCATTTTTTGTAGAAAATGCTGTTTTTACCCAGCACAAGATTCATTGTATGTAAGTTTATTTGAATGTTTATTTTTTTAATCAATAGTTGGTAGTTATAACGTAATTTTAATCGTGTTGGATGTTTTATATTTTTTGCAGTTTTGCACAGGAGGGAATAAAACATTTCTAATACTGAATCTAAAAAATAAAAAATAAAAAAATAAAAATAAAGAATGTTTCTTGCATTTACATGGCTGCCCTATTTATCGATAGATAAATATAGACCTGTTCACTGCAATTCAGAAAAGTTGACAACATTTTCTGTGGTTATGGGTTAGGTGTATTATTAAGTGCACAGACCCATGGAATAATCTTGCTGGATGAATTGAGTGGGTGGGCTTTAATTAACTGTAAAGTGCTTTGTGTTACATTATTTTATGAAAAGTTCTTTATTAATACATTTTTACTGAATTTTGGTGATAATATGAAGGCTAAAAATGTAAATGATAAAATATACCTTTGTAAGGGTTAGGGAAGTTTGTCCTCGGAGATCAGCATCCACATTCACATTTTGTTTCTTTTCTGTCTGTCAGTCTCAGTGAGAGCTTCTTCATGGTGAAGGGGGCTGCCCTCTTTTTGCAGCAGGGCAGCAGTCATCCCAACCAGAAGACTCATCCTCAATACAAGCATGCAGGTGATTTTGTGACATTATTCAACATATTTTATCTTTTGAAATAAAAAGTTAAAAACATTATGGCAGATGTGCCTAGTTAAGGCCACATTTGTAAGCATGTCCCAGACATTATAGTACGTAGATTAGGCAGATTAAGGCCTTGATCCAAAGCGCAGTGACAACCTTGGCATTGGTAATATTATGTCAGACATTAGGGTCACAGTTGGTCACGCCCACTGTGTGGGACCAACAATTGAGATTAAATTGTATCTGTTCTTGTTGGTCTACAAATTAAATTACTTAGTTGTAGATTCTGAATTCATAATTTTGCCATCAGGTAAACATAAACTGGGTTTCTTAAAATATCTTTCTTTCCAACAGGTGATCTTCCCCAGCATCTTCAGGTTATGATAAATATTCTTCGCTCTGAGGACAGAATCAAACTGGTGCGTAAACAAAAACACATAGCACAATGTACTGTTGTAGGAGTTTTAAGATGCTTCATTTCTAGTTTCAACTCTCCATTTTATCAAAAAAATTCTGTTTTTGGTCAATATCAGTGAGGTTTTTAGACCTGTTATTATAACTCTAGGACAAGTGTATGCTGTATAGGTGTCTGACAAGCTCAGTTGCATAGGCCTTTGACCCTGACTCTGTGGTGTAGTATTGCTCTAGTGCAGTGCTTCTCAATTATTTCCTGCCAGGCCCCCCTTACGAAGAAGAAAAACTTTAACCCCCCTCCACATCTTTAGATCGATTTAAGAAAATCCGCTCTCAGCCCAAAAAATTTACTTCACTGTACTGCTGTCGCCTTACATTGTGTGCACCATGTGACCTTTTAGTTTTGGGCACAACCAACATGCAAGAGAAAATGTTGCTTTAATGGAGCTTTAATTCAGTACAATACAATACAATACAATTCATTCTTGTATAGCCCTAAATCACAATAGAAGTCATTTCAGAGGACTTAACAAAACCATTGAAATCACCAACACAGATCAGAGAATCAACAGTTAAAACACATGAAAAATATAGAACACATGTTAAAAAATGTCCTGGATCATCACCACATCCTTTTTGTTGGACACTAAATGTCCAACAGACCCTCGGGGAGACTCACAATTGAGAAAGCGATCTGCTCCCACGGACGGACGGGCTTTAGATCCAGGACCTACTACATAACGTGGATTCAGTGGATTTTAATGGAGGGGCCATGGGGGAAGAAACGGAAACTTCCTGGGGCTCCCATTATCTTGGTCTGTTTCTTGCAGCTGTGTATTTGTCGGATGTACAGGACGCACATAGATGCACACTTCAGAACATATGTGTATGTGTTTTATAGTTAGGTCAGTTCAAGCAGTAGCAGACTAACTGAACGTTTGCAGGCAGTGCGGCTGGAGAGTGCATGGTCTGATCGCGTGAGGTACATGGTAGTTGTGTACACCAGTGGCCGCCAGGACACGGAGGAAAACATCTTACTGGGAATTGACTTTACCAACAGAGACTGGTATGAAAATATTTGTTTATCCATCCATCCATCCATCCATTTTCTACCCTTTAATCCATTTCTGGGTCAGGGGGGTGGCAGTCAGAGATGCCACCCAAGTCTCATAGCACCAGCCCCTCACTGACCCTCTGCAGGTGGTGAGTCCACAGGAGGACGGCTGCTCTCTGAGTGTGAGCATAGCCTTGATCTTTCAGTGGGGGCTTTGGGCAAAGTGGGGTTAAGTGTCTTGCCCAAGGACACAACGACAGCAGTCATCAGTGGGAGTCGGTGGAGAAGGTGCAGAGGTGGGAATTGAACCCACGACCTTCTGGGCTTAAGGCCAATGCTCTACCAACTGAGCTACTGTCGCCCCATGTATATTAATATTTGTTTATGTGAGCATTAAAACAACAGTAAGATTTTTTTTAATTCTTTTACAGTAAAAGCTGTTCAGTTGGTATGGTACTACCATTGTGGAGTGATTCTAAAATTCATCTGGATGGAGATGGGTTAGTTTGTCATTATGCATTTTTTTAAGCCTTTTTGATTCAGATTCAGATGATCACCATTATGACAACCAGTTATGTTTACCTTATGTCCACAGGGGCTTCACAGTGAGCACAGCCAGTAGAACGCATGTCTTTAAACCTGTGTCTGTGCAAGCAATGTGGTGAGTCATATTTGGAGTGACATTAAACAATATGCAATTCTGCCACCTACTGGTTCAATGGAGCTTGGACTTAAGCAAAATGTGGTTTTCATATCTCTCCAAATCTAGGTCCGCACTCCAGGTGTTGCACAAGGCATGCGAGGTGTCACGAAGATTCAACTATTTCCCTGGAGGAATGGCGCTGACATGGACCGGCTACTATGACAGTTGCATTTCATCTGAACAGAGCTGCATCAACGAGTGGAATGCCATGAAGGATTTAGAGACGACAAGACCGGATTCGCCAATTATGTTTGATGACAAGTAAATGCGGCAATGTACTTTTTAGACTCCATTTTAACAGCAGCCGACACCATCACCACTCTTTACTTTTTCTGGTAGGCCTTCACAGAGGGAAAGAACAGAATGTCTTATTAAATCCAAACTCAGAAGTGTCATGACGTGTCAGGATCTGGAGAACGTGACTTGTAAACAGGTGAATTACAAGCACCTTAACAAATGTTGTATATCGTTTATTAAATGTTTAATTCCAATAGATCCGCACAGAGCTGGAGCAGCACATGAACTGTAACCTCAAAGAATATAAAGAGTTTATTGACAATGAAATGCTACTGATCCTGGGTCAGATGGACAAACCCAGTCTCATCTTTGACCATGTTTATTTGGTAAGGAGTAAAATATCTAACATCACTATAATGTACACAACTTTATATCCGATTGCTTTCAGGGATCTGAATGGAATGCATCTAATTTGGAGGAACTCAAAGAAACAGGGTTAGTTTGTGATCCTTTTTAGTAAACCCCTATTGAAGTGTATTTTGTACAGATGTGATAAATAATAATGTGTATTTTTCCTTTGTTCAGAGTGGGCTACATTCTCAATGTTACTAGAGAGATTGACAACTTCTTTCCAGGGACATTTAATTATCACAATGTAAGAGTCTATGATGAAGACTCCACTGACCTTTTGGCCTTTTGGAATGAGACGTACAACTTCATTGTCAAAGCAAAGTGAGTTACCTTTCTTGACTGTAAATGAACAGATCTTCAATTAGAAACAAAGAAATGCAAATATATCTCCATTCTTGATTGTTGTTTACAGAAAGAATCAGTCAAAATGTCTTGTCCATTGTAAGATGGGTGTTAGCCGATCAGCATCCACTGTCATTGCTTATGCTATGAAGGAGTATGGTTGGTCATTGGAGAAGTCTTACAGTTTTGTGAAGCAAAAACGAAGTATTACACGTCCAAATGCTGGTTTTATGAAACAACTAGCTGAATATGAGGGAATTTTGGATGCCAGGTATTGTCTGTTTTAATCATTACTTTTTTCTTAATGTTATAAAAGATGCAACTTCACATTGATTACTTTTGTACAGTAAACAACGACACAATAAGTTGTGGCAGCCGGACTTGGACTGTGAGATGGCTGAAGGAATGTCGAACGCAAGTCAGTGTGGTGCAGATGAGGGAGATCACGTGATGCCGGAGCCGTCCATGTCGCCTTGTAGTGAAGATAAAGATAAAGGCGCTGCCTGTCTGCCTCGTCCTACTGTCTCTCTACAGATTGCAGACCCAGCCTATAACAATTATTATTTCCGCCGGCTCTCAGACTCAGCACTAGATAGTGAACCCTCAACCCCAGTGCGTGGACCTCCACTTCTGGGTATGGAAAGGGTTTTCATCGAAATTGAGGATGTGGAGCGAGATGCGTTACTGGATGAAGAGTCTTTAGTTGGGCGTGAAGGCCTTCCCCTCTCACACTGTGGGCCCTCAGCTGAGATAGGCAGCCGCGGAGCTGAGCCACTAGAGGAGCTACGGAAGAGGCTAGAGTGTAGTACGGTAGAAGAGGAGGATGAGGAAGAGGTACAAAAAGAAGCTGAAATGGAGGTGCTTATGCAGCCAGACAAAGGAGATAGTGATGGCAATGGGATGGACCTAGCAGCTATGAATGACAATGCAAATAACAACAACATTATGAACACCCCAGCCAACCCCACTGTGAGTATGTCGTTATTCTGCCATCAGCTGTTTTGAATTACACATTTAAGATTTGTTTGTTTTTGTATAGGACTGCAAGTCACATACGCCAGTTACAGCTGTGGACAGGTGTGGATCCAAGGATATTATTTCAATCAAATGGAGTCCTTGCAGAATCTTGAATGCTTCCGTCTCTTCTGCTCCATTGACCCCAGAAGATCAGATCGTGCCTCGGTGTAAATGTGCCAACTGTGATTTACCGCCTTCCGGAACACATGGTGACAAAAAGGTTAATCCTCAAAAGTCTGAGCATGAGATGAGCCGTGCAACTGATGACTTTTCTGAGTCTCTGCCCAAACTGATGAAGCTGGATTCTCAAGAGAAGCTTGGACTTGCCTGTCTAGGGCAACAGCAACATGAGGCACTTGTGCAACTTCGAAAGTCTGGCTTAGTTCGTCGCCATGCTGAAAGACTAGAAAGACTTTCTGGGGTAACCCAAGAACAGATTTCACCTCTAAAGCCTTTGCACACATGTCAAATCTCAAAAAAAATCTCCTTTTACACTGGTGAAGAACTTTGTGGTTCTGGAGACTTTGTGAAGTCTTCAACACCGTGTCACCGCCAAGTATATTTAGAACCATTGGTATTGCCGTTGAACGATACCTCGATGGACTCTGGTTTGTTCACACCAGCCTCTTCTCCTCGTGGCTCCACACTGACGCGCAGCTCTAGCAGTGAGAGTCTGCGCAGTGTCAAAGGGAGGCCTGGTCTGGTGCGTCAGAGAGCAGAGGAGATAGAGACCCGCATACGTCTCGCCGGCCTGACACTGCCCTCAAAGCTGAAGCGCTCCAACTCGCTGGCCAAGTTAGGGAGCCTTACCTTCTCCTCTGAAGACCTATGTTCAGGTTGTTCTTCTGAGGCAGGGACACTGTTACTACTCTCCATGTCTTCTGAGCAAGACTCTAGGCTGCAGTGGCACCCTAAACCTTCTGAAATGTGCAAGGACTATCAAAGTCCAGAGAGATTAGCCTGGGAGTCACACAGCTGACAGACGCTAATGCACATACATAAACGTCCCAATTTTTTTAGACTTTAAAGGCCAAGAACATACAAATGAGTCATAAAATAAAGCCTAAGTGTACGCTATCTTGTTTATAGATAAAGTTTCAAAGTGCTTTAGTGGGCATGTTGTTGTATCTGGCAAATGTGTAATGCCATTCGCTTGATTTAAATCAGTGCCTTACCCCTGATGCCAGAGCCACACCATGAACGGGAGAACAGAGACTTTCCTGATGAACACCGCCACAAGTTAAGGGATCGTCCACAACAGATAAAGGTTGTACCATATAAATGTTACCTCATGTGCTCTTTCCTACAGTCGGTCTGTGTTACTATTATTTTTTTCCCTGAGGCATTTTTTTTCTAAACAACGGCAAACTTTTGTTCTGACTCTGCACTGTTTATGTAAACCATACATTGATATAGTTTTTAACTACAATAACAATGCAAGTGTCTATTCCTCATGTGGTACTACATTTTTTAAATGTAAAAATATAACCTCCCTGAAGCTGAATTTACGCTTTAAGCTGAATATTTTATGGGCCATTTTGGAAATTGAAAAAAGGGGAGGGGGTACTTGAATATGTCATTCTATGTGTAATAGATCTATAAAATAAGTCTCACTTTCTGAAATGACTGACCATTTTCTTTTTTACTTTTTCACAATATGTTTTAAGTGTCTGTATTGTAGCTACATTTCTGTGAGGTTTATACCAACTCCAAATCAGAAATGCAATGAAAATGTGCTTCAAAACACTGATCTTTAAAATATTTCAAGACTTGAATTGTACTCATCACTGTTGATGCTTGTGTTTCAAAGAAACATGGAGGATGATCACATGACCTTACAGAAGTCTAACCTTGAGATTTGTAGTAAGTTTTGTACTGTATATTGTAGTAGTAAAATGCATAATGCACTTTTAAGTTGAGCAAAAGCTATGTATTCATTTAAGAATAAACAATCTTTTACTTGAACTATTGATGTTATGGCATTATTCATACTGTACATGTGTACCATTAAAACTCACATTGAATTTCTTAACTTGCACTGCTCATTTTTCCACAGACTTCTGCGCAGAAAGCTCATGTTGCATGCAAGCAATACAATATGGTACAATTCAATATTAGGGTCCAGTGACTCATTAGTTCTGCTCTGGTGGATGTACTGCATGACATTCCGGCATGAGACCAGAAAGTACACATTTATGCCATTGTCATGTTATTTTATAAAACTGTCTCAAATGGGTTTTATCATTCCTGGTACATGGACTTTACACTTATCATTGTCAGCCCTGTCTTGTTTTGAAAGTCACCATAAAGACCAGGAGAAACAAAGGGACACTTGTAATTTAATGTCTAAGATTCCATTAGTCTGGGTGTGATTAAAAAAGATATAGCCAAGAGGCATTAATGTTTTTATGCAATTAATTATATGTACCATATTTGAACCACAGCCTGGAGTATTGTACAAAGATATGGGAAATACAATACAAGAGCGAAATAATATAAATGTTCCTACGTTGTGTCAAGTTATGGAAAAGTCTGAGAACAAGGCAGCACCATTCTGCACTTGAAAAACGTATATAAATGTCTGATACTTGGAGGCTATTGTAAAGAGCTCTTTTCCCATAATGGCTCAAGAAAAAACATGAAAAGGGAACTGACTTTGTATGACAATATAGAAAACACAAGTTTGAAAAAATAAACAAATACATTTCTCACATACTAATTTATTTTCTGTGTTTCAGCATCTTTTCACCATCCACATGATACAATGTTCCAAAACACTATAAAAAACATCTGTATTCAAGCATGTCGAGTTTATGCTGATTGTATTAGTCAAATGTGCTGTGACATCACATGGATGCAATATAAGGCTCCCATTGCTTGTGCATTTGAAGGAGGCTGAAGATCACCAAACAACTAACAAAGAGCACTCTGTCGACTCTGGGACAAGACCAGCCGCTCAGACATTACCTCTGCCCGGTGAGTACATCTCGCAAAATGTCCCATCACTCAACATTTGTAGCATTTGAGCAGGAGTTTTTAGGACAAAGACATATTTGTAGTTATCCATGTTATTGATTTTATTGAAAGAGTTCGCTTTGAAAAAGAAATAGTTATGAAGATTTGTAAAAGGCTATTGTAACTGCTGTTGGGTCTTAAGTCTGTTGGGGCTGTCAAACACATGCTGGTCAAGTGATCAGCGGTATTCATGCATGAGGAAGGATAGTAGATTTTATTATTCTGTCTTAAAGAAATGTCTTCACACACTTAAAAAAAAAAAAAAAAATAACTAATAAGACATTGACATTTCCATTTCCAAAGCATAGAGAAGATTTACTTTATTAATGTCACCCACTATCACAGCATGAAAAGCGATCTCCACAGTAGTTCCGGAGTGTGTCTTGCAGGACTGTGTCAGATAATGTGAAAACACTAACGGTCATATGTTGTCACACTATGAGGCTGAGGCAGAACCCAGACACACACTCACTGTTATTGTGCATTGTGTCTAATTGTTTTTCTGCAGTTGTGCAGTTTAGTGAGTGAAGAGTTGTTACACTCCCACAACGAGGGAAGATTGACTGAGATGAACACCACACGAGAGTAGGCCAGACACCCAACAGAATGTAGGTTTATTTTAACACGCAGTAAAACTAAGAGAGATTGAAACTGTGTACTATGTAACGTATATGGTTGGATTTGATTTTATGACACTAACATGTTTTCTTTCACAGAACAATATGGGACAAAATCAAGATAAACTTGAAGATGGACAGCAGATGCCAGGTGAAGAACTGGTGGGACAAAGAAGGGAGTTTAGAGAAGAATCCCTGCACAAAGGTGAACTCATTGTGGGGGGAAGCAGCTCCAGTGATGAGGTGGACGTTAACGCAGAGAAAATGTTACAAGCCTGGGATTTTGGACCAGGCCAGATGCCAACAACCAATACGACTGAGAATTTCATAAACATGTGGGAGAGTCCATCCAGTTTGGAAGAGGTGAGAGCGGGAGGGACTAAGGCAGTGCGAGGAGGACGTAGGGTGCTGCATGTCCATGACACAAACCAAAAAAGCCAGGAGACTGTTGAGAACTTCAGAACTCCTACACATTTGTTACAAACCAGGAAGATCAGAAAGGGTCAGGCTTTAGGGCACACTGTGATGGAGCAGCAGGCAGAAGCTGGAGTCCAACAAGAGGAGGATTTCTCTGGAGCAGGGTCGCCTCCAAGTCTTTCCAACAGTTCCATGGATGAAGACTCTGAAGAGGATTCTGGTGTGATGAAGATGAAAGGAAGAGGACTTTTAGCAGCACCTGGGGAACGAGCACTCTCCCAGCATGCAGGTCAGATGGATATAATGGAGAATGAAACCAGAAATAACTATATAAAAAACTCTGAGGAAATTGTATGCCACTTCAGAGAGCGGAAAGAACCAGCTCCAGCTAAACCCCAACATCCTTTGAAAAACACAGCACAGAGAGGGCCTCTATCAGACATCAACTATACCATTCACTCCCAGCGTGTAAAGGAGGTCAATGCACCATCTACAAAGGCTAAAACAGTTATATATGATGAAGGCCATGATTTAAGGGAGGAAATTAACTGCTCTTTAAATAAAAACAGTGGAAAGGGCCGTCACACTGGGTCATTGAAGTCAAATATTGGCACAGTGCAGACAAAACAAACAGAGTTCCAGTGTCTGAATATCACAGAAGAAACTGGATCTATACTGGAAAAACTTCTACAAAGAAATAAAACAGAAGCAGCGTCTTCTCTTTCCAAAATCAAAGAATTTACTACTGACAACAGTCATGCATTGGACAATAAGGATCATTCCAAGTCTGCTCACTATTCATGTGACAAACCAGAGGAATCCATTCATGCTTCTACAGAGCAAAATTTGACCATAAAGCAGGCACACAGAAATGAAGGCGACTCTCCAAGTGGATACTATTGTCCACAAGCAGTGAAACAAAATGCATCTGACAAAGATCAGGCAAACATAATACCTCATGAGAACAACAAACACAATATGAATACTGTTAAGATTCGAGACAGCAGCTTTGCATCTTCTAATGCAGCTTTGTCACCAGTGGAAGGAGTCACAACAATAACAGAAGTGAAAGTATGTTCACCTCAAAAAGCAAGCGATGACTCAGTGATAGTCCGAAACAAACCCCACTGTGCCCTGAGACCCCGGCCTGTCTCTGAACTGATTAAAGAGAGCATCCAAATCCATGAGAAACTGGTGCAACAGGAGAGGTCCAACCCAGCCGAGCTCAAGGCCAGTGACCACGGCCAGTCGGTCAAAGTGGCTCAGATGAAGGCTGCCTTTGACTCTGTTCAAAAGTGTCCTGAGAAAGGCATTGAGAGGAAACCATCTCGAAGAGGTAGGTCCAAGTCATACAGTGGCTCTTTTTCTTTTCACCTAATGTACCACCAAAAAAAAAAAAAAAAACTCCTGAAAATCAACATTTATATGTTTGACTATGTCTAAAATACTATTTATACAGTAAATAAACACATTTCATTACGTTGTTGAACTGAAGGTTAGTTAGGAGGATTTTCCCAATTGTTTTGAAAGAAACGCCCTCCCCACTTCTTGGAGAAAAAAAAAAATACTCATGGTCTTGTTTGATGAGCACGTATCACCAAAATGATTAACAATTAGGAGGACCAATAGTCTTGACGATCCACCCGGAAGTAGAAAATCCTCCTGTATATGACTAACTATCTATACAGTCACCTATGAGGAAATGTATGTCTTACAGAAAGACACAAAGCTAATTATGTAACAATAAAATTAATATTCAAAAATAATTATGTAATTAGATGTGATTATATATTTACAATATAATATCTATTACATAATAATAATGTGCAAGCTGATAAGTCAAAAAAGTGCCAACTATACCACACAAGGTACACTTTCTAGTCTGAATTTGGAAACAACGCAAATATGCTCCACCAAAACTGTAAGCCTCGCCCTTTTTCAGTGTATTAAGTCGTTTGAAAGTACTGATAAGGGTCTTTTAGTCCATTCTAAACACGCTCACAGATCCCTATTGTTCATGTGGCCATACAGTGCGGTCATGGCAGACAGTGCAGGGGCGGTACCTTCATAGTTGCACATACTTGTGTCAGCAGCATTGCACACACGGACGGCTTCTCCTGTCGGAATAGCCCCGGATTTTTTTCCTAGCTGCATCCCAACCGCTTATTTATCTGTCAAGAGGTAAGATCAAACCTAACTGCGACATTAACCCAATACACCCGACAACCCTGTTTTTTTCCCTTCCCAACTAATATTCCTTTGGGGAGCGACCAGGAAGGAGCGTGCATGCGCCAAGAAATGATCCAGGACGCGCCATACATGTCCAACTACTTTTCAACTATTCGAATTAAACCTACATCTATCTAGCACTATCAGAAGTTTTAACATCGAGTTTATATACTATATACTGTATATTTATTGTGGAAATGATGGACGATGTGGTGAAATTGTGTCTTGTCAAAGCCAAACTTGCACCATGGGCGGGGGCATAGTACAACCAGACAGGGGAAAAAACTATAGACTACCAAAGAATACCAGTAACAAGACGTGTAGCTAAATGAAATGACTCGCTAAACAGTCGATAAGTTGTTCGTTTGCGACGTGGTGCGTCGTGAGGAGAAGAACAGAGAATAGTTGGAGCTTCAGTCACGCGGTGTAAAAGCAGGAAGTGGGACATGACACACCTGAGTTTGTTTTATACCTGGATTTTGCCCTTTACAGATTTAGAGTTGTGCAATCTATCAATGTTGGTAAGCAATTAAGAATGTAATCTTTATTCTCCTATTTAATGATCTAACCATAGCTGAAGGAAAGCACTATTTTCCATATTGTCTTTTTAAAGTAATCCACAAGAAAACTTGAATGCTCTATTGGAGAATACATTTTGGTTTTAAGTAGGCGAAAGCCAATTTGACTGGGTGTTATAACATGTTCTACATATGGTTCTAAATGTGTTAAACCCTCATGTTACACATTTTGAGGACCCTTTTCAAAAGTTATATTTTGTTTTGAATTGACCTTATTGTTCATCTTTTGAAAGTTGTTAAATGGCTGCATTACAATATGCTGCACAAGGATAAGGAAATAATTCAGCACATTATCTATATCTATATCTTGAACCTGGACCAAGACATGTTCAGGCACATTTCAGAATGAATTGAAAAAATATTAGCACTGAGTAGTTTCTCTCCTTGTCAAGCTTTACTCACTTCATGGCACTGAGACCATCTTCCTAAACCTCTTCATCAGATTCTTTGAATCAGATTGATTCAAACTGTCCGGGGGTTGTATACAAGCAAAATAAATTGTTTAAAGATATACATGTGCTGACCGGTGGAAAAGGGTTTTAATGTCCTAATGTTAATGTGGCATTAAAAAAATAATATCCTGATCATGTTTCTCCTGCTTTTACGAAAACAAAACAGGCTGCAGGAAGAACTTCCTGCTGGTGCTATTATCTGTCCTGTCCTGATGAACACAGGACACACCAGACTTTAATTTATTTGTCACACTTTGGTTTATTCATCCTGGAAAAACCTTACCCCACACCATTTGTCCAAATACGACTTAAATTGGTGTAAAACACTATTTATAACTGTTTATATTCTCTGCATGTTGTTTTTATTTCAGATATGAGTTTTGTGCGAGTAAGCAAATATCGTCACGTCTTTGGTCAGACGGCAAAGAATGACCAATGCTACGATGATATCAGAGTATCCAGGGTCACATGGGACAGTCATTTCTGTTCTGTCAACCCCAAGTTTGTTGCTATAATTATTGAAGCAAGTGGTGGTGGATCCTTTCTTGTTCTTCCTGTGCACAAGGTAAGCCCAATACAGAGTAGCATTTCTAAAATGAATCCCACCATGTGTCTGCATGTTTCCGTTTGTGACTTTTGCCGATTGCTCTTGCTGACACTTTCTAGTGGCAATTGAAATACAGTTGTAGTGGTGACATTAGCTGAGACTGTCATTAGTGTAAACAAGTGCCCTGCAGAGTCATTGGAGCTGCTGTTGGCACGCGCCGTGGACCCTTCAGTCTGTCAGAACTGTATCTACTGCAACTGTAATCCTTCACCACTATGAACGCATGTAGCATGATGTAATTAACAGGCTCTCTGTAATGTTATACGACAGCGTGCAACAACTATTCCATACTTAATCATTCAATCATTGGTGGCTGATGCAATGTATTTTGACACTATACACTCTATGCATTTATAAGTGTTATATTTTATTTTGAATAGCCAAAAGAATATACATTTTTTGTTGAGGTTTGAGTTTGTTAATTTTGTTTTTTTAATAATAGACAATACTTAAACAACGGTTTGTCTCGGTGGCATAAAGTTGTCTCAATATCATTGCTTATTGCCACACGTTGACCATCATAACAGGGGATGAAATGGGTAGATATTCAACATAAAATAAATATAAACTAATTGTGATATTTATTTTGACATAGATGTTATTTGTAAGCTGTGAAAACAAACAATAGTGGTCAGCTTTTCAGTTGGCCTTTTTAAATGAGGTATTTGGCAATATTGCAAAATAATAGTAATTATAGTACACCCTTTATTATTCTTATTATAAAAGTGCAAATCATCCCACTCTTGGTCCGTTATCAACAAGGTCTTAAAAGATCCCTCAAGCCTTTAAAGTAAACAAAGGGAAACTTGTGTTGAAAGGTAACATAGTCAGTAATTGTAAAATACATATCATAAATCTTCTCACACTAGCACTTGTGTTTGGGCTCTGCTGATGGGCTGTTCTCGTTGGACATGTCATTCCTAAACTTTGGGAAAAGACTTCGGGTGTCGCTTCTGCCTCATTCCTGCTGATGCAGACTTCACCTTATATGGTCATGCAGTGCTCCCTGTCTGACAGGCCTCCAGCACCATTTCTTTCCTGCTTTGTCATTGGCTGCTCTGTGCCGAGTCAGAACAAGTCTGGATTCTAGGATAGGCTTGACTCCAGAGAGCGGCCAAAACAAGACAACAATTGTGCAACACACCCTGGAGCCGAAACATTAACCACACATTAGCAAGTGAATCGTAATGACAATTGTCTCGGTAGTTTCTGGTTCCTCTCTTCTTTGTGATCCATCTCTTTGTTTGTGCACCTTTTTAGAATAATGTATCACTCTCAATAGATCACAGTAATATAAAGTTATGTCTGTCCTAAGGCCTGTAGTTGGTTATGTTTCTTGTTCTTGCTTTGGCTACTACTCCAGCATTTCAGACATTTTAGTGGTGTACAGTACATGTGTGGATCACATGTTTGGCTTCCAGGAGCACAGTGTTGCAGTGTTCTCATTGTATGCATTTGCTCTTGTTGCTTAGCAGCAGTGTTTTGACCCAGTATTATTTTCCCAGAAAATCAGGCGCTTAACAAAAACATGTACTTTGCTCTTGAATGGTCTGATAGCAGGTCTAGATTTTTATTGAAATTGCCCTCTGGCTCCAAGTAGTTCCTCTTTTCTTCGATGTGTCAGCTTTTATGGCCTTTTGGGTGTGCTCCTGCTCTGTTGGCCATTTTCATATGACTTTAATGCTAACAATACTTATATTAGAATTTTTACTGTATTGTAAAGGGCTGTCCGTCTTTAGTCATTTGATTTAATGGGTTGATGGTTTCAACCAAAAATTGCATTTGTCGATTTTATTATTTAATCTAAAGTGTATTACATTTTGGCACCATAAACATTTATGCCAAAAGTTTATTGAGAACAGTTTAGGTCGGATATATTATGGATAGTTTTTAGTTTTGCTGCGATTAAGCGATTGACTTGCATGTATTTAGTCGGCCAAGAATTTCTCTGGTCACTTACAACCCTACAACCATGGATCTATAATAATATCACCCAGGACTGTAAGGATAAGCTCAGATAATGTATTTACTTTTTAATGTGCTGGAAATGGCAGCAAGTCCTAGATAGCTCTAGATAGAAGTGTTAATGCAGTACACTATCCATGGTTTCACACTGATCCAGACCAGAGTCGAGAGGAGGCACGGTCCGAACCAAGCGCATCAAGCATAAATCTACTGGAAGAATGCCATATTTTTTTTAAATGCTCATAAAGCATTTAGGATTTCACTCTGAACCAGAGCAGATTCAGATTCATTTATTTGCCATTTGCAGTAAAACCACATTACTCACAGAGAAAAGGTTTCGAACCAAGCAGAGTCTGCATACATCAACTGGAGGATAGGAAGCAGCTCATCATCAGCGATTGTTCCACCTCTGCTGCTGTGACCTAAAGTACCATTGTACCAACTTTTAGAATTATGTATTTATTTGTTTGTATGAATGGTTGGGTTTCTGCTGCTCAATAAAGGATCAATCTAGATAAGAACATGACTTTTGAAAAAGTAACCTGAATTCATGAACAATAACTAGGAATCTTGTTTGTTTGGCAATAAGTTTGGTAAGTTTTTAATGGTATGTTTTTAATTGTTTGTTGCATTGTGCTTGATTCCAGACAGGACGAATTGACGCCTCACATCCCACAGTGTGTGGGCATAAGGGCCCAGTGTTGGACATTGCCTGGAGTCCTCATAATGATAACATTATTGCAAGTAGCTCTGATGACTGCAGCATCAAGGTATTTATGTAAAATTTTATTTTTTAACATAAGGCCTATTAAACATAACTGAAATGTGTGCACTTTTTCCACAATATTGTAATAGATCAATTTCAACAACCCATAGAAAGTACTCTTCTGTGTGTTGAAGCACAGCTTTTGGTCAATACTGCCATCTGCTGGATGGATTTTTTTAGTTACTAAACAATGCAATATGTAATAGGATTATTAAAGCCTGATTATTCAAAACAGGCTTTAGTTTTCATGTACTAAATTTTGAATATTTTATGTTTATGTAGATATGGGAAATTCCAGACAATGGCTTGGTCTCACCTCTTGAAGAACCACTCGTGGAGCTGGAACACCACTTCAAGAAAGTGGGCATCATTGCATGGCATCCAGTAGCAAGCAACATTCTTCTGAGTGCAGGTAGGAATAACTTATGTGGTATGGACAAAAGCAAGTGTAGAGCAGGAGTTGATGAGGAAGTTCTATTTCCACAGGCTGCGATAACCTCATTGTCATCTGGAACCTGGAGACACAAGAGCCTCAGATTGAATTGGACATGCACCCTGATCTCATTTACAATGTTTGCTGGAACTTCAATGGTAGCCTTATTTGCACTGCCTGCAAAGATAAGACTGTCCGAGTTATTGACCCACGCAAGAAAGAAATTATTGCTGTGAGTTCTCAAAACCTTCAATAACTTTTTTCTATGCCGTTTATTTACATTTCCTGTCCTCAGGAAAAAGAGAAGGCACATGAAGGTGTTCGCCCAATGCGAGCCATTTTTTTGAAAGATGATAAGGTGCTAACTACTGGCTTCAGTCGAATGAGTGAAAGACATGTGTGTCTGTGGGACAAGGTAATTATTTCATTCAAACAAACAAAACATTACAAACACACACAACATGACATAACTACATGTAAGCAGATAGCAGGGTGATGTGGGGGGACGGACATACTTATATCACAGACACTGATATTCGTTCAATATTGCATGAATTTCAATGTTGTGATTGGTTTCACCTTACACTGCACATGGTTTGTGGCACAACTAAAGAGGCCTGTGTCTGTCTGTCCAGAGCACAGCTCTCTGGCCATGTCCTGGACAGTGGCTTGTCAAGCCTTCTGTGCACTGGAGCTTCTGATCACCCACACAACTATGTTACACTTACATGTACATTTTACATGTTTTGTTTTAATCTGTTATAAGTGGACATAAAGCAATATCCAGCTTGATTTTAGGAGAGTCAATATTAAATTACATTTGGGTGATCTTTATAAAAAATCATTCAAAGGTCATTTTAAAAACTGATCTGAGATCTTTGCTTCTGCCCATGAACGATAAGTTGGCCCATTAACCTACATTATCTCATCCTGTCAGTCATTATAACATAAAAATGGCTTATCGCTTTCAAACCATTTCTTTCTTCATGCAAGTTATGACGATTATTCATAATGACTCAAGAAACTTGTCACATTTTACAATTTCCAGGATAACATGGAAGAGCCCTTGTCAATGTTGGAGTTGGATGTGGCTAGTGGAGTGCTTTTACCCTTTTATGACCCAGACAGTAACATCATTTACCTCTATGGAAAGGTAAGTTGTTGTGTTGATTCATTGGCATTTATTTAAAACATATATATTGTAATATAATTGGTTTAAATCTGACAGGGTGACACTGTGCTTCGCTACTATGAATACACCAATGAGGAACCGTATGTTCATTATATCAGCACTTTCTCATCTGCTTCCACCCAGAGAGGCATGGGCTATATGCCAAAAAGAGGGCTCAATGTCGATAAATGTGAAATAGCTCGGTAAGCTTCATAACTGTAGTGAATGCTTTCACCACTAGAGGGCAGCATTTTATCTTTTTTTCTTCATTGTTCTTTTCTCAGATTTTTCAAACTCAGTGAAAGGAAGTGTGAACCTATAGTAATGACTGTTCCAAGAAAGGCAAGTTCATGGTCTATTTGAAACATTACAATTGTAAATCAATAGATGGGCAGTATGGAGTGACGTTGTCTCCTTTTTAGTCTGACCTTTTCCAGGAGGACTTGTATCCAGACACAGCTGGACCTGAACCTTCTCTGGAGGCTGCAGAGTGGTTTGAGGGCAAAAACGCAGATCCCATTTTCATCTCTCTTAGGCCTGAAAATGTGTCTAAGAACCAAGAGGTGAAAAAGAAGACAATTTTGGCAAAAAGGGTGCCCAAGAAAAGCGAGCACTCAAGCAGCGCCAATGTCACTTCATCAAATGTAAGTTGTCTAGGCCTCCTCTTGATTAGATGACAGGAGTTGTGTGTTCTACTAAAACATTGTTGGTCCATCATGCATCTTTGGAGTTCTCACGATTTCACATTTATTGAGATGTTCAATCTTGTTTTAAAAGGGTTCCTTAGGAGAATCTAAAAAAAACATTCAGCAGCAATGGCTAATTTAAAAAATCATCAATAAAAAGGACACAAACTGGACAATGCAAGCACACACAAACTTAAAGATGAAGAAAAACTTAGAGAATGGTATAAGGGCAGCATAGAAACTTTAGGCCAAATGCAACCTCCAGCCCTAAGTTTCCTCAGGTGCGTGTTAAATATTCATAATTGATTTACCAAAAAACTATTAGTCTTGAACAATAAATGTCCTTGTGTTTCATGTAAAATTATGAAAGAATAATAAATATCATAGGTTCTAATAATAACCTGATGACTTGAAACAGCATGAGAGGAAATATACATGACATCTGTAGCAGTCACCTGAGGCAGAGGCTGAAGATCTGGCATGGATACATCTACCTTGCCAAAATCACTGAGGTTGTTTGTGGCCTCCTCTGTGGCAAGGACACCGGAGTGGATGATCTGTCCTGATCAATAGTCATCTGGATGTTGTAGGACTGTCTTGGCTGACTTGAAGTGGTGATCGGAGTGGTGGTTGATCCAATAATTCCCAGTCTTCTCCAGGGTACTGGGAAGGAGACGACGGCCCATGGTCGAATCTCTGATTCATGAGGAACAGTGTGGTTACCCCAAAACACTGGACCAGCTCTATACATGTCATTGAGTACTGTAAGGATCATAGGTGTTCACTCAACCTAGCAGGTTTTCCGAGAGTACAGGGTCTTTTGCTAATGATCGGAGTCAGAACTGTGTTCCCATTACTTGCAGTATGTCAGACCTGTTCCCATTGCATGTCGGCCTCCATGAGGGTCCATACAAGGCTCTTTGTCACCTCTGTTAACTGTTATTAATATGGACAGAATTTGTAGGCGTAGCCAGGGGTTTTGTTTGAGGACCACAGGATTGCATCTCTGCTGTTTGCAGATGATTATGGCATGTTGGCCCAACAGACCTGGACCTCCAACATACGAACGGGGCGGTTTGTGAAGCGGCTGAGATGAAAATCAGCACCTCTAAATTTGAGGATTTCGGTCGTCTGGCCCACCCCAGGTGGATGGAGAGATCTTTCCTCAAGGAGTTAGTGTCTCAGGGTCTTGTTCGAGGGAAGGATGGAGCATGAGATTGACACATGTGCAGTGATGAGGTTGCTGTGTCGGACTGTGGTGAAGAGTCCAAAGGCAAAGCCTTCAATTTACGTTCCCAATGATCACCTATGGTTAAAAGCTTTGGGTAATGACCAAAAGGATTAGATTTGCGGATACAAGAGATCTTTGAGTACCTCAGAGAATTGCTGCTTCTCCACGTTGAGGGGAGCCAGTTAAGGTGGCTCGGACAACTGTTTTTTGATGCCTCCTGGACGCCTCCCTGGTGTTAAGGCATGACCCAAAGGGAGGAGGCCCAGTAAACGTCTCTCAGCTGGCCGAGGAACACATTGGGATCTTTACTAATGTACTGGAGGTAGTGTGTGTATAGTGGTGTCTCCTTAGACTGCTCCCCCTGCTACAGAGAAACGGATAAAGCGGAAGAAAATGGATGGACCTGTTGAAGTTACTAGAAAGAAGCCTTAGTTTTTGAGTCCAGATGTGCTCCATAATTTTTGGAGCACATCTGATTTATGTAATTTTTTTTACATAAATCAGTTCGTAAATAAAGAAGGCGATTTACATTATGAATGCAGTTTGCACGTGTGCCATTTTTTTCTAACAGGATCTTTTCTTTCCCCCTTATAGAATTCTGATGCCAAACTGGACGAGGTCCTGAAGGAAATCAAGTCCCTCAGAGATCTTGTCAGCAGTCAGGAAAAACGAATCAGCCAACTTGAAGAGAAATTAGCTGAAATCACAAATTAAACCGTGCAGTTGTTGTGCTCATGCGTTTCTTGCCAAGACAAATTTTGTATTACTTTTTTACAACCATGTCTTGCACTTTTTGTATTGAGTCATGTGACCAAAACTATGTCAGTGTCAAATTTTCCCATTAATTTTAAACGCTGCAATACTACAGTAATACTTGAATTTATAAAGACAACTCAACTATCGTTTTAAGGAGACAAGTACATTACATATTCTCTGGGTAAATATATTTACTATGGACTGTAACGTCTTGGTGGTCTATGCTGTTCATTCCTTTTCTAAGTCAGCACTTGAACGACAAACTCACATTCCTATATTTGGAACTTGTTTTTCTCAGAAATCTTGCAGATGTCTTAAAGTTACAGTATCAAGTGATGAATGTAATAACCTCATTTGTCTAATTGTGATCCTCGTTTCTCTATGCCTTTGTCATGTATGAGGGGTTTATATGTACTGTTGACTGCTTCAGCTGTAAATCATTGGGTTAATCTCAATGTTCCTTCATTTTAATACCATTTATATGTCCTTTTGCTTAAATCCTTCTTAGTGGTTGTAGATGGGTTGTTCAGCCTGAGTTCCTGTGTTGGCACATACTAACTGTTAGGAGGGGGGAGGGGGGGGGGGGGGGGGGGGGGGACTGGCGTGGTTCAGTCTGTTATTTGCCTTTTCTTCATGAGACTCTTGTAAAGACCAAAGAGAAGCATTATGATGGCCATGGAAGTGTTTTTGATGAACAAATGTGTTGACTGAAAGTGGCCTGCTGCCCAGTTGCACCTTGAGGGTCAGGGTTGAGCACAGTTTGCATTTGTACGAATGTGTAAGTTTGCACGGGTAATGCAGAGACAATCTCAATTATGAGTATTTTGAGACTTTATGGCTGCAATTCTCTAACTCGGCAATTTATGTCAATGAATGAGATCTGTAGAGGGCTTCGGTTTAGGACGGGTCATGTCCATCAGACTGATACTTTCATGAGTATGTTGCACATTTTGAAAAGGAGAAATCCAATTGGAATTTGTAGGTTGGGAAGAGCGACAATGACATGTACCAAGGTTTGGTTAATGGAAAAACCGCTGCATAAACAAATCTGTATTTTTGTTATGTCTGTTGGGAGCTGGGTTATAATTTTTATATATTTGCTTCATAAAACCAAAAATAAATGTATAAAGATTTAAAGGATTTTGCTTGTTTTTATTTTATTGTCTTGACAGTTTTGTGTAACTTGGTGTAAAGTCATACCCTCAGTCCAGGTGTATTGATTTGATCTCCGGCAATGGTTCTCAAAGTGGGGGCCAAGACATGATTCTCAAGTTAAGTGATTTTTCAGTATAGAAATAGTCATAAAATATTATAACTACAATGATTTAATTATGTTAGAACAAATGACACAATAATAGAATCTAGTATCACCTTGGATCTATCGTGCTTCTACACAAATTACATTGATTTGTTCAACACTTTAAACACAATATTGTGATCACTTTATTTTTGGGGTGTCTGAATGAAGAGTAAGAGATCTACTGGTTTACAGGTTTTTTTCTTTTTTTTAAAGAGAAAGCAGCTGTCATAAGAAATTTAGGTATACGCCTCTTTAAATAGACACGTTTCATATTTAGCCTCCAACATAGAGATGGCTTCTTCTTAAACTGTACATGTGTTTTTGGATGAAAGGTCTTTTTCTCCATTGGTCTAGAGCTTTGTAGACACGCTGTAATCAGGGCCATCTAATTACAGAGGACTAAGTGGGAGGCAAAGAAATTTTGGGACTGGCCCTTCTAAGTACAGAAATACTTTTTCTACAAAATATCTAGTTATAATTTGACGTAAAATAATAAACATTTATTTTTATAAGCCAAGATGGCATCAGCCTTTATATTTTTTAGTAAGTCATAAGTTTTCAGGTTACTCCATGGACATTGTGTTTCTCTGGGAGGTCAAACCTGCTGTGAAAGGGTTAAACAGCCCAAATGAATGACTGTGGAAAGGCCGATGAGATGTACTGTAAAGAGGGAGGAGACGAAGCTAATTGAGGGTTGGCCAAAGTTTGCAGTGAGACCTGAACTCTTCAGGCACATGCTCACATTTCGTGAACTCGTCTCATTAGCATCATCTTCTGTATGCTGGGGATTTATGTAAGTATTATATTTTCTCTCATTTAAAATGTGTAATAGTCAGAGCTTATCAAACAATGTATGAGGAAGTTTTTACTGAATTTCTTTTGTGTAATATGCATGGGAGAATGGGAACCCATTTTATGCATATTTTCCCAAACTTTCCAGACAAGGACTCACAATAAAAGCTTGAAATCAGCAAACAAAAAATCATTGTGGTACAACAGTAATGAAAACAGTATTCATATGAAGCAAAACATCATTTCAAATGTTGTTGATTTGAATAGTTATTGTACCTTATTTCACTGGAATTAGTCTAAACAGTGTTATAATTTTAAACCCCCACTTTGGGAAACACTGTTTTTAAGGCAATGCACTATTTTAGGGGAAACTAAAGACATTTTTGTTTTCTGTCAGACCCAACAATCATCATTTTGATAGAAAAAAAATAATGATCATTTATAGCAATATAGTTATATGTTGGTATCAATATATTGAGTGGCTTGTGAGAATACCGAATTTTGTTTTGAACAATATTTTTCTATTGTTGATTCTATTTTGATGATATATTAAGATGCATACTGTACATATCCTCTTCAACATATAATGCACACTTTAGAACACTGCTTGCTTAAGCTTAGAACTATTAGGAAATATGAATTAATTATACTGAAATGTTATCCATGTAATTAATCCTCCGAACAGGGACATTCAATCTACAGAGATGTTGCTGTAGAATGTGTCCTTCTTGTGCTTAGTGTAAATTTAGAAGCCTCTCCCACGCCTCTGTGTAACTCCCTCTTTGGGCTTTGGTGTGGCGGATGGGTGGCCTGGTTCAGCTTCACAAATTATATATTGCTCAGAGCCAGATTCACTGTCTCCACCCCAAATAAGTAATGGCTACACTAAATACTGTGGCTAAAATAGCTTTTAGAGGAAGAAACCAAACTCTGAACTGTTAGGCATTAGGGGTTCTTTTGAAACTGCTTGAAATGAAACTATAATGTATAACTCTTTGTTTCCACATCTCTGATGCAGTAAAACTGAAAATGACCAACCTGGCTTTCCATATACTTTTGGTGGCATTGTTGTCACTCAACAAAAGCCATGCATCCCCAATGTTCTACAACGTTTCCATGGATGGCAGCGGAGACGATGCCCTGGAACTCATTTTCCCTACGTCCTTCTCTACTCGAGCTCCTGTTGAAATCAGTGCCAGCACAAAGGTGCCATCCTTCACTGAGAGCATCACCAACACTCTCACCACCACCATGGTTCGCCTCAAAGACTTCGTCTTCAGTCGAGTGGTCGACTTCTTGCAGGAGAACCTGCTCATCATCATTGTGGTCACCTCCGTGCTCATCGTTATGGTTTTTATCATCTGCTGCGCCTCTGCCATGAGTCACAAACGGAAGTTGGAGTCCTACAAGCCCCTTTCCAATCCCCCTAAAAAGTACACCGCGGATAAAAAGGGAGGGCAGAAGAACTCAAGTGATCTGCATGAGAGGCCTTTTGCTGTTGATCACGTGAAGAGAGTTCACTCTCAGGCCATGGCTTCTCCCAAAACCCTGCGTGTCCCCTCCAAGGCTCTGGTGGGGGAGAGGGGGAGAGATGTCCCATCTTCCCCCAGACAGGAGGTCAGGAAGGTCCGAGACACCGAGGAGGCGGAGAGACGCCAAGAGGAACCCCGGCCCAGAGATCTGCCCCGAGAGCACCCCAGAGATCTGCCCCGAGAGCACCCCAGAGATCTGCCCCGAGAGCACCCCAGAGATCTGCCCCGGGAAAACCCCAGAGATCTGCCCCGGGATTACCCCAGGGATCTGCCCCGAGATTACCCCAGGGATCTGCCCCGAGATTACCCCAGAGATCTGCCCCGAGATAACCCCAGAGATGAGAGGAAGTACAGGCAGGACTTGGCCTATGACAGAGCCAGTCCCAGCTCTGCTTCCAGTCAGCCCATCTGCACCTGCCACCTCAGGAAGGCCTACCACTGAAGTACAACCACAAACACGTGTTACAAAGTACGGTGATATAACAACTTCATTAAACATCAGTAAAGAGCAATACATGAGGGTATAATCACCTGTTAGTTTTGTGAACATCCTGAAATGTCCCCACTGTGGAACAGAAAAGATTAGCCCATATACCTAAATAAAAAATACAAAAAATTGGATTAACCAAACTAGCAGCAGTGAAAAGTGTTCCAGCTAGTAAGAAAACACTGCAAGGAAAGAGTATGTAATAAAACATAGGGGTGGGATGTGGTAGGAGTTTATTCTTCTTCATCCTCCTGTTCTTCTTTTCATGGAATGTATTACTGTTGTATTTGCTGGATTATTGTGATATTTTGTTGCATTTCCATGAAAGAAGGGAACAAAAAAAAATAATTAAAAAAAGGCTTATGAGCAGAATGATCTGAATCAGTGATTCCCAACCTATGTGTCGTAAACCCATGTGAATAATAATATAATCTGTGCCTTGTTCGTGTTCCAGTTTGTGGTTGTGACTGAACAAGATTGAGAACCACTGCTCTAATCTAAGTGAAATTATTTGTTCTGACCTGCTGTTTTACTTTTATATTTTTTAAAGCCAGTATTATCTTTTCTAGGGCTACTTCATTTTTATAATCTATGCTATATGTTAGACTCTTAGAAATGTTTTTATCTTGATCTATTACTTTGTCTGTTAATGGCTGGTTTACGTAAGAAAATTTGTAAAATACAATATTTTTTACATGTAAATTATGTGATAAATGCTTGATTTTTTTCTTATTTAGTGACATTCAAACCTCAGGCAATTTCCTAACAAATGCCTCCACTGTAAATGAACACTTGTACTAAAACACATGTCTAATAAAGTATTCATCTATTTAAAGCAATGGTTTCTTGTGGTTCTAAAAAGAAGAATTCCAATTCCACTGTGTCTGCTGAATTCTAACAGTGCTGAAAAATATTAAAAACATATGCTTGTTGTCAGGAGACGTTAAAGAAGATTTACCATTGTAACAAGCATTACATGTATTCTTTTATCTCACATGAAATGAGGAAACTAAGACTTTCCAAATGGAACATGCTATCAACATAGTACTCGACTAAAGGAGAAAATGCTGAATTCAAATAATCATAGAAGCCAGGAATGTTTTGGCTCAGACGAGTTCCCACAAAGAGAAAAATGTAATTCATGAAGGGCTAAATGTTCCAAATGTCATGGTGATGTTAAGTATGGTAATTGTACAAGTTGTTTCACATATTTAACTTAATGCATATATTATTATTAACTATTTCAAAAACACATATTACTAGAAAGAAAAGTTCATTATTTAAGTAGACAACAACTTAAGACGGACACAATTCTTTTATTGACCAAACATAACCTTTCTCACAAATGATGACCCTAAACCATGTATGTCGGAATCAAAGGTCATGAAAGATGCTATAATAGCATGAAGCCAGTGAAAGCGTGTGACGTGTGAAACGTGAGCCTGGGGAGCGTCGTGCTGGGGTCAGATTCCCTACTCTCTGTCAAAGAGGTGCTGAATAATTCGAGAAAATACTATCCCTTCACTCTCACTCTTCCTTGCTGACAGAATGAGACAACAGGATGAGTGGACGACTTTTTTCAGGGAGTAAGGCATCAATGGTTTGTCAATTTGATCAACGTTTGCATCTTTGTGGATGTTGTTTGTTTGATAGCTAAAGAAAAAGTAAGTCGATACCTCAAAAATATCATTTAACGTTGATGTTCTGCCTGGAAATCTCAACATTAGTGGTTTTCTCATTGCAACTCTCACTTAACTCAGACGTCACATGCAGCAAGCCTTGCCATCTCTAGCGAGGTGGAGATGAGACAAACATAGAAAATGGTAAGGGCTTTTAAAAACATTTTGCTGTGAGCTTTTAATGTTTTGTTTTATACATTTGTATTTGTAAGTCTTTCTTCCTCATTTGCAGTGAGCCATGCCTTGGAATAGATGTGGGATTCTATTAGTTCTCTGTGTCAGTCCTCTAGCCTGCCTTGTAATGTCCCCCTGTCCTGCTGGATGCTGCTGCCATCGTTTAGGATTATTAGTCCTGTGTGAGTCTCTTGGCCTTCAATCCCTTCCTCGATCGGTCCCTCTCAGTACTTTAGCTCTGTCTGTGGCCAGGAACCAGCTCTGTAACATAGACGGCTTACTGAGGCCGTTCCTAAGGCTTCATGAGCTCAGCTTAAGCCACAACCTGTTATCTCGTTTCCCTCGAGGGCTGCCGTCCAGCCTGGAGGCTCTGTTACTACAAGAAAACCGCCTCACATTCATTACATCAGGGTCACTCAGATACTTGGGAAACCTCACTCGTTTAGACCTTGAGTACAATCAAATACGTTCCATCCAGCCAGGAGCTTTTCAAGGTCTTAAAAAGCTGGAAGTCTTGACTTTAAAAGGAAATAAACTTACAATATTACCTCAAAACCTCCCAATTTCACTAAAGCACCTGGATGTGTCTGCCAACTGTATTTCTGTTCTTGACCTGGCTTCCCTGTCCAGTCTAGTCAACCTACAGGTCTTAAAGATTAACAGTAACTGCCTTCGCTCAGTTCCAGACAGCGCATTTGACACCTTACCGCGTCTAAGATCTGTGAATCTGACAAACAACTTGTGGGTGTGTGAGTGTGACATATTATATCTTTACCGATGGCTGCTAAATGGACATATGAAAATGGCTACAGACCTGTTTTGCACTGAACCAGTTCATCTTGCTCAGCGTCTTCTTTTAGATCTCTCTGTGATGGCTATCTGCCCTCATGTACTTATATCAAACAAAACACAAGCCACCACAATGTCCAACTTGGTTTTAAAAAATGTTAAAAATATCAATGTCGAAAAAGCTGCAAGACTTTTGGTAAATGATTCTGCTTTATCTATAATCAAAACTAAAACACACCATGGACAATCCTCTTTGGAGAAATTGAGTTATGAGGAGTGCATGTTGCTAAATGCAACTCCATCACAAAGCTTGCATTCAGAAACTACAGTTCAGCCTCATGGAGAGCAGTTGAGTCGAGACAACATTACAGTTCTACCCCCAGAGACCAATCAGACTTCGACTGAAGAGACCCGAGCTCTTCTGTCTACAAACAGAGAGTATGCCTGGCCCACAGCAGAGCCAAAGTCCCCCATCCTAAAGGACTCAGCTGTGATCATTGCCCTCCTCACTTTGTTGTGTATTCTAGTATCATTGCTGATGCTAGCAGTACTTCTAGTCCTAAAAAAAGTACTTCTTCACCATCAGAGAGTGGTACCACTTGACGCTGGCTTGAGCACATGAAGCTGTTATTGTCACAAACTATATAAAACAATGTTTAATAATTCTAATTCTTTAAAATCTATGTATTTTGGTCAAAAATAAATAAGTTTATAAATACGTTTGTTTTGTGTATTTAAACACATTATTTTCTTAAAATAAGCTATTTTGAAGTTTGTTTTATTATAAGTTATAGTGTGACTGAAACACGTGTCAAAAAGTAAAACACCAATTTCGTTTCAGTCGTTGAGTCGAGAGTCTTTAGATAGATAGATAGATAGATAGATACTTTATTGATCCCCGTAGGATAAATTCAGGTGTCCAGTAGCAGCAAAAATAAAAAATAAAATGGATAACAATAGTAATGATCAGCAACAGCCCTTCAGGTCACAGCCGCAGAGATGGAGTAGCCTCTGAGTGGAGCAGGACGGGTCTTGCCACAATATTGAATGAAGTAAGTCTTCAGAATTATTAATTACTTTCTCTACAAAGTTAAAAGTTTAATTTCAGACATAAGGAAAAATATGTATTATTATGCAAGTTTCCACTGTGCTAAAATCACATGTTCCTTTGTCAACAAGTTATTAACGAGTCCAGGGCCAAATTCTTTCAGTGGAAAGTTTCCAAGGCCAATTCGTAGGGAAAGTATCCTGTGAGTGCACTCCCCTATGGGAAGGCACTTTTCTGGTGAGGGCACTCACACCTGGAGGGCCCTCAGAATTGGGACGGGGCCTTACTTGGTGCGGAAAAACAAAAAAACAAATTTGATCACCTTCGCCAACTCTGTAGCTCAGTAGCTAAAGACACAATAGAATGACCCACAACCAAATGTTCTGAACTTCATCCACAATCCATTTACGTCCACTTGTATTTGAACAACAGTATATAAAGAAACCTCAAAGAATTTTCATAATGGTCAACCACTTGAAGCTACTGTACAGTGTAATGTCAGGGTTTGCTTATGTGACTGATTGATTGATTGTGTTTAGATGTCTGGTCTGTGTAATGATGACATATTCTACTGACATTATGCTAACGCATAGGTGTCAAAGTCAAGGCCCGGGGGCCACATCCGGCCCGCGAGACCATTCACAGTGGCCCCTGAGATGATTTTAAATAATTATATTAACCCTTGTATTATGTTGAAAAAAAATGACATTGATTATGTTGCGGGTCATTTTGACCCGTACTGTGCAAAAACAGTCAAAAAAACAGGTTAAACCAATAACTTTATTTTAGGTTATATAAATATTTAGAAAAGTGACATACAATACATTTTTCATTCCAACGCTATATTTAAGAATTATTTTGTCTAATCTTCTTGACAATTCTTCCCTCCTTCTTTTCTCCTGCCATGCTTTCTCCTTCCTTTTTCTCATCCTGTTTTCCTTCTCTCTGTTCATCCTCCTCTATTCCCTTCTTTTCTCTTCCTTCCTTCCTTCCTGTCTCCCTTCTTTCCTTCCTTCCTACCTTCCTTCCTCCCTTCGTCTTTCCTTGACCAAATATTCGTCCTCTGAATCCTCCTTATCGTAGGAAAATTGACAATCTGGATCAGCAATAACACTGTCCTCTGTCTCTGAAAAATCCTCTGTTTCTGAAATCTCTTCCTCTACATCACTATCCCAGTTAAAAATCTGTGATAAAGCCTCCTCAGATGTCATCCTTCTGGAGCTCATTTTTGGTGAGTTTATCTAAAGCCTAGTGTACATCGACAGAGTAACTGGAGACACCTAGTTGAAGGCGGCTTTTGGCAACTGAGAGTAGATGATGGAGATGATCAGTTGCCGAAATCGGTCGATGTGAGCGCTCTTACAACTGGAGATAAACAGTCGATCTCCGGATTCAGTCAGTTTCCCGTGTTCTACTTTTCAGCAACTAGTTGTCCTCAGTTTCGGAGATATCACTCGATGTGCGCGCTCCTAATAGATCCATGGCGCGCTCCAACAACATGTGTGTATTGCGTGTATTGCGCCCGCAACAGTTTATGTCAGAAAACACACTGTAGTTGAGGCCAGTTGCTGTCGATGTATGCGCTGTTATTCCCGAGACTGGCTTGCTACTAGGTGGTGCCCGTTTTCGCCAGATTGTCGATGTGTGCGGGGCAGCAACTCAAAGGCGATGGATATAATCAGTTGCCAGTCCAATGTACGCTAGGCAAAAGAGATGACATGAGAACAGTGACAAGGACAAGTGTGAGAAAGTTCCCTCTCTTCACACACCTGGCTCTGGGTCTCAGAGGCAATCAAAATACAATGTCAAAGAGACATGTTTTTTTTTGATCAGAACAACTATTTACCCACATTAAAGCGTCTGGGTCAAAATGACCCGCAACATCATCTTTGTATACAAACTCTGCACAGACATTCCACTACACATCAAAGTGTCCAGATTTTACACACCAGTTCATGACCCTAGATGAGGAAAAGTCACCAAATTTCAGCAAGAAAAAGAAAGGATAACCAGTACTTTGATCAACAAAAAAACTGAAATGGGTCAAATTGACCCTTAACATAATACAAGGGTTAAATAGCAGCATTGATGGTAGATAATGGCATGTTAACCATTACTAAGTTTCTCAAGAAAACAACCAGAAAATGTAATTCTATAAGAAATGTGAAGCCAACATGTGATTAGAAGTTAGTTTTGTGAGGTTATGTTTTTTATGTGTTTTTTTAGTCTCCAATTACTTTTCTTCTTAACATTATGAAGAAGGATTTCCCAATTTTCATAGTAAAGAACCGCTTTTTGAACAAAACTATCTGGTCTAATTTGACGATCACGTATCACTAGAATGATTGACAGTTGGGAGGACCAATAGTCCCCATGATCCACCAGGAAGTAGAAAGTCTTCCTATATATCTTCAATATTTGGTTCAGTTTTGGTCTAGTTTTGAGTCAGTTTTGGTCCAGTTTTGGTTCAGTCCACAGGAACTGATCTAATTCTAATCAGAAAAGACTGTCCAATCCAACAAGTCACTTAGAAAGATACCTTCATAGTATAAAAAAGTGTAATAAATGAAACCCATCTATTCTTTTGGCCCCTGACCAGCCCTTTAAATTTTTATTCGGCCCTCAACCAAATTAAGTTTGACAGCCCTGTGCTAAAGTATGTTATTAAAACGCAATAAAAAGCTATAACTTAACTTCACTTTCAGGACAGAGCATCAACTTTTCTCTAAACTTCAGCAAAGATACACACTTTCCTACCGATTCCCTCGTTATTTAGAGACAATAGTTTAACCAACCGCATGATTGTTTTGTTGATGTTTCGAGTTACGGGCAAGGGCAACCCTAATACATCCATGGGGCAACCCCATACGGGCACCATGTTCCCGGCTTCAGCCTCCAGGGGGCGCTGTGGGCCTGAGTTTGTTACCGGGCAGAGAAGGTCTTTCCAACATGGCGGCATCGAGAAGCGCAGCACAAACGCACTTAACTCAAGACATGGAGGAAGACGACGCGGGCACTGATGAGAGAGAAATGGACTCTGAAGAAGAGGCAGAGGAAGCCATGGGAGATGAAAATACAGACGATGAAGCAGATTCATCGGAGGACGATAAAGAAAACGAGGCTGAAATCCAGCGACTAGAGGAGCAGGTTAGCTCAGAGGCTAACACAAATGAATGAAATACTGCTAAGAACATAGTTTATAGCCATTATACGTTCACTTTCCCTTCTAAGCTCTCCCTTGACACATTGGGATACATTGGCATAGTGTACTTTGAAATCACCTTACGCTACATCAAGATTGAGATCATACATGGGATTATGTTGTAGTTTACATGGTGCTTTGCAGCGCGCCCAAGTCCTGAATGATGCTGTGAGACGATGTTATCTGAACTGCTAATTTCTTATCTGATCCACCTGTCTTTGAAATAATTACTTATGTCAAGATTTGCTTCTTGTAATAATACATGTATTGTATCTTTATTAACCCAGTATAAAACCATAACCTATACATTTTCTTGTCCAGCTTTCAATCAATGCATTTGATTACAACTGCCATATTGACCTGATCAAGCTTTTAAAGCAAGAAGGAGAACTTATCCGTTTGCGAAAAGCAAGGCAGAAGATGAGCGAACTTTTCCCACTCACTGAAGGTCTGTATACCACAAAGAACATGTGCCAAATGATTTTGTGTTTACTTGCTTTGAAGTGTTAAATAATGCTTGCAGAGATCTGGCTTGACTGGCTCAAGGATGAGATCCGCCTAACAGAAGAGGAATCGAACAGAGAGAAAGTTTATGAGATTTTTGAGAGAGCTGTTAAGGATTACCTATGTAATTTCATTTTTTATTAAGCTTCTAACTGAACTGCTGGTATCACTCTAACTTGTATTTTATTTGTCCACACTTAGGCCCAGATATTTGGCTTGAATATGCTCAGTACTCTATTGGTGGTATGGGCTCACCTGGAGGGATTGACAGGGTGAGGGCAATTTTTGAAAGGGCTTTGACAGCGGTTGGGCTCCACATGACCAAAGGACATATGATGTGGGAGGCGTATCGAGAGTTTGAGAACGTAATTCTCTCGACCGTACAGGTCTGTGTTTAATATAAAAAATAAATATATAAAAAATATAATCTTTTTAAGTTTAATATTGTTTTCTGTTTTCCATAACACCAGCCTCCACCTGGAAAAATACCCAGCCATCAGGATCAAGAGTTACTAAATGCTCAGCTTGAGCGCATCCACACACTGTTTCGCCGCCAGCTGGCAGTACCTTTAATGGGTGAGAGTGATTTTTAATGAACATGTTTTGTGTCAATACAGCAAATGGGCAACTTATTTTTTACAATTTACATAGTATTTGTGTTGTCATGTGGAGTTAATTATAGAATGTTCTATTTAGATATGGAGGCCACTTTGGCTGAATATGAAGAATGGGCTGATGATGGTGTGCCAGAAGCTGCTACATTTCAGTATAAAAAGGCTCTGCAGCTGAAGAATAAATGCAAAGCCCTCGAAGAGGCGCTGGTAAACATGAAGTTCAAATGTATTTCTATACATTGTTGTGTTTTCTTTATTACTAAGTTATGCATACTGCTTATGACCTGCAGCTGGTAGCTGAACCACCTCGACTGACAGAATATCAAGCCTATATAGAATATGAACTGAAGGAGGGTGACCCTGCTCGCATCCAAATGATTTATGAACGTGCTTTGGCAGAGAACTGCCTGGTTCCAGACTTGTGGACAAAATACACCACATACATGGTGAGGACAAGTCTGCGCTGCTTTTTTCTGGTTATTCAGTCAATGAGTGAGTGAGTGTTTCTTTGTTTAGGATCGTCAATTGAAAATAAAAGACTTTGTTCTTTCAACTCATGAGCGTGCAATTCGAAATTGTCCTTGGACAATGGGTTTATGGAAAGGTTATATCCTGGCGCTGGAAAGGCATTGTGCTGATCACCAAACCCTGTCAGGTGAAGTGTTTAAGCTGAATTATGTTGCAATTATCTTTTGTAGTAAATAATACAATAAGTACCTTATTTGAATACATTTTTTTCAGATGTTTTTGAGAAGGCACTGAATGCTGGTTTTATACAAGCTACAGATTATGTTGAGATTTGGCAGGCATACCTTGACTACTTGAGAAGACGGGTCGATTTCAGTAAAGGTAGGTTTTCTACTCTTATCTTATAAAAATCATTTTTAATACATTTGTTTTGGGTTTCAGAATCTAGTAAAGAGTTGGAAGAGTTACGATCAACCTTTGCAAGATCAATTGACTACATGAAACAAGACGTAGAAGATAGTAGGTCAAGATTTGTTGCATTTTCCTCTGTTGAGGTATTTATTCTTACAAATGTGTAACCTTTGAAGGGTTTGGTGAAAGCGGAGATCCATCCTGCAGTATTATGCAAATCTGGGCCAGGATTGAGGTAATTAGTTTTATTATGCCAGTTTTCTCTCAAGAAAACCAGCTTATGGTCTGTACTTCTATTTCAGGCACTTCATTGTAGAAATATGCAAAAGGCTAGAGAGCTTTGGGATAGTATCATGACAAAGGGGAATGCAAAGTTTGCCAACATGTGGTTGGAGTACTACAACCTTGAGAGGTTTGTATTGTATTTTACAATTACTAATGATACCCATTTTGTGTTTAATTCAATCCCCAACTCTGTCTGTCCTTAGATCCTATGGTGATACTGTCCATTGTCGAAAGGCCCTTCACAGAGCTGTTCAATGCACTTCAGATTACCCAGAGCATGTATGCGAAGTTCTACTAACATTTGAACGAGTTGAAGGTACAATTGATTATTATGGTGAAAAAACCTGCCTACACAATATGTCCCATAGTTACTGAATTTTTATGTCTAAAGGTTCTTTGGAGGACTGGGATTTAGCCTTACAAAAAACAGAGACCAAGCTCAATAGAATAAATGAGCAGCGTGCCAAAGTAAAGAAATTGTTTCTTCAAGTTTATAGTCAAATTGTTACTGTTCCATCATGTGGACTCAATTTACTGTGCTTTGATCAACTCTTAGGTGGCAGAAAAAGAAGCTAACTTTGCTCGTCAGGAGGAAGAGCAATCACAGCAGCGGCAGAAAACAAAATCTGAAAAGAGAGCACAGAAAAAAAACCATAAAGGAGTTTCTATTGGAGAGAAGAGGAAGGCTGAAACCTCAGATGACTGGAATGCTGACATGGGTATATACACTATACACCGGTGTAGTTTGCAGTCTGTTGAACCTCACATTTAACCATTTTGTATTTTTTTTAACAAACAAGTTAAAAGATCAAAAAAGCACAAGGGAAATGGTGATCAGACGACGGAGGAGTTAATGGAGACTGAGACAGGACTTTTTGGGAAGACTGCCCCTCCGGGTTATAAGCCTGCTCCACAGGGTACTAAAACGGATACAGCTCAACGAGAGAACCAGCCTGAGCTACGTAATGACAACTGTAGTATTTTCATCAGTAATTTGGCATATACACTGGAAGAACCAGAGAAAAAACTCAGGACACTGTTTGACTCATGTGGATGCATTAAACAAATACGCCCAGTCTTCAGCAATAAAGGGGGCTTCAAAGGATACGGCTATGTGCAGTTTGAATCCCAGGTGTGTGTGCCTGAAGCGCTTAAACTGGATAGGAAGGACGTGGAAGGCAGACCTATGTTTGTATCCCCCTGTGTTGACAAAAGTAAAAACCCAGACTTTAAGGTAATAAATCTGCAAGTTTGCTTTTACTGAATTATTAATTTGCTATACATTACCCATAATGCTTTGCATCTGGGGACGATAACAAGCTGTGATAGATTCCTCATTGCAACTTGTATTGGAGCGAAGTTATTTTGTCAAATTATCATCCCTGGTTAATTTTTGCACAGCAATTTTCCCCATTTGGCAGTAGCTTTACTCTCAATCAAAATAACGGCAATGACGAATCTATCATCTAGATCTTACAGCACTCCAGACACAAAGCATTATGGTAATGCAGAAGTAGTGAATATATTTTGTAATTGAAATGCTTATTTATTTTATTGAACAGGTTTTCAAATATAACACAGTGATGGAAAAACATAAAATCTTTATCTCTGGCTTGCCGTTCTCTTGTACTAAAGAGCAACTTGAGGAAATCTGCCATAGTCATGGGAATATCAAAGAAGTTCGTCTAGTTACATATCGTTCAGGAAAACCAAAGGTATTTTCTGTGATTGTATTATACCAATGTTCAAAGACCTCAAACAAATTCATGTTTTTTCCCACAGGGACTGGCATATGTGGAGTTTGCAAATGAAAGCCAGGCTTCCCAGGCAGTTATAAAATTGGATGGCACAGAAGTAGATGGCAACAAAATTTCAGTCGCTATTAGTAACCCTCCCCGCAGAAACACTATGGACAAGCCTGGCTCCAGTCGTGCATCTGCTGACATGATGCCGCCACGTCAATTTCATGGAGCGTAAGTTCAGATGTTGAGAATAAAAGAAAGCAGTCATTTCACGACACACTGATGGGTTATTTTTTGCCACAGGAGAGGTAAAGGCCGGACTCAGCTTTCGTTGCTTCCCCGCTCCCTGAATCGTCACAGTGGGCCTGAGAGCAAAGTTGAGAATGGGACTTCAGCACAGGCCGCTACTGCAACAAACCCCAGTGACACAAAACCCTTGTCAAATGCAGACTTTGCTAGAATGCTTCTCAATAAATAAAAACAAAATTTGAAAGCGATTCTGTATAAAACTTCTAAAATTGGCTACTATGTTCCCTTTAATACAATGGTTTATAATCTACTGAAACTTGCCTTAATTTCCTCTATACTACAATGATCAACTTTTGTGTAATTGCTGTCAAAATTTAAGTACTCTAATTCAAATGTAAATATTGTTACTAAAGCTTTTTCTGTGATGTGAAAGAATTGTCCAACTCAAGTATATTTTTAATCCTTCAACTGTGTGATTCTTGAATTATGCCACTGACAACTATCATCTGGTAGGGCTTTACTAAACCCTTTCAAGTATACCTCCTTAGGAACTACCAAAACATATTACACTGAGCTAATTTGATGTTTAACAATGTTGATCTATGTAAAGAGATCTAAATGTTGCCGTCATAAACATGTTTAACTTTCAATGCATTTGAATTTGTGACTTAACTTTGATAAATGAAAACAGCTACTGAACTCTAATCGATGTAAAGAAATAGTTTTGGCAGATCGTGTTAAAAAAACTACCCCAGAACATTATTGGTATAAATATTCCTTTTGCAATTTGCTGCCACCACAGTGGCCTCTAAAACTACATTAGAGATTTTTAACAAACATGAAGCTAAAACAATGTTTTGATGAATGTTAGTTTCTTATACATTCTGAAATAAATCAAACTGTTGGATAAAGTTTTGTCTTCATCAATAGTTAAACAATACATTCAATTATTGCACTTTGAAGACACCAAACTGTTTAATAAATTACCTGTTGAGGATAGGGTTTACATCAGTAAACTACATTATGTGAGATCATTTATTAAATAGCCCATATCAATTTGACCCTACAAACCCATTCCCGAGGGGTTGGGAATGAACAAAGTACACATAAAAATATATATTTATAAATATATATGAATATTTGTTAACATTTTAAAAAACAAATGCGCTGCCGAGACTCAATGGACAGGAATAGTTTGCTTGCAGTCCAGACAGACTGGGTGTCGGCTCGTTCCTGGCAGCCCAACCGCATGTTCTACTGTAGAAATTAACAGTGTGTCCAATGTTATCTCTGTGCATTTGGCAATAAATCGAATGAAAGGTCGAACATCCCCTTCATTTGCAGTATCCAAAGCAGCGTAGTATTCAGCTCGCTGCTCTTTGCGAATGGTAATTGGTGGGTACCTGGCTTTCATGAGAACTAAGTTCATGAGTAGACGAGATGTGCGCCCATTACCGTCAACAAATGGATGCACATAAACAAGTTTGTAGTGAGCAAGTGCAGCAAACTCCACTGGATGCAGCTGCAGAGACTCCTCAGAGTTGAGCCACTCCACCAGCTCCTGCATGTGTCTTTGCAAGTCCTGTGGATGAGGTGGGATGTGATGTCCAACAAACACCTGACTGTTGCGTAGCCTTCCTCCTTCCACAGGGTCCACAAAGCCCAGTACACGACGATGGATCTCGAGAATGTCATGTACTGTGATGGTTCCTGACCTAGATAGCAGTGTTGTGTTGATGTATTTCATAGCTACATCAACACCAATCGCCTCATTCTGCTCCTGGAGGCTCTTCCCCGGCACAGCATATCGAGTCTCAATAATGTGACGGATTTCAGACAACGTGAGAGTGCTGCCTTCTATGGCTACAGTGTGATAGATGTGATGATAGTAGGTTTCCTCCATCACTCGCCTTAAAGCAGAATTGCCTTTAGGGATGGACATGAGTCTGCGCACTTTACTGTCAATAATGCTGAAGTGACGCTGGTCAATCTCTTCCACCAAGGGAAGAGTCCGGTCTCGGCTGATCAGAGCTCTCTCGTTACAAGGGGATAGAGCCAGCGCTTTCGTGTAAAGGTGGTCTGCCTGGATGACATCTTTCTCCTCTTCCAGTATAGTCCCAAGTTCTGTAAGGGCTTCTACATAATCTGGATTCATACTTAAGGCATGCATAAGAAGTTTATGAGCCTTTTCCCTTTTCCCAGACCTTTTCATTTCCTGAGCCAGTTGGAGAGCTGCTTTGGCCTCAAGCACCATCTCTGCAATAACAAGAGAGAGAAGAATATTTAGTCAAACTCCTTTGCAATAACATTATAATTCAGGAAACGCCACCTTTACTGGGCTTGCTCCTCTGAGGCAGTACGTCCAGGGCAGTGAATGGGATCGTAAGACTTGTGGACAGCACAGCAGCTGGCGGAAGTGGTCTACCCCAAAGCTGACAGCGCAAGTGGGCAATACCTTTGAGCGCAGAGCAGCACTTGTCGTCTACCCCCACCAGAGGCATCAGGAGGCCCACAAGAGAACCGATCAAAACGCATAACAATGGCCCCCAGCCACCCAAAATACGGGCACTGGATAGACGCCACACAGACAGAGCTGCCATGGTGGTCCAAGTGGGTCGAAGCCTCCATCCTAGGCTAATACGCGCTCATGTCACCTGCTCTGCACAGATGCCATAACAGCAGTGACTTTGTAAAACCGACTACAGACAGCATTCAAATGTAGTTCACAATGTTCTTAAAACGTTTGGGACAAGGTCGAAAAATAAACCTATCCGAGTGTTGCGATCTTCCCGATGCTGATTTGGCACGAAGTGAGTGAAAAGCAGGGAAAACAAACATTTCCTGATCAGATGGACCTATGAACATGGCGACACCCGATTGGTCTCAGCCAAAATGAAGACGCGTTCTCATTGGCTAACGGGAAAGCAATACACGGAGCGGTCTTTGATTGGACAGACTGGGTGTTCCACAGATACCCTGATTATTTTCTGTCAGGCTATGAGAATGGGAAGATTATATATTCTACGCGGGTATAATATTTGTATTGTATTAAAATGTATTTGATATATAAATTCTAAGGTCCCAGCTTTCTATCATCTGATCGACAGGATATTCAGAAGAGACACACGGTGGTGCAGTTGTGTAAAATTACCTGTGGAGAGTCAAGAGTCGGTCAGTCAAGTGGCCCTCTGAAACAAAATAAACATGCATAGGACCTATATCATGGGTGTCAAACTTAAGGCCAAGTTAAGGACAATTTTTAGTGGCCCCTAAAATTATTTGTTTTTATTATCAACTTGCAGCATTGATGGTTATGGGTGACCAAGGCAGGCACCTATTTTCTCAGGAAAACAACCTAATTTAATGTATTCTAACATTTGAAACCCAATAACACATAATTAGAGGTTAAATAGGTCGCTACATAATGCTTTTACTTTATATTTGATCCAGTTTTGGTTCAATCTGTGTGAAAACCTGCACTACTATTGACACTGTTTCCAATTGACACTTGTCACTTTTGTTGCACATAATTATTGTCACTTTATTGTACATATATATCCTGCATGTAACATGTTTGCACATTTCCTCTTTTTGCACAATCTGAGTGTCTCTATCCATGCCAAATGTGACATGTAAATTTCTCCTCTGTGAGATAAATAAAGCTTATCATATCTTATCTTATCTTATCTTAAACAATAAACACATTTTGTTTTCAGAAAAATAAACCATAAAATAACAGTGAAACTCATGTCACATTAAAGTCATGTTAAAATATCTTCATAATGTAAAAAAAACTATGACAAGAAAAATAAATCTCTTTTATTGTTTCAGCCCCCGACCAGTTCCCATTTTTTTAATTGGCCCCTGACCAATAAGAGTTTGACAGCCCTCTGAGCCCTGACCTATATCGAGATGGTTAATTTGTAGTGTAATAAGATTAGATAAGAGATTAGATCAACTTTATTGATCTCACAATGGAGATATTTACAATGATGTCAGTAATGATGTCTTGGAATTATTTTTGATTGTAAATTTATTAAAATGAAAGATGAATGTGTTTTAAGTCAGGACAGATTGCATTGGAGATTTTCATGATTTCCTCAGTTGGACTTTATCTGATGGTCTAACACCTTCATTAGAAGTTTTGCACCAATGAAGCCACCGTTTGGAAAATAAAAACTATATTAGTAAAGTAGCACAATAAAATGTCTAACAATACCAATCAAACATGCTCACAGAAAAGTCAATCGTGAAAAGGAAAGGAAAAGGTATGTTCATATAAGTGACATTTACAAGTCAAAATGGACTTGTAAATCAAACCGTCAGGAGCAGACTGGCCCTATCAGTGTTAGCACTTTGTCAATAAAATGTGTTTTTTTTATGCTTCTCAGTGTTGTGTCTTCTTATTCTGAAACACAGTGGGCTGTGTTTCTGCAGACTTGGTGGGAAATAGACAGGAGACTAATTTTCCACAGAGAGGAGACCATTAGACACCTCCCTGGCCCCTTCTCACTAATCACATTATCTCACCAGGTTTCAATGATAGTCATCTTTGTAACACGTTCTCACCTGAAAACCATCTTTTAATGCACTCAGCCAACTAAATCTTATAACTAACATTCTTACAGCCACGGTTTAAATGGAATCTGTTTTTATCTAATTTAGTATATAACTTTGTAAAGAGAAAACTATTTTAAAAAATGTATGCAATAATTTATTCAAAATCCACTCCTCTAAGCAGTGTTGAGAGAATGTTGTTACAGAATAGAAAAGGCACTTTTATTTATAGTGCAATTCAGGCACAGAACAACTCAAAGTGCAAGAGAGGAAGCATTGAAATCATACAGGTCACACATATGTACAAGTAAAGATGCAATCCTTCAGTGTGGATGGATAAACATCACTGTGTAAAACCTGGATTTGAACATCGTCAAAGTCAAAGCTTGTCTCACATTTTCAGAAAGAGTTATTTTGCATCAGCAGATTTAAGCAATTTTTACAGAGAATAGTAACAAGGGCTCAGGTTTCCGTTGCTGCAGTGTATGTGGTATTTGACAAAGAGAAAATATAATATTGACAACATCTGAAACTGTCCTATCTAGATTAAAATGTGACCAAATAAAAAATCTATAATCTTCAGGGATAAAAAAAATCAAAAAATCCTTCATTTTCCTTTGGATTAAGGACGAAACATTGGGAAAACCTGCTAAGAAGTACAGATGATGGGTGAGAAACCTTCCTTTGCATTAAACCAGAAAGAGGTAAATGAAAAAAATAAATACATTGATTGTCATATTTTCAGTTCTATTCATCACAGAGTTGCCAATTTGGAGTGTGTACTTGTGTCACAAGAAAGAATTAAAATGCATCAACTCTAAGGGGTAAAAAATAAAATAAAACATCAACTTGGTTTACGCCAAGTTTTTTCTGCAGTATAATGCTCTCTGCTCTGTGTGGTGTCAAAGGATCAAACATTTTACATTTGTACAGTGGAAATGGTCTGCTTTTATCAGCCTCAACAAAACTGTACAGTAACTACAATAGCGTTGTGTATGTATTTATATATATAAAAATACTTTACTTTATGACATCTGGTATAATATTGAAACCTCTTATGAAGGTCACCCTGATGTAAAATATGTTTTTTTTCTTGAAAGTACAAAAGCCTGCTCTTCAGATGTCAAATTAATTGTAAATAAGGATCGTTGGATTATGTACAAAGATAGAGAAAGTCATTGTATTATGTTACATAATTGGGCCGCACCCATGTGTCTCGACCCAAGTGTCAGAATGACGCGTTTGCCCCAGGTTAACCGAAACCTAATCTTTTCATATGGCCGTCCTATTCAGAGAAATGCTCTGTTTCTGTCAGCACTTGGTATTATTGGTATGTCACATGCTGCATTTATGCGGTCCTATAATCCACATAATGGGAAGCTCTACTTCCACTGTTGGAGGTATTGTTCTGCTGCCGTTTGGAATAATCATATCATGTTTAAAAATGCACAGATTATGGGAAACATTCCAATCCATAAAGGATTGTGTAATTCCCAGAAAGATTACAACTATTGTTGCAGTGTGTGTTGCCTTTCATTATCTTAATGAAAGGCATTCATTATTTTCTTTCCACGAATCAGTCGTCCTAGTCCCTTTGCTGAAAAAACACCCCCAAAGCATGATGCTTCCACCCCCATGCTTCACAGTAGGTATGTGTACTCAGCATTCTTTCTCCTCCAAACACAATGAGTCGAGTTTTTACCAAAAAGTTTTGGTTTCATCTGACCATATGACATTCTCCAAACCCTCTTCTGGATCATCCAAATGCTCTCAATCAGACTTCAGACGGGCCTGGACATGTACCGGCTCAAGCAGGGGACTCGTTTGGCACTGCAGGATTTGAGTCCTGCAGGCGAGGTAGTGTGTTACTGATGGTAGCCTTTGGTTCCAGCTCTCTGCAGGTCATTCACTAGGTTCCCCCGTGTGGTTCTGGGATTTCGGCACAGCGTTCTCACTCATTTTGACCTCACCATGATAATTTTTTCACACCAAGCTGCTTACCTATTTTAGATTCAGTCTTCCCAACCTGGTGCAAGTACACTGTAGTTTCTGGTGTCCTTTGACAGCTTTTTGGTCTTGGCCATAGTGGAGTTTGAAGTGTGACTGTTTGAGGCTGTGGACAGGTGTCTTTCATACTTATTGTATTGTATTGTATTGTATGTACTTTATTTGAACAGGGACAGTGTACAGTTAAGCATTAACACAAAAGGAGAGATGCATGTACCAGGTTATAGCAGAGATGCTAATTTCCACCTGTAGTCCCTGGGCAGGCTGGTGTAAGTTCATTTAAACTGATTACAATGTAGATGGATTTATGACTATGTCTTACATTTACAAGCTTTAAATAACATTATTCACAAAACATTAAGTTTAATAACAATAAATAAAGCTCCCCAACTTCTACTAGAATATTACCCTCACTCACTCGTGCATGCAAACTTTTTCAGAAGCAATTTCTTAGTCAGCCAAGAAAATGTTTTATATGTAGTACACGCAATGATCTCTGTGGGCAGTGTGTTCCACTGACTCATGGCCGTCACAGAAAAAGCAGATTTAGCAAAAGTTGTTCTAAATGTTTTGACGCTGCATTCTCCTCTAGAAGTGGATCGAGTGGTTCTGGTCATTTTGTCTGCACTCAATGAAACAAATGTTCTTAGAGGAGGTGCACTAACACCATGCATAATTTTAAACAGCAAACAAACATTGGAGTAAAATGTTAGGTTTTCAAAGTTGAGAAAGTCATATTTAGAGAGGATGGGACAGTGATGGTACCATATAAAAAGTTGAAGTTCAAACAGGTGCCATTAATACAGGTAACAGGTGACTTAAAGAAGGAGTTACAGATCCTTGAGAGCCACAAATCTTGCTTGTTTGTAGATGACCAAATTCTTATTTTCTAATACTGTCTCTCATATTTCAGGTATAATTCTGATGAAAATTACAGGCCTCCCTCATCTTTTTAAGAGGGAGAACTTGCACGACTGATGGCTGACTAACTACTTTTTTCCCCTCTGTATATGAACATTATACAATATCTGAGGTTTAGTGGCTAAATATATATGGTGGCCCATGTTTTAGATTGTGAATTTTGAATATTTTTTCCAGCTGTGGTTGCAGCTGCATGGTTCAGTAAAACTTAAAGTTGAAGAAACATTTACACCCCAATTAACAATCATCTATACTAACAATGACACTTGTCCAGATGTCATTTTCTCTGCATCACTGGAAACATCTGCAGCAAATGTTTTATTCTAGTCTTTCTTTACTGCCTTGGTACCATCTTCAAGATTTACATAATGTTTCATAATTTTCAAAATGTATTTAGATTTAAAAAGTCCAAAACTCCCTGTATAATGTGTACTGATACAGTATGTCTAAAAGACTTTAAAGACACATTTTTGTTTCATTGCTCTATTGGAAAGATTTGTGGGGATTGTCATCTTCCTTTTGTTTTTTCCTTGTTCTTGTAACCAAATGTGTGAGCGTGCATGGCCCTTTTATGTGTGTTGGTGTATGGGAGAGTGCGTGTGAGTGTCTGTGAAAGTGTTTATGAGTGTCCGGTGTATGTTTACGTATGTGTCTGCGCGAGTGTGTGTGTGTGTGTGTGTGTGTATGAGTGTGTGTGTGTGTGTGTGTGTGTGTGTATAAGTGTGTGTGCATGTCTTGTGTAAATCCAGTTCAGGGCCATTGCAGTTACCTTTATCATAACATGATGTACTAGTATTATCTACTATGTACAGTTTATGACTTACGATTTCCTTGGCATTTTTCAGTCTGATAAGGAGGAGATATAAAAGATGGTTAACATTCAGTCACCATTAAACCATGTTCCACACAATCTACATTCTCTCTTGTTTTTGACAATTTACAGCACTTAAATAAAGCTCAGACCAAACATTGTGTTTTTATGCCGATAATTACAGAATGTACAGAAGTTTGCCGACATCAGATGTTGCTTTTGATAAGATTGTTAGGGTTATAATTATATTTATCCTGCTTTTATATTTACACATGTTGCCCACTAATATATCAAAACAAAACACAATAAACATATGCTTAGAGATGTTGCATGATGACTCAAATGTCCTCAGATAAGTCCCAGACAAAAGGCAGAAGTGAAAGCGATGAGGAAAGCATGTCCGCTGGTGGAGAAGTAGTTGAGGAATAGAATACTCAACACGATACACACTCAACTGGACAGAGGTACCAGACGGTAGGTTCAATTTTTTTCATGATGTAGAATCTGTGGCGGATCTTCAAGGCCTAAACAATATATATATATATATATATATATATATTTTTTTTTCTTATTATTATTATATTGCACAAAAAAATAAAAGAAATATGCATAAGTTGCAAACCAAGTGAATGTTATGGCATATCTACTCACCCCTGCCTTTTTCTACTAGAGCATGGACATGGATGGCTACCAGTATGACACCGTGAACTACACCTATGATTATGGCCAATTGGATGAAGAACCAGTCCTTAAGCACCAGTCAACCTGCTTCAGAGAAACCCTGTGTGTGTCTCTGCTCATAGTAAACCTGCTCATTTTTCTTCTGGGCTTCTTTGGGAATGCACTGGTGATTTGGATCGCTGGTTTCAGGATGAAAAAGTCAGTGAATACCACATGGTACCTCAGCCTGGCCATCTCTGACTTCATCTTCTGCGCCTGCCTGCCCATAAGCATCGCCAACATGGTCATGGACGAATGGGTTTTCGGTCTATTCATGTGCAAAGTGACATCCTCTGTAATGTTTGTCAATATGTTCGGCAGCATCTTCTTACTTGTCATAATCAGTGCTGACCGCTGTGTCTCTGTCATGTTCCCTGTTTGGGCACAGAATCACCGCTCAGTGAAAATGGCTTCTGTTGTCGTTGGGGTGGCCTGGGTTTTGTCGGTTTCGCTCAGTGTGCCTTCAGCTATATACCGACAAGTGGGTATTCGTTTCGGTCAGACAATATGCTTCAACTCGTACCCCCCTCATGGCCACCAGACAGTGGCCATCACACGTTTTCTCGCTGGTTTTCTTGGGCCTTTCCTTATCATCATAGTGTGCTACTCGGTCATAATACTCAAGCTAAGGAACAACAAGATGGCCAAGTCTTCCAAACCATTCAAAGTCATGACAGCTTTAGTAGCAGCTTTCTTCTCTTGCTGGTTGCCGTATCATGTCTTTGTCCTGTTGGAGCTGAACCTTCACACTGGGAACCATACTGTGCTTGTGACTGGGCTCCAGGTGGGCACTTCAGTCGCAGCGGCCAATAGTTTTCTCAACCCGGTGCTGTACGTGTTCATGGGGAATGACTTCAGGCAGACATTCAGAAGCTCGCTATTGAGGAAGATGGAAAATGCAATGGGTGAAGAAGGCCGCACCACCAGCCGGTACCTGTCCCGCTCCAGCTCCATGGACATGCGGGCCTCCACTCACATATAGGGGCAGAGAAATGGAAGATGGGCTTGAGATGTAAACAGGCCTGTCATGGTAACTCATTTGGACGGACGATAAATTGCTTCTGTAAATTATGCGATAAATGACAATAATAATAATAACAATAATAACAATAATGTATTAATAATGTGTATAACAACATTCTCAATTGATCTTAAAAGCATACACTAAAATAAACAGCAAAAGTAAGTAATATTTAGATGTATTGAGCCCTATAGATCAAACTTAAAGCTGAGGTACCTATTTTTTCAAACTACAAAAATATTGATGTAATAAAATCCTCTCAGTAGTTCACTGCTTTCAAAACAGTTTGGTTCTAGTTTAGCATTAATCTCTCATTTGCAAAGAAAAATTACAAATGATAATGTTAAAAATACAAGTTATCATGACAGGTCAGCTTGTAAATATCACACATTATGTCACTTAATTAGTATGTTCTTTTGGTTTTAATGTAGCAAAAATGTGCAATATGTTCAAATACATGCATTGGGTAACTTTTCTGATTGAGTCTGTCACAAAATAGCCCCAACATTCTATCTCAATCTCACTAGTTAATTACAGAAGTTTTTATTGCTCTAAAATCAAATTTCTTACATTGGCTTTGCCCTTCTTTCCAAAGATTCCTTTTGTCTTCAAGGACAAATAACATATATGGATCAAAGCATAAAACGGATCCTCCATCAGAAAAGTTGCTTAATAATATTTTCATAATTTGATGCATGGATCAATGAAGTAATTTTTCAAAAAATTACCAGAAGTATTGTTGTTGCTAAATACAGATAATTATATTTAGCACAATTGTTTGCTTGTTTCCTTCCTCAGTGGGTTAAAGGTCATTTTTAAATTACATAATAAACGAAACAGGAACAGGAGTCGGTGGCTTCTGTTGTTTTGAAATGCTCTATTGCATGCAGGGGATGGCCAAAATAAGTCTAAAAAGATTATATCCCAGCATCGTCAAACAGAAATTGAAACAAATTTTAAAAATCACACTTTCAGTTCATCCTTTATTAGGCCTTCACAGTACATTCCATATAAAATACATTCAGTTGTGGCACTTGGTGTTAAAACATGCCAGTGCATTGTTGTATTTAGCCAATAGTCAAAATTCTTAAAGCGCGTCCAAAAAATATACTCTTTGTTTTCACTTTGTCATATAAAGAATCTTTAATTCTATAAAAATAGAATCATTTATAGTAGCTATGTAATGTCAGTTTTCAAAGTTACTTTTCACATATAGTGGAAAACCAAATCCTTTCAAGATGAGTTTCTTTCATACATTGTTATTAATAATGTCCTATGGTATTACCCAGGAGCTTCACTGGTACAAAAAAAAAAAATCTTATAAGCACACAAATGAAAGAGCATTTATTCTGGTCTGCGTGCAATTCTGAGTTTGGGGAAAAAAGACTTCAGTTATGAGACTTGTTCTTCAGTGCTTTAGAAAACAATAGTAGCCTCATTATCTTAAAGAAGAGCAGGCAGATAAATGTTGAAAAAAATGTATTCTAGATTATATCTTTTGTGAGCACTCTCAATATCATGCCACTTGTTTAGAAAATTGTGAAAAAGCGGCAATATCTTTTTTGTACACTGTTATTTGGTTTATTGTGTGTAAGTAAAGCCTTTATTCTAAATGATGCAGAATGGTTTGGGTTCTTTGCGTTCACAGCTGTAGTGTACCTTGTTCAAGTTAATGCACATGGCCATTTTGCATATGTGCATGGAAGTGCTTTCTTCATGAAAAACTAAAGACAAACTAAAAGAAATATTCTAATACGTATAAATAAAGATTAGGAGTATGCCACAATTCAAGCAAGACACTACAGATACAAGCTCAGGCCTCATTTTTCCCTTTTCATCATTTAAAGTTAAATGTAAATGTATATAATGTTCCAATCTATGACTTTTCTTCTACATTAAACCTACATGTCTTTAACATTTTTTAGAAGTCTATCTTTGGCAATTGTATTATCGTTTTCTTCAAGTTGACTTCCGTAGAATACAAACTTTCATTTTGACCATTTTTAAGAGTTGTTTGACCAAATTCAAATCAAACACAATTCAGCAGGTAGTGTCTCGCTGTAAAACATATTGTCTACAAAGCACAACTATAATTTAAAGCATCCAACACAGAACACTACATGTATCATCTGGGCCTGTACTCATCAGGAACCCCGGACATGTTCCTTTTCTTCAGCGCTGCGTCCACAGTTTGAATGAGCTCATCTATGTGCACCCTCATCTCCGGCGTGTAAGGGTCGTACTCCAGTTTGCGAAGTCCAGAGCGCTTGAAGTTCCCATCCTTCTGCCCCTCCACACAGAGCAACCGCTCCTCGGACACTTCCAGGCCCAGGAACTGCACCATGCCTTTGAGCCGAGCGAACAGGTCCCTCTTCAGCTCCTCAAAGTGGACCACATGCACCCGCCGGCCAAACTGCAGCCAGTCCAGCGTGTGCGAGGCCCACCAGGGGGCGTAGTTCTTCACAAACTCAGGCCACTCTGAAAAGAAAGAACAAAATGGGTAGAACACTTTTCTTTTGGTATTTTCTTAGTAATCTTTATTTAGTAAGTAATCTTTATTTATATACCACCTTTTCACTGCACATCGGAGTCTCAAAGCGGTTTACAATTGTTATTTTTGGGAGTGGGGGTGCCAGTACAGGAGGCACATGCCAGACCTATTGTACATATTTTTAGTGGTAGGGGAAACCGGAGCACCCGGAGGAAACCTACGCAGACACGGGGAGAACATGCAAACTCCACTCAGAAAGGCCCTGGTCCAACCGGGATTTGAACCCAGGACCTCTTGCTGAGAGGCGAGAGGGCTATCCACTCAGCCACCGTGCCGCCCTTCTTCTTCTTAGGTTAGAAGTAAAAAAGTTTTAGGTATAATGCTACTGGACATCTGTTAGAAACGTGCCCTACGCCACAGTCACAACATCACAGTGATACATTCCCTGCCAGCTGAGAGGCCGCTACAATCTAAAGCCTAGCGTACATCGGACTGGCAACTGATTATATCCGTCCCCTCTGAGTTGCTGCCCCGCACACATCGACAATCTGACGAAAACGGGCAACTCCCAGTAGCAAACCAGTCTCGGGAATAACAGCGCGTTCATCGACAGCAACTGGCCTCAACTACAGTGTGTTTTCTGACATAAACTGTTGCGGGCTCGCAATACACACACGTTGTCGGAGCGGCGCATGGAGCGCGCACATCGGGTCATATCTCCGAAACTGAGGACAACTAGTTGCTGAAAAGTAGAACACGGGCAACTGACTGAAACTGGAGACCGACTGTTCATCTCCAGTTGTAAGAGCGCGCACATCGACCGATTTCGGCAACTGATCATCTCCCACCGTCTCCTCTCAGTTGCCAAAAGCCGCCTTGCAACTAGTTGTCTCCAGTTTCTCTGTCGATGTACGCTAGGCTTAAGGCCCAGTTTACACGGAGACACTGCAGCAGTAAAACACTATAGTTGGTTGCTACCCCACGTTCATACGGAGACTGTGCTCCAGGGAGGTGAAAACGTAAGAGTTAAGATCCAGCGTGCAGAGTGGGACATTTCAGATACGCTGCTCAGCGGGGGCTCTTTCACACGGAAAGTGTTAATTCTTTGCCTGAGCTGACCCCCACCTCCTGCTGCTCCTCGCATGTACATTTGGACATGCGCAGTAGCCGAGAAGAAACGTAAACAACAATGGCGGCGGGTACAATAACTAGCTACGTGTGCTTCAAGCGCTGCACAGAGGAGGATTCTACTCCTTCGTTTGTCCAAACGAAACCATGCGAAGCTCTAGTTTCAGTTTCCATTTTCGCAGCTGCTGTTAAAATGCAGAAAGATGTTTGTGCATTCTTCCATGTCTTGCAGAGGAAGTGAGTACACTGCTGGGGGGTGCTGGGGGTCATGCGTGTTGTTTCGTAACGTTCCTCTGCCCACTACTGGCCGGGCGCTAGAACTACATAGTTTTTGATCCTCGTATGAACGCTGTGAAATTTGCATAAGGAGCCTGGTCGTTTCTGTTAATAGCCTGGTGACGTCTGCGCAGCGCCTCCGTCTAAACCAGGGGGGGCGGGTCCCGGCTCAAAAGTGGCCAAAATGACGTGCGCTGACATGCTTGCAATACCACCCCGGGCCGATGGGGGTGGACCCAGAAGAAGATTTAGCCAATGCTAACATATAGCATTGGCAGACCTCTCAAAAACGTCTTTACAGGATGGACCAAAAGTTGGCTCTTGGCCCAAAGCTCCGTTCCACATGTGTGTCAATGCTGAAGGGGGTGAATTTTGAAGTCTCTCGTTCAAATGAATGGAGTTGCGCCGGCTGACGCATGCGCAGTTTTTTCACAATTTTCTTGTGGGCGGGACCACTCGCGGCCATTTTGGATAGCTCCAGTAGAGCAAATTTTTTGGCCCATTAGTTAGAACGGCGGAGATAGGCGTGACTCTGTCCGTTAATATATACAGTCTGTGGTCTAAACTCAACCTAAGAGAATGTTTATCAACAATATAGAGCAGGACTAATAGATGAATCTCAATGACAGGACTAAATCTATAGAATAGCCAAATCACTAAAGAGTTTCAAAAATAGTTTGAAATTAGGACTGGGCTGTCATGTTAATCACATTCATTTTTCGTTAATTTCTTGCTTGTGTACAAGTCATTCAGCCATTCCATGACCATTTCTGTGGGAACTTGATAGTTCTTTGTTGGAGAGAAAGTATTTTGGCTTTTGGCACCATCAATCAAGTCAGGGAAATCAGCCTACAGTATTTCACAGCCTGGCTTTTCATAGTCTTTTCATACTGATACACCATACCCGACAATAAAATGTAAAACACTGTTTTTAGATAATGATTTCAAAGATGGTAAACCCTTCACAAAACATTTGAAGGAAAATAAATAATGTTAGTGAATAGTCCCTAAATGAGAAGACGCTGACTCAAACTGAAAAGTCTAAACATCAATCACACAGACCATAGTTGTCAAAGCGATTCCAAAACACAGGGAACAGTAAATGCCCAAATGTGCTAATGTTTTGACATTGCAGGCGCCTTCTGGCTGGGCAAGTTTCTGCCCACAAAATAAGCTAAAGACATGAGACATTGTTACCACAACATTCATCTGGAACATCTGGTCTGAAGGAATGAATAGAAATCGAATATTCAACAAACAGATTCAATTGGAACAACTGCATAAGATTATAGGCTCAATATATTTAAAGAGTAACAAATTAAATTGTGTTTCTTTAACAAAAACAACAACAAAAAAAGTCAATAATGTGCTGGTTAATTGCAGATAACTATTGTACATTCTGCATTGAAATAAAGACATGTTTTAGCACACACAAAAACACTGACAAAATGACTCATTGCCATTCATAAATATGATGCCTTATTGTCATTAACCGTAATATCTGAGCAACAAACACCAACTCAACATGACTCAGGATAAGGGCGGTTTGTTGTTTATATTTACCATTTCATCATTTACCTTGCGAAAGTATTCGGCCCCCTTGAACCTTTCAACATTTCGCCACATTTCAGGTTTCAAACATAAAGATATAAAAATTTAATTTTTTGTCATGAATCAACAACAAGTGGGACACAATCGTGAAGTGGAACGAAATTTATTGGATAATTTAAACTTTTTTAACAAATAAACTGAAAAGTGGGGCGTGCAATATTATTCGGCCCCCTTGCGCTAATACTTTGTAGCGCCACCTTTTGCTGCAATTACAGCTGCAAGTCGCTTGGGGTATGTCTCTATCAGTTTTGCACATCGAGAGACTGGAATTCTTGCCCATTCTTCCTTGCAAAACAGCTCAAGCTCAGTGAGGTTGGATGGAGAGCGTTTGTGAACAGCAGTCTTCAGCTCTTTCCACAGATTCTCGATTGGATTCAGGTCTGGACTTTGACTTGGCCATTCTAACACCTGGATACGTCTATTTGTGAACCATTCCATTGTAGATTTGGCTTTATGTTTTGGATCATTGTCCTGTTGGAAGATAAATCTCCGTCCCAGTCTCAGGTCTTTTGCAGACTCCAACAGGTTTTCTTCCAGAATGGTCCTGTATTTGGCTCCATCCACCTTCCCATACATTTTAGCCATCTTCCCTGTCCCTGCTGAAGAAAAGCAGGCCCAAAGCATGATGCTGCCACCACCATGTTTGACAGTGGGGATGGTGTGTTCAGGGTGATGAGCTGTGTTGCTTTTACGCCAAACATATCGTTTTGCATTGTGGCCAAAAAGTTTGATTTTGGTTTCTTCTGACCAGAGCACCTTCTTCCACATGTTTGGTGTGTCTCCCAGGTGGCTTGTGGCAAACTTTAAACGAGACTTTTTATGGATATTTTTGAGAAATGGCTTTCTTCTTGCCACTCTTCCATAAGAGCCAGATTTGTGCAGTGCACGACTGATTGTTGTCCTATGGACAGACTCTCCCACCTCAGCTGTAGTTATCTGCAGTTCATCCAGAGTGATCATGGGCCTCTTGGCTGCATCTCTGATCAGTCTTCTCCTTGTTTGAGATGAAAGTTTGGAGGGACGGCCGGGTCTTGGTAGATTTGCAGTGGTCTGATACTCCTTCCATTTCAATATAATTGCTTGCACAGTGCTCCTTGAGATGTTTAAAGCTTGGGAAATCTTTTTGTATCCAAATCCGGCTTCAAACTTCTCCACAACAGTATCTCGGACCTGCCTGGTGTGTTCCTTTGTCTTCATGCTTCTCTCTGCGCTTTAAACAGAACCCTGAGACTATCAAAGAGCAGGTGCATTTTTACGGAGACTTGATTACACACAGGTGCATTCTATTTATTATCATCATCAGTCATTTAGGACAACATTGGATCATTCAAAGATCCTCACTGAACTTCTGGAGTGAGTTTGCTGCATTGAAAGTAAAGGCGCCGAATAATATTGCACGCCCCACTTTTCAGTTTTTTATTTGTTAAAAAAGTTTAAATTATCCAATACATTTCGTTCCACTTCACGATTGTGTCCCACTTGTTGTTGATTCATGACAAAAAATAATTTTTTATCTATTTTTTTCGCCTGAAATGTGGCAAAATCTTGAACGGTTCACGGGGGCCGAATACTTTCGCAAGGCACTGTACCATGAGGCCTTTGTACCAGGACAGCAGAATTACATTCTGACACATTACCTCTGTTGACCATCCATCGGTTTCGGCACTGTTTAATATCAGAACATATGTGTAATCAATGCAAATTGTTCCCCAGCTTTTTTATTTTATTCTCTTTGGTCGTCATTTAAATGATTAATATTTCCACTGGCCTGTGTGTAAAACAAAGCACTACCGGAAAACCAGAAACATTACCTCCCTCAGTTTGATACAACTGAACAAGACCCGAGTCTACCCATGCGCTCCTATAGTATGAAAGATCAGTCCATTTGGACCGGACCGTTTCTATTCGAGCTTGCATATAACCACATGCACCTGATGATCACATGATGATGTTAAATAGAATGCACCTGTGTGTAATCAAGTCTCCGTATAAATGCACCTGCTCTTTGATAGTCTCAGGGTTCTGTTTAAAGCACAGAGAGAACCATGAAGACAAAGGAACACACCAGGCAGGTCCGAGATACTGTTGTGGAGAAGTTTAAAGCCGGATTTGGATACAAAAAGATTTCCCAAGCTTTAAACATCTCAAGAAGCACTGTGCAAGCAATTATATTGAAATGGAAGGAGTATCAGACCACTGCAAATCTACCAAGACCCGGCCGTCCCTCCAAACTTTCATCTCAAACAAGGAGAAGACTGATCAGAGATGCAGCCAAGAGGCCCATGATCACTCTGGATGAACTGCAGATAACTACAGCTGAGGTGGGAGAGTCTGTCCATAGGACAACAATCAGTCGTGCACTGCACATATCTGGCCTTTATGGAAGAGTGGCAAGAAGAAAGCCATTTCTCAAAAATATCCATAAAAAGTCTCGTTTAAAGTTTGCCACAAGCCACCTGGGAGACACACCAAACATGTGGAAGAAGGTGCTCTGGTCAGATGAAACCAAAATCAAACTTTTTGGCCACAATGCAAAACGATATGTTTGGCGTAAAAGCAACACAGCTCATCACCCTGAACACACCCTCCCCACTGTCAAACATGGTGGTGGCAGCATCATGGTTTGGGCCTGCTTTTCTTCAGCAGGGACAGGGAAGATGGCTAAAATTGATGGGAAGATGGATGAAGCCAAATACAGGACCATTCTGGAAGAAAACCTGTTGGAGTCTGCAAAAGACCTGAGACTGGGACTGAGATTTATCTTCCAACAGGACAATGATCCAAAACATAAAGCCAAATCTACAATGGAATGGTTCACAAATAGACGTATCCAGGTGTTGGAATGGCCAAGTCAAAGTCCAGACCTGAATCCAATCGAGAATCTGTGGAAAGAGCTGAAGACTGCTGTTCACAAACGCTCTCCATCCAACCTCACTGAGCTTGAGCTGTTTTGCAAGGAAGAATGGGAAAGAATTCCAGTCTCTCGATGTGCAAAACTGATAGAGACATACCCCAAGCGACTTGCAGCTGTAATTGCAGCGAAAGGTGGCGCTACAAAGTATTAGCGCAAGGGCGCCGAATAATATTGCACGCCCCACTTTTCAGTTTTTTATTTGTTAAAAAAGGTTAAATTATCCAATAAATTTCGTTCCACTTCACAATTGTGTCCCACTTGTTGTTAATTCTTGACAAAAAAATATATTTTTATATCTTTATGTTTGAAGCCTGAAATGTGGCGAAATGTTAAAAGGTTCAAAGGGGCCGAATACTTTCGCAAGGCACTGTATAATTTTGAACGCGCCTCCAGTCAAAACACCTGATTTCTATGGTGGTCCTTGGCTCTCGATGACCTCCACACACACATTAGGAGGAGCAGCTTTCATAGAAATTCTGGAGTCTCGCGAGTCTGTTGCTCATTTTTCTTATGCATTGTGATCGCACTAGTGTTATTGAATGATGGGGCTGGAATGTTCGACTCTCACCTTTCCCTTTCCAGTGGGCTTGAGAGGCAAACCCGATGTGCCCTCCGTACTTGCGGTTGAACTCCGCCATAAGAGCCTTGTAGGGGCTGCGCATCATGAGGATCCCACCGTCAAAGGCTTCAATCTCTTTCTTGCCGCTCTCATGAGTCTTGATGCAGATTGTGCGTCCGCTTCTCCAGTGGTCTCGCTCTCCTTTGAACCCTGTAAACAACACTTTTCATCAGAGCTGCTTCAATCTTTTCTTGTGATAAATTACCTTAACATTTTCTCACAGAGCGGACCTTTGAGATAAAAGGAGATAGATGCACGTTGTCAATTACATATTTTTCACTCTCATCACTGAAGAGCCAAAAACATCTGCTGATCCATCAATGTTTGACATGAAAACACTGCAAATGAATCAACGTGGATACTACAATGAGGGTTTGTAGGATACAAATAGATTAGATGAACTTTTTATGGATTGCCAACTCACTGCTGTCAATTTGCCAGGTTTAATCTTTCCATCTTTATTATTGTATTTGTCCTTAAAAGGGAACATTCCTCATGCTTAAATGCTACCTGGAGTTTTAGCATCAGCATTAACATTAGCATTAGCACCTACCCCCTGTAAATTTGCTGAATCAAACCCACCTGACAAAACGTTCACAGATAAGCGACACTCTACAACACCTAGTTAGCAGCGACAGTGCTAATTAGCCAAGATACTTGTATTCACATAGAGGCCAAATGCATAAACAGTACGGTTGGGAATAATAAAAGACTGTTTATTCTTGTGTAAACATAGTATGTTAAGACCTTTCCATTCATTTAACATTTTTGAAAAACACATGTTGTTACTGTGGGAAATGGCAATTATTGGACAATTTCAGAAAATTGTTCCAAAAAAGAGCTCAATATGATATGGACCTATTTCGTGAATTTGTAATTAGACATTAATGAAATTTTACTCAGATGTTAAAGCATGTGATAAAATATATAAAACAGGGTTTTGCTCTGATTATTCAAATTTCACATATTGCTCTGTGCTGCATTACCTTTATTATAGAGGGAGCCGTCAAAGTAGTAGCTTCCAGTGTAAAACCCAGTGGCAAGCTCGATCAGGTGACGCGCCCACGTGTTGCCAGCTCCGGGAAAACTGCTCAACGCAAACAGCTGCTTGGAGCGAGTGGGAAGAAAGTGGCGGTCCATGCAGCGGTTATCTGAACACACATCATCCCATTATTCATTTATTAGGAGTGCATAGGGGTGGGCCATATGGGAAATTATAAATATCTCTATATTTTTTCCCCAACTCCTGATAACAATAATGTCACAATATCTTCATTCAATCAATCATTTTTACACAAAATGATCTGCAATGTTTTTGCTGTCAGGGCATGTATAGATAGCGACAGTGTCGATCAATATAGCAGCTTTTATTTGTAAAGTGCTTCACACATCTTTGCAAAACATGTCAACAAATAAACACAAATTAAGATAAATCAAATTCAAGTAACATGGAAAGGACACATCCAAAAAGGCTCAATATTTACTGAAATGTATAAATAAAGCAGTGATTGGCTTTTTAGGTACGCATTTGACGAATGAGCATCTTGCCTGCTGTAAACGTTATAAGTATCGCCCACCCCTAGGAGTGCATTTCCGATTTCATTTTCTATTTGTAGTAGAAGTTGAATCTTGGATATGGATAAAACGTTAGTAGAAATTCTTTTGTAAATGAGTGAGTCAAAATGTATTGTTTTTATGTAAATGTTTGGGCACAGTGTCACACCGAGGGGAAAAGGAAGTGACAAGTTGCGTTTCACACCTCAGCAAATCTCTGTTCACATCTCTGAGGACTTTTACGCTTTTTAGCCCACAATTCTATTGTTCGTTCCAATGGAAAAAGTCTTGCAAAAGAAAAATGCTGAGAACAAATCTGACTACAACATGGAATCTTCATCTCATTAGAAAAAACCATGTTCAATTTCAATCCCTGTGAGCCACAATTTGAAGCTTTGGGCTGAAAGATAATTGGCTGAGTAAGTGTGGGTTACCCTCCTTTTTCACTTCTGTTTCTGAAAAAGCTGATCTAAAGATGTGACAAACTGTTTATTGAGCCAGGAACTAAATCCTGTCTATGTGGCTATAAGAACCTAAATCTATTGTAAATGTCAAACTTCAAAGAGTACAATGTTTAGATAAGTTCATTTGTAAATATTTTTCCTCCCCTTGTTCCAACTGTATTGAATAAAAGTGAGTTGGTTTTACCTTGCACCTGTGTCTGATAGACCACAAAGTAATCCTCATTCCCACAGCTCTCGAACTCCTCGCCCTGGCAGCGGTGGAGGCACAGATCCTCCTCCTCCAGGTCGTGAAGTGGGAAGAGTGGAGTGGGAAAACCACAGTGACAGCGCTTTCCAGCCAAAACAGCCAGGGTTGTCTCCTGTAACAGAGATTTCCATGATACTGTATGAAAGGGGAAGTAGGAAGATTTGGACAGAATTTTCAGAAATCGAGTGCGAGGAACAATTGATTATATTTTGGAAGTGATTCAATTACTTGGATACATGTACAGTATTTCACAACCTTTTATAATTAGCTTGAACTCCCTACAGAGAGTAGTCTGTTGATCTCAATTGAAGTTCCAACATTTAGAGACAAGATAAGATACATTTATCTGTGAGGATTAGATAGCTATAAAGTGATCTGGCCTTAGGACAACGACCCGATTGTGTATCTGCTATTATTGTGTGTCCATGTTCTGTTCGTTCGAGGTCTTGTTATGTTCTGATTGTTCTCTTGATATGACACGAATGCTTATCCATGTATGACGTATGTGTGACGTAAACGTTGACTATATAAACCATATCCTAAATATGTTCTGTCTGAAAAAACCAACTGAAAAAACTGACCAAACTGAATGAACTGCCATTTTGTGAATAAACAACCACGCCATGATGCACAGGATCCCGTTTGGTCTGAGTCTGATTTTCAACATACTTGATTGTTACTTGATTGAAATGTGATGTAATTGGATTTCAGGAATGAACATTTAAAGTTTATTCTTTAAGTTATTTTGTTCCAAAAACAATATGAGAAAACATATTTTGTATTCTTGCTAGAAAGAGCTTTGTGATTACTCTCCAGTCTCCACAATATTTGTCCTGAAAAAAAGCCCTCCGTGGGAAGAAGGTTGAGACCCGTGATCCAGATGTTTAAAAATATCTTTTTATCTCTCACAAAAACTGGAGCTCAGACTCATAACACACATTAAAATCATCACTCCTCAAAACTTGTTCAAAACTGCCTACACATAATTATTTACCTCTTGTACAGAAACTGTATAGAAGTAAAATGCTTTATTATTGTTTTCACTGACTATTCTTTCTTGTTCAAAATCTATGTATTGTGCATAATTCTAACACCCACCCTCTCTGTGCACGTGTCCACACACTTGTCCACAGACATATTTTGGATGACAGTGCTGAAGGGAAGGGCCAGAGTGACATTGTCCGGCCGGTGGAAACAGCCCTTGAAAATGGCACTACCGTCTGAAAAACACAAACGGACGGTCACTTAGAAAAACAAAGCATTTTTTACATTGTGTTTATGTGGTCGTGAGCTTCCATGTGACCCGGGTGAAGAGGTCCTACAGTGTGCCAGACTCGGCCTATAGCGTCGCTCTGTTATGATGAACTTGGACCCTTTGTTCCTGCTTCCTCTCAGATGAATAGAGCATAAATCAAAGCAGAGGAAGGGCCGCAGCACTGGACAGGCGGATCGGATTACACGTAGGATAGTTATATAAAACAAGCTTCTGCATTGTTACAGTCTATGCATATTCTAATCAGTTGGGCAACAGAAAAGTACAGCTCAATGTTGTGGTATATATATATGTATATGTAACCTTTAAAAACTTAATTATAATGAAAAAATAAAACACTATTTTAATAAGAGTATACACAGACAAATAAGTAAAAGTAATTAGAGCTGGGGTGCCTAACTTATATTTTTTAATAAATATTACATGTTTTAAAAGAAAAAAAACCTAGGAGTCTGAAAAGGCTGATTCAAAAAGGATATGCATGTTGCTTTTATTTACCTAAATAAAATAAAAATAAAAATATAAAGACAAGCCATTGAAGAGCAAAGATTATGATATGAATAAGATTATTTTGCGTCAAAAATATGATAAAGATGATAATGAATGTAACCTAATTGAAGATGAATTTTTTTAATTTTTCCCATACTTCTTTCATATTTAACACAAAATCACTTAACACATTTGAGGTGTCAGCTTGGTCTAAATAATACATATATCGGGCTCCTGCTTGTGTTTTCAGCGATCATTTAATGCCCGCTGGAAAAGTGTGTGCATTTCAGCAAGCTCATGGTTTATTTAGTGATGACCTTCTGCTTGGATTAGACTTGAATCTTTAATATTTCCCCATGGGAGCGACCCTTTACACTGCTCCATTCACAGATGAAGGAAGCGCTGAAGCCAACAGTAAACAGAAGCACAAGTGCTCTCTCAACACAAAAACAGTTTCCTCTTTGGTGATTCAAAGCTTCACGTGTTAAAACATGTCAGAGGTTAAATCAGCAGCGAATGGAAAAACACAATCATGTGGGAGGTTTTTTAAAGGAAGAGATACAAATTATATACTTCACTATACATTATCAAGGACACAAATGTCACGTATATGTATTAATACAATACAATACAAACATTAAAAAAAGTTTCTCGTGGGAAGGTTCTTTTGAAAATGAAAACATGGGATAATATAATGAGTTCTTCATTAACGCTTAAGATGCCACGGTTGACTTAAGTTGACAATATGTGGTACTGTTTAAAACAACCGATTGTGTTAAAATTCATTCAACTCCTGCCACACAATGATTTCCACTCTTTCCTGCTATACTAATATTTCCCCGACCCTTGAGTGTGGTACAATGTGAGTTCTGTTTGTGTGCTTTAATGTCCTAGAGATCTGTGTCTGTAAGTAAATATATGTATAAATATTTCATGAAAATCCACGATTGCGAATGCCATATGAAGTCATAATATGCAAAGTTCGGGTCATCCTTGTAATTTCTCTAATTTACATAAAGCTTCTATCTCTTTTCACTTTTAAATTATAAAGACATTAAGATTGAACGTGTTAGAAAAAAACCTCTGGCGCCTAAAGGGTTAAGTCATCATCGTAGGGACATTTTCATGAGTCAAGGAGACAAGGTATCAGATAACCTACATAGTGCAGCTCTCTCATATGATATAAGAAAAACTGTATGCTAAACTTGGCAATAACTTAAGAATTACAGTGCGTGTGCGTGTGCGTGCATGCATGTGTGTGTGTGTGTGTGTGCGCGCATGCGTGCATAGCTCACAGCGGCGTGCAGACTCCTGGCTCAGCTCCAGTCGGTAGATGGACAGGCGGTTGGCTCCTCCACACAGGTTGTTCTTCTCGCCCTTACACTGCATGTTGCATTCAGACTCAGAAGCGTTGGCTGCTTGTATCTTGTGACCGCAATAACACTCTGCCCCAAACTCTAAGCCCGCAAACATGTAACCTCTGCAAAATAACAGAATTATTGTCATAGTTTTACCTTACAAACTTTACTAAAGACAGATACAAAACAAATGAGAGGGGAAAATATAGGATCCTAGTTTTATTCTGGGGCTGTAATATGTATATGTAATAAATCATGATATTTTAAGGCAGAAACAAATGTAATTCAAATTAATAGTGTTTTATTGGTGCGTTCGTTTTTTTCACCCAATTTTATCAATAGACCAGTCATTCTTTGTACACCCCTATTTTATTACAGGATTGCAAAATAATGAGGTTAATTAATATCTGCTGTCCTGTTACTCCTGGAGGCTACACTGGGAAAAATCATTTGACGGTCCAGAGCAGAAACCCGGGTGCAGAGCAGATAAATTGACTGCCACAGCCTCTGAGCTCTCACCCGTGCAGTCACAAGCCAAGTGCTCATAGAGACAAGAAAGATGACGATTGCGGGTCTCTTGCATAAACTGTAAAACACTACAGTTAAGAAAAACCCTCCTAGTTGTCAGACGGAATACCTTCATAAAGAAACTTTGACACACAATATTAGTACTAGGCTTGTTAAATGTGTCCTACGGAACGTCTGGGTTCCTCCTTCTCAGAAATGACCTAAAGAAAACATCCTCCATTTATATTTACTTTGTTAGAGACATGATTCCAAGAAAATGACTTGAACGACTTCCACAACCAAACAGCCACACTTACAGGTTGTGGAGGTGGCGTCGACAACAGTTTACTTCTGTGGATACACCCACGAGGGTGTGGAATCTTGAATAAATGTCCCAGTTTTGATTTGGGACATTTATTCAAGATTTTTTATTTGTCAAACCAAGTGAATGGTTTGAAATTATATTTCTCTCATCCTTGATTGTGGAGCAGGGGGTGGGGGAAGAGGGGTGGGAGGGAGGGCAGGGAGTTCAGCTTCCTGATTTAGGGACATTCCTAAATTCCTAGGGACATTAGGGACATTTAGGGACGTTTAGGGACATTTAGGGACATTAGGGACATTAGGGACATTTAGGGACGTTTAGGGACATTTAGGGACATTAGGGACATTAGGGACATTTAGGGACGTTTAGGGACATTTAGGGACATTAGGGACATTAGGGACATTAGGGACATTTAGGGACGTCCCAGATTTAGGGACATTTATGGATATTTATGCACGTTTATTATAAGAAATCAACCCACTACCGTTTAGACCAATGGCTTTTAAGAGTTTCTATGAGGCTTCTGTGTGATTGCACTTTCTGTGTTAGAGCTGTTTGATTCTGTTCTTCGACACCTCCTTGTAAGTACTAATGTTGTGATTTAGAGAAAAACAAAAGTATATTGAGTTGAAATTGAATTGAACCATTTTGAAGCCAGGCAAACATGGAATATGACTGCTGTGGACTATGTGCATTATGTTTATACAACTTTGTGCCAACACTTAAGTATGATGTCACTCTTGAACAAATACATATATTGTCCGTTATACATAGTGTAACGTACTGCTGAGGAGACTTTTTTTAACATCGCTAACATGATTCTCACACCAAGGAAATTCCTTGTGCTATCACTCAAATACAACAAGTCACTGCTTCCTATTTGTTTGTCGGCTTTTATTAACCTGCCTCGTCAGGTGGTATAGGTGACACAGAGGAATCACACTATAGGAGCCTGGGAATGAGAAAAATGCAAGATCTCAGAGCCGCAGTGCTGGACTGAGCGAATCACTGATGCGTGTAATTTAAAGGGGGAGACGGCAGTATTCCACAGGGACGAGAGAAGGTGAGGAGAGTGTGGGGGCAGAAATGTGAGAAGGAAAATGGCTAAAAAAGGCCTCAAGCACAGAAAATGCAAATAGATGACATACTGCTCGATTGGAATTCAGCAAAAAAAGAAGATTTAAAATTCTTTCTGGAATCCTCAATTACATTTGTTCTTAACATTAAACAATTAATTAACAATGCCTGGAACTGTCCATAGCTTCCAATACCCATCATACCATTTCAAAAGATTCATGAGAAGAAAACCATCTTTCTATTTTACCTTTCTGCACAGTTGTCCTGGCAACGGAATACTGTCATTTTTTTGTAGTCGAAAAAGGAAACTCCGCGCAGAGCTCTCTTCTGTGTGTCGTCCACATAGCAGCCGGTGTACTTTGCTGAAGACAAAACAAGCATGTGTCAATACTTCAGCCTGTCAAAAATAGAAAACGCTGGATATAAACATGAAATACCAAATGTACCAAGCACATACTGTACACTATATTCAAAGATTATTACTGAATCTACTATCAAACTCACTAAAGTGACACCCCCATGTTGATTATAAAAATACTGATAAATTGTATCAATGTCTGCAATTAGATTCTACCACGTTAAAATGGCCATGATAAAATTTACAAAATCATGCATTTCTTGTAGTAGTAGTAGTCGTTATATTAAGTATTGCATCAAGTCGAAACTGGGGCACACTGCTCTCTTATTTATTTATGAAGAGAACACATCCCCTTCTAGTGGCGTGTCTCTGTAGTGGCAGAAGTTGAGCTGCATTTTTCAGAAACAAGAAAGGCATTGAAGAAGCAGCTATAGTATCTACATATAGGGTACGCACAGTATAGTAGCAGCTCCCAGCATGTCATTAAAAACACTGTCTATGTTTCAGCCAGTGCTAAACAAACCTCTGGCCATCTGCACACAGCCATTATCCCCTGGAGCTTCTGTTAATAGCTCCACTGCCCTGCACCACTTTAATTGTCATTGTCTAAAGGCGGGCTTTTGGAGCCGAACTAATCCTCCTAACTACCGCTCCACTGGAAAATAATCTGCTTTATGATGCAGGGAAATGTTCATTTTTAATATTTAAAGTGTCTAAGAAGGGTACATGATATAAGCAACATGAAATGACATTAGCAATGAGAAAGTGGTCGGTGGAGGCATAAATGTGGCATAGACTGCTCTAAACCAGAGCTGTAATACAATTATATATTATTCATGGGGGGATTAGCTATATACTGCATCCTTCTCGTCTCTACGGAGATGTCACTGCTGTAATGTTCCACGGTATTTCAGATCTGTGTTACATTGTGCATCTTTAATACTATTGGTTCCAGTTCAAGATTCTGATTTGGTTATTTTTCTCAAATGAAGAAAAATACTTTGTTCATTATAAATCTTTGAAAATATACTTGTACATACAGTGTTGTCCTGCACTGCTGTGTATAACCCTGAGTCTGAGCTTCTCATGCAACTTTCTTCCAAGCCCCAATGAAGATGACGCCCTATTCAAATGAATGGCTTTTGCTCAGTAGTGCATGGGACATTCACAGGGACCGAGAGATTAGCGGAACTCCTCCATATTTGAGTATCATCTGCGCAATGGACGTGCTCCCATGATGAGTTGCGCCAAATGTGGTGAGTAGGTCCTCTACTCAGAACCTGTTGATGGTCCCCCGGACTCGTTTCAAAACCAGAGGAGACAGATCCTTCCAGGCAGTTGCTCCTCGCCTTTGGAATGAGCTTCCTCAGTCTCTGCGTATCTTAGAGACTGTTGATGATTTTAAGTCCCAACTAAAGACACATTTGTTTGGACAGGCTTTCTCGCACCATTGTTCATAGGCCTCTGTGAATGTAAATTGTGTTTTCTGTGTTTGTTTTATCTGACTTGTATGTGTATTTTGTATTTTAATGTGTGAAGCGCTTTGTGACCCTGGTCTGTGAAAGGCGCTATACAAATAAACTTTACTTACTTACTTACTTACTTACACGTGTGAGGCTCTAATGCACATGCACAGAGCGTCCGAGTTTGTTGCATTAACTTAAGAGTGGATTTAAAGAAAACTGATTTAAAGATGCAGTCAGGGATTTCTTTACAATTTTTTTTTTTTTATATTGTGGGAAAATGTCCCATAACCCTAAATTTAGTCAAGTTATCATGTGTTTTCAAATAGTAATGGAATTGACCAGATGCCTGTAGTCTACAAAAATTAACGAAAAATATTTTGGAACGGACCGATAAAAATAAACCAATGGGATTCGTTCATCCCCAACAAACCAATGGGATACGTTTACCCCCTTCACCCTCTTCCTGTTTCTCGCGAGTGCGCACACCTGTGTTATCGGATTTTCTAAACCTAAAAGAGCTGAACAGAAAATGCCAATTTCACGTTTGCCGTCCACTCTCCCTGTTGTGACAAAGAAAAGAAAATGCTGGATGTTTGGTTTGTTGGAGAGGCAAGGGGAGGATTTCGATTTGGTGCTACGGCTAAGCTAACAAAAAGGGACACTAAAATCCCAACAAAATCTGACCTTTCTGAAAGTTGTAGGTTCTCCGTCAGCAGAGGTCGACTGTTTTAGTCTACATTGAGATTTACGGGACATTTCTGTAGGTCGCCCACGTGAATTTAGTCTGCAGTACCACGGGCGACCCCTGTGCCCATATGGGACAACGAAAAGCTAGTACTACCCTATTCAGATATATTAGATACATGCTTTCTTCCCACAGTTTAATTCTTATCTTTCCTGGACAGTTGCCATATAATGAGATTTAATACCGCCAGAAAAAGGGAGGCTAAATTGAAGAGTCTCCTATAGGCCAATCCCAGAGGTCGGCTGTGCACTGAGGCAAACAAGCATTTTGAAGGAACTTGAGTGTAGGCCACTGCAGTCCGAGAGGTTAGAGTGAAGGAAAAGGAATGAGGAGAGGAGAATATGTACGAGACTTGGCTATATCAGATAATCCTGAGCTTCATTCTGCTGTGTAAACATGCTCCCCTGACCATGAACTGGGATAAGAGCCATGCAGGCTTTCAAAATCACAGCAAGGAACAACTATATTCACATACTATTATGACTGTAACAGGATTTGGCCTTCATTTCAGTATATTAAAATAATCAATTTAACCCATCCATCCATTTTCTTCCCCTTAATCCATTTCTGGGTCGGGGGGGTGGCAGTCAGAGCCCCAGTCACAGAGTGCCAGCCCCTCACTGATCCTCCTGCAGGTGGTGAGTCCAAATGAGCTGAGATCTTTCAGTGGGGGCTTCAGGCAAAGTGGGGCTAAGTGTCTTGCCCAAGGACACAACGACAGCAGTCATCAGTGGGAGTCGTGAAGTAGGTCTTGAGGTGGGCTCGAACCCACGACCTTCAGGCTCAAAGGCCAATGCTCTATCAACTGAGCTACTGTCGCCCCATTTAACCCCCAATTTAACCAAATTTAACCCATGTAATTAAATCTGTATCAAGCTTCCGATATATTAGACTCAAGAAAATATTGACTATTGACATTAAGATTACTCAAACCAAGACTTTATCGAGACTTCTGTTCTATTACTTGCTTCAATCAAAGGTTTTTATATTTAGGTTGTGAGAAAGCACTACAACCTTTTGAAAGATATTCTTAGATGGTTCCCATAGAAAATAGCATTCATCAAAAATCTAGGTAAGCATTGTAAAGCGAGGAAACTTATAAAAAACACAATCTGTAGGTGGCAAATATTATTCATGATAGAAATGTATCATTTTGTTCTCATGCATGCCTTCTTGTTTTTATTCTGCTTTAACTTGTTTGCACCAAGAGCCAAAGCAATTTCCTAGTTTGTGACTTCCTGTTACATGGCAATAATTAGGATTCAGATTCTCATTCTACAAGCCTCAAATGTCCAATTTTTGTGCTTATATCAATTTCACTGATCTAATTTATAAAAAAAATTAACACATAAACACAAAAAAATGAAAACAAATCAGTTTGTAACGTAAAGAAATATATCTTCAGTGAAAGAGGGTTGTCTGTGAAGAGTATAATCTAGCACAGCAGAAAGCAATCTTTAAAAGTTGCTCTTAATCTCAATTATTAATACTTGATCAGTGTAGGCCAGGGACATGGAAGCGCTCCAGGGCCCATGCGTGTAACCCACACCTCGCCTTCACTCAGGTTTCTCATAAAGGGACATAAGTCAGCGCATTTGTTTGGGATCTTATGTCTCAGTTTTGAAAATGTTGTCACATGTCACGGGACGTTTGCATGTAAACATTAGTGAAGGGATTACAGCCGGCCGTAGCTTTAGCATGTCTAAATCCTGTTATGGTCCGGCTGTGATGTGGTCGAGCATGTGGCACCAATGAAGCGGAGACATCCAGCAAAGACAAGGACTTATCACACCCATAAACTCATTTACACTTAAGAGATTTTAAATGTCATCATTTATGAAGCTTATACAGCACAGTTATAGTATTAGTACCAAGAGCTCAATACTATAACAAATATATAGTAAAAGCCTATTTAAAAAGCCTATTTAAAACTAATATACTCTAATGTACTATTAGCCAAGAATAGTTTTCAGAATGTATACTTTTTGGCTAAAGCTTAACTAATTTCTTACAGATTGCCATACAAACCATTTTCATACATCGTGCAGCGACAATATTGTTTTACATTTTTGAAAGCAAAATTCAATTTGCTTTAACCTATTAACGCTGGGGTACCTAACTTTATTTTCATGTATTGTTATTGTAAGATGTCAGTCACTATTTGTCACTCAGCTGATTGGCTGAGTGAGGGTGGTTCTCTCCTTATCACGTTTCTGCAGATCTAAAGATGTGACAGAGGTAGAAAACTGTGAAACTAGTGATAGAACTAAACTGTTTTAGAGCCAGGATCTAGAGGGTTTTATTGTATAATTCCATCTTATGTAGTTTGAAAGTCAGGTACCTCAGCTTTAAAAGGTATGTAATAATGATTCCTTATTGTCATTGGTATGAATTGGGCAAAAGTCTTATAAGTTATTAAGACCGGAGAAATGCCCATGTGTAAAACTGACCTCTTCCATCCTCCATCTCTTTGGCGTTGCGTCCTTTAAGTGCCCTGTTCCAGTTGCTGGTGTAGTCTTTACCCCCCGCCTCTCCTCGGTCATGCTTCTTCCAGGCAGAACCATAACGACGACCCCCAGCCTTCCTGTTCTCTTTATTAAACACTCTGCTCATCAGCCCTAGTCCGCGGACGTGCAAAACGGCCGTCCTGCTTGCCATTTCCGCGGCAACCACAGAGTCCCCGTGGGCGTCCCCTCTGCTGGAGCCGGGACTGTCCCACATAATTCCAGAATGGAGGAAGACCAGGCTCCCTGCCGTCAGATACAGCAGGATGAGTGAGAAGAAACGCACTGGTTTTCGACAAAAGTAACGATGTATTTTGAGCAGAGGTTTGACCATTGTGGCTCCTCTGCAGCCACTGGACCACAATATCCCAATTGTGAACAAAATCAAGATCTGGGGGAGAGCGAGGGTTATCCAAGCATGGCTCTGCCCCGTTCTCATGAGGTAGACCCATCACATGACTGGACCTCCTGCACTCTTATCCATCCTAGATATTGTCCCAACGTAGCCCTGAGAAGTACCTATGGGTCCGCAGCATGAAAGTGGAGCACCTTAGAGTGAAACAAGATCACTAAAGCTTTCACTTCGGTCTGCAGGACACAGTGCAGTGATACGGCAGCTCAGCCTTTCTCCACACAGTCCACTCTGGTCTATTCCACGGCCCGGGACAGTGAGGGGCGGGGTTCACCATCTGTGGAGAAGAGAGAAAATACTGAGTGCACACCTAAGTAAGCGCCAATTCAGGAGGAACAAAGTTTTCACAACAGTGTGAGGCATAGAGAGAAAGAGGGTTTGGTAAAAATGATAAACAACTGCCTAACAAAATACTCATTCTATCTTCAGTTCTCTCCACAAGTCTCGCTTGAACATTCCTTGTTCAAGCGTGATGACACTATTTGCAAAATAGCACAAATCAAGCATGAAGTTCTTCCCACTCCATGATTAATATATGTCCCCCTTATCTTTATAGAATTATTTTGTGTAGACAATTGTGTGAATCGAAGGACAAACAGAATCCATCTGAATGGGTGCTCTGTTCGGAAGTGAGCTCCAATCAAAAGGTGTAATGCTACACTGTTGGGGGTCAGGGAAACTTCTAGGTGGACGACACTCGCTCCTGTTTGGCCCGGAACAGATCGGTCTTAACTATAGGTGCGTCACCTGAGCCCATGTGTCCCTCCCAGAGACTGGGAAGAGCCTGAACACTCATACGACCACCGCACAAAGACACTCTTCATCAGGTCTCACTATCAAATGCATCCTCTGCACCGCAGTCAACCATTCCACAAGGACATTGTTGACAGACTGCAGGCCCACTTTAGATAATAGAAGTCAAATCACAGTATCAGATGTTATGAGAGCAGTTTGGAAACTTAGGAAATAAAGGATGACTACAAAGCAATAAATGTCCATGCCTTGATTGCTTCGTTTGATACAGAGGGGCTACAAACACATTAGTTGATGTATTTATGCAGGAAACAGCACCAATTAATAGAATCTTAGTGAAGACCAAGGCACAGCAGTGACCACCACCTCCATGCAATGCTGCTCTTAAAAATATCAAATGCCTACAAGTGAATTCATAATAAAAAAATAAGTTTGTGATTGAAATTTTCCTTTTACATTGTTTTATTCAATTACTGCTTTCTTTAGCTCCAGTCTGTGTTGTGTACATTTTCTAGCAAAAGCAACACACACAAGTTGATTTATTTAAAAAGGTAGAGTCATGTATAGAAGCCCAAACCTCAACATCTTCAGCGTCTCAAGTAAGTCTCCTTGATACCAGTGTTTCACAGCATTTCTCTTGCTGATTTCCAACTAAAAGAATGTAACAGAAGAAATACAAAACCGGACCAATACATCGGAGTATAATCAGTTATCGTCCTTTAGTGTTTTGTTAAATCCTACTGAGATGTGTTGCAATACTTTGGGTCAAATATTTCAGATTGTGAAATAATTGATGAAATATTGAAATAGATATTAAAGAGACACACATGCTTCATTTCCCCACATATTCTCATCAATGTCAGAATCAACTCTTCAACAGATGTCAAAATAAATGTGTGATGTGATTTGTCATAATGTATTTCTAACTGTAGTTTGCTTGTACAAAAGAGGCAGCTCAGAGAAAACGATGGGATGCCAAACTCCTCTCACTTGACACACATGAGCAGCCGTACAAGTGTGTGGTCTTTGTAGGCTGGTGAGTGAGCAGTACAAACACTGTCTCATTGTGCCATGGAAGCTTTCTTATTTCTTCCATCAGCAAAACAAACTATCAGACCTATGTGCTAGATCCATGCCTGCAACTATCAACGTCAGTCATGTTGATTCAAAAACAACACACTCCCTTCGTCTCAGCAGTTGAACCAAAAAACAACTCACAGTATGTTTCAGATAAAGGAAGAAAAATACAGTTGGGTTCAACAATCTGCAGCAAATAGTTGTACTGTCTTGTGAGAAGGAGACAAAGCCTGTAAATAACTATTGCTCAGATGTAGTGATGGACTATTTTATGGATCTCTCCATTGTGAGATCAATAAAGTTGATCTCACCAGCCGCCACTGCCTGCATTGCAGAGATATAAAATGTAAGAAATTAGCCAACTGCAAACAAAACAATGCTTAATGCCATTCTTCCAAATATTCCAGAGAAAGCTAAATGACATGCCCATAAAGACGTCTAACCCTGATTTCCCCCCAGAGAACTGCTTCTAACGTCCATATTTGCATTTGCATTCACCCCTTGCACTCTGAATTATTTCATGTTTAATATCTATAAGCAGGTTCTGTTTCACCGCAGCTCTAAATACACGACCTTTTTTACTCAACGAGCTGACCTGAGATCAGTAAGCCCTACTTAGTGTGCGCAGGGTCTGTGCAGATATATATTATAATATTAATTAATATTATTGAGATCATGGCTATAGTGTCATGAAACAATTGGTGATTTTATGCCGTCATCTCTTATGTTGGACATGACTGTGGTAATTACACTGACTTGAACATGAAGCATTTCAAGCAAACAATCAGAGGTTTGCGTTTAAATCACTAAAGCTTAAAAACAATGAAAAACCTATTGTAATCCAGATCATGCACAATGTCCCATTAAACTCCAGACTGACCTTTTATTCTGAAGAGAGATCCGTAAATTAAAAAGGGCTAAAAATAATGTAATCCTCTTCTTTGGCCAGGCAACAGCAATGGGATTTTTCTAGGCAATGTTAGTCAAATAATGAATAGGACATCTTATTGTTGTGCCAAGCTTGTACAGCTGACCAAGAGCGCCTGGTATCGGCACATGAGAGGCACACAACCAAATCAGAAATTACATTACAACACATGTTTTTAGGTTTTCTTTCTAGATTCAACAAGTTTTATGTTGATGTGACGCTTCCAGTTATGATAATGCTCTGCCTTATAGTGATCAACCCGAATGCGGTACATAGAATTCTGTTTGGATGACATAAAATGCAAACATGATGAATTTTGCATTTAATCATGTTTGCATTTTGACTTATGACACAAAGGTTAAGCAGTCTCACCGTGAGCATTACTAGGGGTTTGCATGTGCTGCCCATTGCCCCAGGAAACTGAAAAGCTGCTGTGTGTAACTTCAGGCAATGTTTAACAGCTCTAAAAATTGCTGGAGCATAAAGTCCGGACAACTAGTGAGACATTAACAAGACAGTTGCCTTTTCCATATACAACAAAGAAGGCACAGTAGCATTTTTTCACAACTCCCACTTAGGTAATTAGACATGCTTAGCAGTATCGGTACTCCTAAAACGTCATTATTTTCAACCAAAGAACCGTGGACATGAATATTTGTAAATGTACAAGTCGAGAAACATTCACAAAATTGTCTGTGTCACATGGCTTCTACAATTCCTTTATAGACTGCTCTATCTCAGTTGTAGGGCAGGTCCCAATGAAACTGATTTTATTGAATAGTGATACATACTCAAACCCTTATTTATTTTATCTGAAAATCGTCTCTATTCTGGCCAACTTCAAACTTATGTTTTCTGAATATTGTCACCACTGTCACAAGTTATGAGTCTCGTTGATACTCATAGACTGAAGATGTCAATCTTTGTGACATTTTTTTCAAGTGGATTGGAATCACAGAACCGTTTATATCTAATAGAAATTTGCTATAAACTAAGACAAGATTATTTGACATTTATCATAATTACAAGCCACGGAAGATTTCTCCCACCACTACCCTAAACTATGGTATATGTACTAGGCTGAAGGCTGCAGCAACAATCTGCGTGTTCTGTTTTCAACAGTTAATAGATTAACAAACCCCCCTGTTCAAATGCCATTAGAGCTAACTTCCAAACGTAAATGTAATGAGTTTGCACATTTTTTCAATGACAAGGTTCAAGGCATCAAAAACGCCATTGTCTCCAATCCACAGATAACAATCCAACAGCCAGAAAGGCTCTTTGAGCTAACTTACTTTGCACCTGTAAATGATCAAACTGTCCAAGAGATAATCTCCAGTTTGAGCTCCTCCACATGCAGCCTGGATGTACTACCCACTAGATTTCTAAAGTCTGTTCTGAGCAGTCTGTTACCTTCACTCACACAGATAGTAAACATGTCCCTTGATTCTGGAATATTCCCAAAGGCCCTGAAAACTGCAGTCATCAGGCCCCTGCTAAAAAAGAGCAGTCTGGATGCTACGGTACTTAACAACTATCGTCCCATCTCAAATCTGCCATTTATGGGGAAAGTCCTTGAGAAAGTTGTCTACCTACAGCTTACTAGATTTCTTATAATCAACAACTCATTTGATATGTTTCAGTCCGGCTTTAGACCCCACCACAGCACTGAGACTGCTCTCGTTAAGGTTACAAACGATATCCGGCTGAACACTGACGCAGGCAAAGTCTCAATCCTAATCCTGTTAGATCTAAGTGCTGCCTTTGATACTGTCGACCATGAGATCCTCTTACAGAGACTAGAGGACTGGGTTGGCGTCGCTGGCACCGCCCTAAGTTGGTTTAGGTCTTACCTTGAAGACAGGAAGTACTTTGTGGAGATTGGAAACTGTGTCTCAGATCATATGGCCCTGACCTGTGGAGTCCCACAGGGGTCGATCCTGGGACCTCTTCTGTTCAATCTCTACATGCTGCCGTTAGGTCAGTTAATACGCAGAAACAAAGTTTCCTATCATAACTATGCAGACGACACTCAGATCTATGTCTCACTGACTGCAGGAGAACATGGACCAGTGGACTCACTCCTTCACTGTATCCAACAGATCAGTGAGTGGATGCAAAACAACTTCCTTCAGCTAAACGCAGACAAAACTGAAATGATTGT